TCATTCATGTTCCACACACACATCGACAAATGAATCGCTTTATTCAAGGAATGAATGAGTTGTGTCAGAGGAAGAATCACAAACTGGATATAGATTCGAAATGCATTTTCTCCACTATACACTATTTCAAATAGAGCATCACTTGCATTCAACATTGCAATGATCGTTTCGATATCATATGTACCTCGTAGAATCGATAGAGTATGGAGACTGGATCCAAATACACTCATAACTTGTATCCATTGTGGAAATTGAAAATGTAGTAATATTAATCATGGTGTTCAGAATGGCAATGAGTTCACTCAGTGTATAATAACCAGGCGAGATCGTTACCTCTTCACCATTGGTGTTTGTCTCCACATTGGTTGAGTCCACATTATTGAACATGACTTGATTGGGTTTGAATAGAACAGTCATGGAAGTGATAAATGGATTTCTGAACTTGGAAGGATTAATTGAATCGAATGAACCATTGATAGGTGAATCTTGTATGAGAATGGAATAATGCATGTTCTCTCTTTACCAAAGACACTTATGACTTGCATGGACAACAATAGATGGATTTGTGATGACAATATACACATATTGGCTTTCGGTCATTACAAATAAGCAAACAAACATGTAAATACAAGAGAAATAACAATAATTCACCTTAGCTAGGTACGTCTACTGCTTTCATGCACCTGGATATTATTGACCACATAATCGGCTAGTCAACCCAGGAACGATAGTTGAGGACTCAGAGTCAATTGGTCGATTCCAACGACCAATAAAGGGTTTGTATTTGTCTCCACGCCGCGTTTTGTTCAAATCAAACGGCCACCGGGTTTTGCGTAAAAAGCGCCATTCCCTTACTTCTTTCCATCATTCCATTTGTGCAAATAAAATGGAAATCTAGCATTATGCCTGCTCATACTTGAATGAGCTTTTTACCATAAAACCCATCAATTGAATAGTAGCTTACAGATGTATTCTATTGTGTGTCCGGATGATAATACTTTGACTATTGTTTAGTAATACCCTTTCACAGTAATACTAATCTTTATTTGATTGATTGAAATTAAGAACAATGAGTGATATCTTTCATTCCTAATACTCACTCTAGAATTTCAGTTTTTGATATTGCTTATGTTATCTATCTTCGCTAATTGCAATAAAAATGGTAGTTGATTACAGTCTCCAATCATAATTACAGTCAAGTCTCACAACTGGGATAAGTGTGTTTATCATTAGCATAGAGTCCATTCTTGTTATCCTCCACTTTATCATTATCAACATTGCTGATATTGTTATTTGTAGTAATATTAGTTATATTCATCCTTGTTGATTATATAGTAAATACCATGAAAGACTACACAGATTTGAATTATATACCAACATTTGGATATTTCAATCCTTAGTCTCATTACTATGCATATTGTGTAATGATTATGATTGATTTACAAATAGGAAAAGCCTCTTGAGTTGTTAGTCAAAGATTGGTGATACTGAGCTAAAGTTAACGATAATCGAGTATTTAGGTATTCACAAATTTGTAAAAATATCGTATCCATTATGTCACCAATGAATCATACATGAAGAATAAAGCTTTGTTAACATCTGAGTTGTTCAATGGATGAGTGTAATTTCAAATTTGGTTTGTAATATTGTTGTTCAGATTTCTTTTTTCAATAGTATGAGAAATGATGGAAGATAATAAATCTTTGCTGATCCTTCGACTCATATCCCCACCACTTCAGAGAATAGGGATGGAATAGTTCTTATCTAGATATAAAACCTCCTTATTCAGATAGAATAGTTAATCCATGTTTCTGAAAGAATACAAGAATTCCTACACTTCTTCATCCTAATTGGCCTGCTATCGATTCAACAAACATTCCATTCATTGCCAGACTAATAGATTCATTCACTGCGACTTTTGAATCGCTTCCATCATCGGCTTCATTATCTTCTGCTTTTCCTCCTTGATTTGTTCCTCGCCCATCTGCTTCCGCATCTTCCTCACTTCCTCCTGCATATCGTCCAGAAGTCCCAGTTCCACATCCACCACAAAATCCGACAGCACATCCGCGTTGATAATCGCAGCACAATTCTCATACACATTCTGTGCATGCGTATTCGGAACCACATGCCCGTTCTACTCATCACTCCCTCCCTCTCTCCACACAATATTCATTCCCGGAGAATGCACGATTCCCTCAATCATCCCCTTGCAATTTCCCTCCACATCGAACGCTCCTCCGCCCACCATTCCGCCAGGCAGAACCACGCTCGATGTCACCATCGACCGTCCGTCCTGGATGTGAAGCGCGCGGCCTTCGCTCGTCTGCTCGTCATCCACACAAACAAACACAACAAAAGGAATTAGGATTGACACATCGCGGCCTTCTGCGTCTTCGCGCGCTTCTCGTCGATGTCCGGCCAACAAAATCGGCTTGAATTCAGTCCGTCTCAACGTTCAAACTTCTCCTTTCTTTGGCGAAGTTTCGCTTAGTTGAAGACCGTGGACGGCGTTGTAGGGCTCGTTTTCTTTGCGGAGACGACGAATCGAGGAGCTGTGCAGCTCGACGCGGGATGTCGCTTGGGAGAGAAGCGCGTCGACTTCTTCCAGAGAGTTGGGACGCGGTTGGGATTGGGGCGGTTTGGAGGGAGACGGATCCATCCCATACATTTTGAGGGTCTCGAGGGCTTCTTCTTCCTTGTGGAGGTGGAAACAGCACAAATCGCTATGCGAATCACCCGAACAATACAGAGACTTACCGATAATTGTGGGCAATCACCTTGTTGTTCACACCTACGCGATTTGTTATATTTCCATTCATCTATTTCTCACACAGCTATAAAATAGCGCACGTCTCGGAACTCCGCTGTTAAAATCACATTGTCTTCAGTTACATACTGCAACCATGGATACGAAGAATCTATACCATGAATTGAACAATATTAAAATACCTGGAAAGTAGGATTTGAACAAGTAGGGAGCCACGACATGAAACGGGCATACAAAATGATATTTGTAATCATACTGTTTGCTTGCTTTAAATGGGACACAGGAAGACATCGCTAGTAACTCAAAACGATCCATTCCCTGTTTTCATTATTCACTCTCACAATATTTTACTTTTGCTGGTACACGATACCATGACGTTACTGTCATTACACTTTTCTGAGCACTCTGCTTGATCGCGTTGAACATCCTTCAATTTTGTGATATGACGTCACTTGAATATCTGTAATACGACGCACGCACAAGAAAAAACAAATTGGGGGATTCAATCGTTTTTTCTAAAATTCCCTTCCACTTTTGTCATTCCAAAAATAGTACTGGGTACCACTTTTCCCTATTTCTGTGTGTCATACTTTGTGTTTGGTTTTCCCCTCATGAGCGCAGAGGCGCAACTTAGCGGTGATAACTCCATTACCGTTAGTACTGAAGACGAGAGAATGGAGTATATGACTTCTAGTGATTCACAAGACGCACTATCTATTCCTTCAGATTCTGCAACATGTATGAAATTGAATACTCTGGTGTAACAACTAGCCTGCAGCTCTCCGAAGTCAAAAGAAGGAGGCGAATCAATCTTTTCTTTTATGATGCATCGAAAGCGAGACAAACGCTCCTTTCGAGAGAGATACACCCGTTTTATGAAGGAACTAAGCTCCAAGCAAACTGTCGAAGTTGTGACTCCTACACTCTCCTGGAGAGTTTCAACAAATAGTAGCAAGTCCGCTCCGAATGTTTATGTGGCCAAAGTCCTCTACCATCCCTCCATTCATGGGTATTCGCCTCTGCTTTCAGGAATTTCTTATAATCGTAAACTCGCTTATGTTCCTAAAGCATCCGTGTATCAAGGGAGTGTGGTTTCTCAGTCTCTGCCCATTTCCCAATTCTAACTCACTGGTTTTATTACTGTATTGTGTGTATGTGTTCTGTTTGTCTCAAACACGCTCTAAACTAAACTACACAAGCAAAATCGCGTTGATACATCCATCGTTCTCCGGATTGTTCGTTACCTGCGCGTACTTGCCTATCCCTCAGTCCTTCCTTCCTTCCATACCCCATACGACCTTTCCCGACTCCGTCACCAATCCCAACTCGCTCACATTCACCTCGATGATCGTTCCCTTCGTGATCACTCCCAGCTCGGTGTACAATTTGCTCTGCGGATTCTTCTTCACTCCGATAATATCCAAATAGAACGTTGTCTTCAATTCGGGGTGAGTAACGTGCGCTTTCTTGAACCGAAGTCCTGTCGGACGAACGAAGCGCTCGTACTTTGGAGGCTTCCGCGTGAAGCCCTCGCCCACGAACGTCACTTTCGTGATCATTCGCTTCCACTGCTTCTGCTTCCGTTTTCCTGTCGAGAGAACGCGGAACATCTCCGCATCGGCGATCGGGTTCACCTTCGGAACCGGCACCGTCCACTTTCCAGCCTTCTCCTTACGCTTTTGCTTCACTGTGTTGCTCAGAATCTTTGACCGAGACACTCCTTCACGATCCAGAAGGTAGGCAGGAAGAGCTCCCTCGGGAGTGGCGTCCGTAGTGGCGTGCTTGTTCGAACGCTCCTCGTGCGTCTTGATTCTACGTCCTACCCATTCCCCACCACTTACTCTTTACGCATGGCCGCCTTCTCCTTGTATCGTTGAGCACTGTGCAGAATTCCCTTAATTCCATGCACTTTCTTTGCGTATTTTACCTTTTCGTGACCTGCTCGTGCTTCCTTCTTTCTCCTAGCAAAATCAACAATACGAAATGAAACCCCACTATCTTTCTTAGTAATCAAAACGAATTCCGTGTCGTTTCTGATGTAGCTCAATAAACTCGTTCTGGGGCTACAGAAATCAAAGCAGATACAACAAAACGCACCATATTGATTCGTCCTAAAAGCGAGGAGTTCTATTGATTATTCTTTCGAATACAGCCAAACAAAAAGACGGGCGTTTCATCGAATCACTCTCACACTTTTCTTTTCTTTTCTCTTTTTTAAAAAACAAACAACTCACAACTTTTTCTCATAGAATGCAAGGTAGCATTCCGAAATCGGAGCATCTGCAGCCAGAACAACCTTCGAATCGTTGCACAACACCCACTCTTTCACACCTTCTTCGCGATAGGCAGCTACATAATGCCCGAAATCAGCTTTGTCTCCACGATGCAGACACACACTTGCCAATTTATACCATTTTTTCTCAGTTCTACAAATCAGCACTCACGCCCAACAGCTTCGACATGTTCAATTCCGGGTCGAGACACCTCGCCACTGCGATTTCCTCATCGATTTCCACAGCACTCTACACACAAAACACCATGATGGAGGGAAACAGTATTCTTTCGAATGGCGAATGTCTGTGGGTCGACAATGAACCGATTGATTCGAACACACAACACCGAGGGGAATTCATCGATCACCATCGTTCGTGTCCACATGGATTCTGCCATTCATCCTTTTCTCCATTTCTACTTCCATTGCAGCCAGTACACTGCAATTCGACCTGTTCTCCCTCCAAGCTCGCCGTTATCAGCTGTGCCAGCGATTCGTTCTGCTCCGCAATCTGAACGTTCAGCGCGATTTCTTCGTCCTGCGGACCGTTCGATCGCGCTCCGCACGTTTCGCACTGCTCTCCAATCGCTCCCCTCCCCTACCTTCATGCTGTAATGAAAGGGAATGCGGAACAATCTGCGTATCCACGCCGCGTCGCCCAACGCGTCCAAAAACACCGTCAAAAACTCGAAGCAATCTGCGATTCATTGCGTGTTTCGTTCCGAACCCTGCTGCTGTGTGTTGTTAAAATCCGGCGCTACGCCGCCGATCGCCTGCTTCAGCAGCCTGGGCTGCACGTGCTTCCCTGCCGCGCCGTTGCGCATTTCCTGAGCGACTTTGGAGAACTGGCAGAGAAGACAGCTGGAAGGAAGAGGGTTGGTGCAGTATTGGAAGTGAGTGCTCCAATAAGCGTTCTGGAGCAGCCGTTTCACCGAGCGGAGATGCAGAAGGCACTGGAGAATGGCGTTCAGATAGCAACTATTTCCGAGATTGTCGAGTCCGCAAGCGGACGGCGTGGCTGCAAGCGGGTAGGGATCGCCCTGAGGATCGTTCTAGTGAATGGCGGAGTGTGTGGAGAGTACCATGGAGAAATTGAACTCCGTGTTCACGAAAAGATTCATTTCCAACAGCGATTTTTCGTGCTGCGAGCTCGGTAGACCGACAAGCTTCCCGTTTGCCAGCACGCCGAACGCGGTGAGGACGGAGTGGATGGACGGCAGCAGCACATCGCCGTAGTTGCAAGCCGGATCGTCGTCGCACGCGTAGCAATGCACATCTGCGTGATTCTAATCGCTAGAAAGCCGCAGCGACGCTCACTTCCTGGATCGAAGCGACCTTCACCACCAGACAATGCCCTGTTTTCCGGAAATGCTCGATCGCGTGGCCATTTCCCGGCATTTCCTCCGTCGCGTTCCACTGCTGTCTTCCGCAATGGAACGTTCCGCACTCCAAACACAGCCACAGATTCCGCGCTAACTCGCAGTCTTCGCATCGCATCGTCTCTGTCCCTCAGCGTTCCCAGCGATTCTCACTCAGATCGACGTGTGGACAGGGATCGGGGCGTTGATAGGCCTCGCAGTGCGGACATAGCTTCGCGTTCTCCGCCTCCCATTGACTCAGCTCTTTTTCTTTCTCGCCAGACGCGCTCAGCAAGATCCGCTCCCCGATTTCACGCACCTGTGTGTCACAAACAGGATCAAACACAACGAAGTCTGGCGCTGGCATCGTAAGATCGCAAGCCAGACACACGACTTGCATGTCCGTTTCGTAGATCGGAGAGGGGGGCAAAGCGCCTCCTTCCACGCCGATTGCGAGCTTCGTGAGTTTTTCTGGGCAGGAATCGGCGTTTTCTGCGGATGTGGAGGCGGGAGCAGGGGAAGGGAGTTCATAACGGAAAAGACGAAGATAGAGCGGATGGCCCGATTTTTTGAAGTGGAAGCGGGAGTGTTCTGCAGAACCCGTGCAGAATCCCTGGTAGCAGGTAAGACAGACATCGATTCCTTTGTTTTGATCCTATGAGATAAAAAAAGAGAAGAGGGAGAATGCTGTACCCATTTGGAAAAACAATAGACACACTCTTCTTTGTACACAAGAGTGGATGAAGTCAATGGTTTGATCTGCGTGTAAGAATGGAAATAATGGGGCGCATACACCCTCAGCAAAGTGATTGCAGTTGGCAGGAGTATTCACAAGTCCACTCAGGTTATTACCATCTGTCTCTGTGATTAGCTCGTTTACCAGTGGAGCTCCTCCGCTGCACCATAAAAATGCTGGACGAGGCATACTTATCAAAAAACAACGAAACCGCTACAAAATCAATTTCTCATTGTGCTGTCTTACCTCCTTCGATATTCCAGTCACAGCATTGGAGATACGCAACAGCAATATCCATCGTACATCCACACATCTCACAAAAGTTACAAGCAACCTCGTTCTGAGATTCGTTCATTGGAATAAGTTAAGAAGAAAACCGAGAAAAGTTTAAGAAAACTCAGGTTGTCTGTTTAATGATACTATGATTCCGATTTTCTATTTTTAACCATTATCCACTTTTTCGCTGCAATATCATCCATTGTACTAAATATGGATTATCATTCAGCTGATAAAGAATACAAACATGAACTGGAGATCAATACAATGAAATCATTTATCAAATAGAAGTGATGATTTATCCATTCTACTTTCTATCGCAATAGTCTATATAGTGTCAATCAAACTATTCCAATCGTATTTGCTTTATTGTGTTCGAGTGTTATAAAATCAAATTACACCATTTGATTATTAACTATATTATTATTACCAATGTATCTATTATGAACATTATAAAACAGCCATTTGAACAATAGAAAGTGAGGTCATGAAAATGCGAAATACATTATAATCAAAGCTGAAAATACTTGAAAATGTCATAGAGTTAATTTGATATATGGAAATGAAGTGCAAATAGAGAAAACAGAAAGGTTTGAGAAAGTGAGATTGTATTATTATTTTCTAGTTTCTAACACACCAACTATTCAATTCAGTTCCACACAAAATAATAATCTATGGAGTGACTACTATCGAGAAATAATGAAACAGATCTTGTTTCCAAAAATAACCGTTTTACCATATTTCTTTTCATTTCCATGCAAAACATTGCTGAGTTTGTCAATTCTGCTATTAGTAACTATCACATTGATAGTTCTATTATTCAAAGTGTGCAGGGATGCTTAGGTAAAGAATGGAAACCAAATGGCTGGATTTCACTCATATTGAGTAACAGAAAATGTGTAGTATTGCAATTCAATAATGGAATATTGATGAATCAAGGATTTGTGGTCAATGAGCAGAAAGTGTTGAAAGTGATTGGAAATCATCAAATTGGTGCTATTTCATATAATGAAGAATTCTTGGTAGAAGGAATCGTGGATTTGGATCATGGAAGTCGATTTGAAGGCTCGATATTGACAGAAAAAGAAAACGAAAACGAAGGTAAAATAGGAATTCCATTTGGATATGGTGAAATGTATGATGATGATGGAATATTGTTGTACAAGGGCATAATGATCGATTGGAAACGATTTGGATATGGAACGAGTTATCATGATAATGGTTTGATAGAATATGAAGGATATTGGTGTGATGATAATCGATTTGGAATTGGAATTGTGTATGATCGATATGGTAAATTAGTGAATGAATGTGAATGGTACAATGGAATTGAATGTGATATTGAATATGAAGGAGATGGCAGCAAACCAATGAATATCGGAATGAAACATTTGAAACTGAGTGACAATTGTGTATTGGTTGATTGGGATGTTTCATTGTTATACAATTTGGAATCAATCGAAATCGGCAATGAATGTTTTGGATCAGTGCAAACATTCCAAATCGATGGATTGAATCGATTGAAAACTATCAAAATCGGCAAGAACTCATTTACTCAGGAAAAGAATGGATTGAGAGATGATGAATCGAAATCATTCCACATATTGAATTGTGAATCATTGGAATCCATTCAAATTGGTGAATATAGTTTCAGTGATTTTGCTGGAGACTTTGAATTGAAGAATCTACCACAATTACAATCCATTCGAATTGGTACAATTGAAAGTAAATCATGGAATTTTTGTTATAGTTCATTTGTGATTCGAGGTATTGATATGATATTGAATATTTGAATGATGCATAGATCTTCCAAATCTACAACCATTACATTAAATAGTCGTTCATTCTTTAGCTCCTTCTCAACAATAATTGAAAGTATTGAATGAATTCGAATGAAATGATTGATGTAGATCTTTCATCATTACAATCCACTCAACTCAGTGGAAGAGCACTAAGTAAAAGTAGATATATTTTTCATTCAGTAATGACGTGAAGTAATAATGAATTGAATTGAAATGATCGAACATAGTTTCTCCAAATCTATTATTTATGATCAAGGTTGCCAGAAGTAGTTTTAATTATACTTCTTCAGTGACATTGGAGTATATATTATCTATTGAACATAAATAGTATTCAGATATTCCACATCTTCAATATGTGAATCTTTGTTGTTTATTAAAGTATATTCAATCAAAATCAATTTTGAATATTAATAGATTGACTGACTTCATTCATAGATGCTTCTACTATTCTGCTGAAAAGGCATTGGATCTACAGGCATCATTTCATTACAACTCATTCAATGATCATTCAATCCTAAATGCTTGATTTTTTGTTTGATTCAAATCTTTATCCTTAAACTATGGTTATTCATTGATTTAGGATCCAATCATCGATTGATCCTTTTCCAATAGCATAATCTAAATAGGTTAAGCTAAGTTGTTCCAGTCAGTCGTGTTATTGATTATATAAATGAAAAATGAATGGTTGATAAATAAAATAGAGAGGTTGAGATACTCAAGTGTGATTCAATAATGAATATAGAATTTTGTTGTACTGGCAAATCACAAAAATAAGTACAATTGAATAAAGACTAATAAGTAAATGAGTTGGATTGTACTGGATGGTATTGTAAAAGAATAAACATATACATATATATACGTAATAAAGAGAATAATGTATGGAACTCATTTTCTGGATTGATTTGAATATGCAAGTAATGAACAAACTTATTGGAACATCTGTGAAACTGTGAACATAATACCTTTCAAAAATAAAATGGAATAATGGATTCCATTATACTGTTATAATAATAATATTGATTTTTATTATTATCACTAAAATGCGAAAAGTGATTGATATAGAGAATATCATAAAAGCAAAGAATTAATAAAAGAAATGGAATTGCCCGAATAAGAACTTAGAGAGTTTGATTGAATAATTGATAGTGTAATGTAAAAAGTGTGTACGATCCACTTCTAACCTGCATTTGATTTCATGTAGTTCACAATACACTTTTCTTCATTTGTACGATAAAACGTAGTGCGTGCTGTGTGTTGCTTTATTTCCGACATCTTGTACAAACACACAACGATATCATTTTTCCATTGTCAACACCGAGTAGGCCACATCCAGTTCGTTGATTGTTTTCGTTACCTATTATTTAATTGATTTTTGCATTATTGCTTTATCTTTTGAGTAGTATCCATTTTTACTATAAAAAACCAAATCAATATAGTATTCAAAATCGGTATTTTTATTTGTACTACACATCTCATTTCAAAATAGACAGTCCAACAAATGACTATTCAATTCATACAATTATTTGTTTTTTATGTCACATTCCATGTATTCAAGTTTGTTTGTCATCACATCACGATTTTGATTGTATTCTCTTTTTCCATCTATTCTTGTGTCAATCACATTCTTAATCGCCATTTCTTCATCTCACTTTCTAATACTTTCGATCAAACAAACAACACACATCACGAACAATACTCCGCGTAATCCGTAATCGTATTCGAAATCAATTCCAAATCTTCCTTCGTCGGCTTCGGATCATACACAATGCAATCTGCCTCTTTCACCGTCTTCCCCTTAGCCGCCGAGCTGCTGTTCACCAGCATCGTAATCCGATCTTGGATTTCCGATCGCGACGGCTTCTTCCAAAGGATCCGCGCGCACTCCACGAAGCAAAGCCGCGTCACAAACGCATCAATCGCTGCATATTGGATCTCATTGCTCGACAAAGGCCTTCGATTCCATCCACTCAGCGTCATCGCCTTATCCAAATTCGCTCTCATTGACTCCCTTCCTTATTCGTACTTCACAAAGAACGCGGTCATCGCCTTCAACGACAGCTTCTTCATTCCGATTCTCTTCGCAAGACCATCCAAATACGCCACGTTCGGAATCTTCTCCCAGCATTTCATGCGATGAAAGCTACCATCCAGCCCTCTCTCCACTCCTACCATCGCAAATGCTGGAAATCCTCCCTCCCCAAAAACACATGTGCGATCGTTTGGCTCTCAAACAAATACGAAAACAGCACATCGCCCTCTTCTTGATTCGCTTCTTTCTCCAACCAAACCCCGTCCACGATCCACACCTTCGCTTCCCCGCCGATCTGAATCAAATGCGCGATGTTGTCTCCCTTCCGCAGCTCGAACCACTCGCAGTCCCACCCCAGAACCGTCTCTCCGCGCATTTCCTCCACCGCCTGCCGCAGAGATTCCGCCGTGTCGATGAAGAACACGCGGATATCCGCGGGGAGCTGATAGCACGAGGGGTCCGGCAGGATCAACTCGTCGCGTTTCGCCTGTTTGTCCTGCTGTTAAGAGAAAAACAGGAGACAAAACAGGCCTGGAGGGCGATTGGATCGGGTCCAAATCGTAGAAACGGAGAAACTTCATGCAGAGCTAGGCGTCAGCGAGAAATCGCGCGAAGTACCGCGTAGTCGGAGCCGTACGTCTTCACGAGCAGTTTGTACATGAGCTGCCGCAGCGAGGGAGGCATTTCTACGCGGGAAAAAAGCGCCGAGACACCGACGGTCCGCGACGGAAAAATAGTAGCTGTCTTGGAAGGATTCCCGCGGGGCACGGCACAAGAAGTTGATTAGACGCAGGTTGCGCTGCTCTTCTTGCTCGGCAGCGCTGAGAGTCTTGCGGAGCGCGCCTCGAGACTTGGATCCGGCGGTTGGATGCGAGTTTCGCGCAGGATGCTTCTCTTGGAGAGGGGCATGACGGTTCGATGTGGTGGTGGGTCTGCCGAAGTGTAAATCTCGTTTGATGTGGAGTGCTTTTGCTATGGCTAGGACAATTAAAGCAGGAAAGGTGTCAGTTACATCGAACTCGATTTTCTAGTTCTGGAGTCACGTTATCCGGAAGAGCTTCCATCAACATGTTGAAACCGTAATGAATAATGGACACAAGCCAAGAAAAGTCCACATCATAGTTCTAGTAGCCATCCTCTAAAAACGTCTTACTCTACAGTCCACAATCTTGGAGATAACATCGCGTGGTTTGATTTGAGATATGAGATCGTTGTTGTTCCCAATGTAATTCCGAACACCCACCATATAGTCTTTGTGATACTTTTCACAGAGATTTATCATCAACATTATGTAGTAGGTCACATTATTATTGATCCATTCAGGAATCATTACTATTCGTCCATGTTCTTCCGGCGAGCAATATTTTGAATGACAGATTCCTTGCTTTTCTCTACATCTCACGAAATCTCACGGAACCGACAATGTGCAAAATGGCCTCCGATTTTGGCCGTCCTCGTTCCATTTCCTTCCTCCCCTGCCTCTTCCCGATCTGTGATACATCCGAAGGACTAAAACAAACAATAAATAAATTGACACTTATTCAGGCAGTCTTTCCCAATAAACTTTGCAACGACGCGCTTGTACAAACAACCATGGTAACAAACGAAACGAGGATCACAACCCCATCCACCACCTTAAACCAAATCGGCAAAGTCTTCCAGAAGAAGATCATGTGAATCAAACACGGCAAAATCGTTGCTACGAGGATGGACGTGAAGTTTCCAAGTGAATATTAAGGTTTCCAGCTTCCTTCCTGCATCAAAGGATATTGAAACTCAGCACGTCGCTAAAATACGGGAAAATAAAAGCAACGAAAGAAATCAGAGCTACCATCACAACGCGAAAGACGATCATCTTCTTGTTTCGAATGAACAGCTTTCCTGCGTTCATCGGACCAAAGCCTGATTCAACAACCTCACAGATCGGACCCATGTACAGAGGAACCGATCCGATTGTGGTGATGACCATGAAAATAGAGACAATGGTTCCGAAAATATTCCCATCGGGGAACGAAACCAGAATATTCTGTGCAATGTTGTCTAGCCGTCAGCTCGTTTTCCCTCCATTACCATTCTCATCGATGAAAAGAAGCAAAAACACGATTCCCATGAATGCATAAATCAGAGCCATGGCTACTACGGCAATTCCGATTGTCCGCGTGGCATGTTTCTTGTATTGCTTTTTCAAGTGCTTCTATGGAGAAAAGGAATATATAAAACCATCAACGGTATTCGATAAAAGGAATAAAATGAAAGCTAGCGAGTGAACAAACAATCCGAGGTTCGAAAGAAACCCGGAGGTCGAATGGGGAAATAAATACTCATTCTTCCAGCGGAACTGCGACGTGCACAGTCCAAAGATGAACAAAATGACCAGACTGGCCACCATCGCCAACATCCCAAGAGAAGACACGCCGACGAGCAGCCTATGGAATAAGGACGCAAAGCGGAATAAAACGAAGGGTCTTTTAGGAGGGTGAGTGTAATGACGATTAGAGTGAGGATGGACTGCAAGATTTGCCGATTGACCGTCTCGTTGACGATCTGAAAGGGAAGTTTGCACATGAAATCCGTCATGGCGATCTATTTTCAAAGCAGGGAAGAACGGGCACGATGGTTCCAGCGGAAGCGCCGAAGAGAGTGATGATCATGGAGAGATTGAAAATATAAAATCCGGGTAGGCCCATTGTCTAGATTCAGAGGAGAGAGAGAGGGAATGGTACCACGTAGCAGAGATAGGCGTATTGGTTGTTGGTGTGGATTGTTTTCGTTTTGAGCTTGGAGTGAGAAGCAAAATATGGAAAATAAAATACTTGTTTTCGATCGGCCAGGTGATCATTCGTCAAGATGAGCTGGTAGGAGCCGAGAATATACCCAGCAGACACGATAATAAACAACAACACAGCCCAAATGATCCCAACCTAGCAATTACCACACAAACCAAACACGACATTGTAGACAGCGACGGGAAGAGCAAGACAACCCGTTCCAGCAATCCCCTTCATGATATTCATAGCCAGCTATTGATTAAACGACTCCATTTGAATCACTCCAAAACTATTCATTGTGCCAATCGTTTCTTCTTGACTTTTGTCCTCCAAAGGACTCATTTTCAGTTCCAATTCATTTGTATTCTCCATCACAGGGGATTCACTCTTTGATGTGTCCTCTAGCGTGGGTATCGCATTTGTATTAACGTCGGTATCCACTTTCTTCATTTCAATTTGGTTTTCCATGGTTGCAAAATAGTTGTTTGAGGAGACGAGAGAAACAGAGAAACTCATTGAACCATTCTGCCTTACACGGTTCCGTAGTTATCGAATTCCAGATGTGGTAACACGCCACTCCTTCACATCGAAATGAACAAATTCTCATTCCTTTCGCATGTTTACCAAAATTAGTCTTTTCAAGTTGATATGTCTAGCAGAGAATACTTAAAAGAGATGGGACTGGCCGTTAAGGAATCGAAATCGCGTGGACGATTCCTGGTAACGGAGAAACTGATTCCTGAGGGTATTTCGAACTATTCTTATGCCATGTTTTAGGAACCACCATTATGGAATGCATGCCACTTAGTTGGGCTGTCACAAATGAGTGTGCGACTTCCATCTGCCATCATTGCTTGAAAAGCTTCGAAAAAACTCCTTGCTGCGGTAAGTGCGGGTACACACGTTACTGTTCGAGAATCTGCCAAGTCGATGACTGGTTTGGTTTGGAGAGGTTATTCGTAATTCGATAGGAAACGTCACAAACTGGAGTGCAGTTGGATGAAGAAGCTGATGAATGCATGCTTTCTTGTGTAGCATAAGTTGTAGCTCCATCAGCCGATGAACAGCTATATTCTGATAGTCAAAATGATCTACGAGATCTGCACACACAAAGCAGAAAAATCCATGGTAGACGGAGTCGTTACCGGCGACTACACCGACATCATCGATCTTTGCGATAATATCGGTACCCACATTCCCTTTCTATCACTCAGACATCATTCAGCCCTCCATGCTCTCCAGCTACGAGCAGATCGCCACTCTGCTCCACTCCATCGTCCAATCGGAGCCCTGGTACTCCGACTCCCTCTGCCCGCTTTCCACAATCACTTCCTGCATTGGAAAGCTCTACAGCAATCGCTTCGCCGTGACCACCATCGATCTCTCCGCCCCTCTGGGCCGCTCCTTCACCCAGGAGACGGCCATCGCTCTCTACCCGCTTCTCTCTCTCGCCAATCATCGCTGCACTCCCAACGCCACCGTCGTCTTCGACGGGCTCAAAGCCACGCTCCGCGCCCTCCAGCCCATCCACAAAGGCGAGGAGATCACCGTGCTCTCAAAGAACGAATTCTGATGGCTAGATCTCCTACGTCGATTCGTCGCGTCCCTCCTATCTACGAAATCGGTACGATTTCTGGAATTCCATAAATCAAGGGTTCTTCGCGAAGGATATTGTTTTACCTGCGCCTGTCCGCTGTGTCGCGACACGCATCGCGATCAGCTGCTGCTGAGCTATCGATGCAAATGCGGAGGAGTTCAGTTGCCGCAATTGCATGATGCCATTTCGAGTCCAGGTAGCAACACGCGGCCCATGCGAAGTAGAGGTCTGGAAATGCGAGAGCTGCGGGAAGGAAGCGTTCTTCGCGGACGAATACCGCAAAATCGAGGAGGAGCAGTGCCGCTCGCTTCTGCTGTGGCTCGAGTTTGTGAAAATAACCGCGGTGAGGCGTAGAGCCGGCGAAGGATCGTGGGAAAAACAGGCGGGAAAGCTGATGGAGGAGTATGAGGCGAAGTGCACGCGGGAGAACTATTTGTTGATGCGTGTTTTGGAGGCAATTTTGGCGCGGATTCCGAATTTGGCGGTAAAATTTGGCGGCAAATTGTGAGGCAGAAATTCACGAGGACGGAGGAGATCTGCGCGATCCTGAGCGAGTTTGCGGAGAAGTTTGGGGAGAAGAACGGGAGAAACGTGTGCAAAACGGTGGGGCAGAGAAAAATGGTGATGTGATGGTAGATGGTCGATTGCGGTCAGGTGGAGCTGGCGCTGAGAGAGAACAGGAAAGCGAAGGAGATGTTTGAAAAAGCGCTGAAAATCGCGAAGGTCACCGATGGAGAGAAATCGGCGCTGGTCGAGATGATTCAGAGTCTGATTCAGAAATCGGAAAAGAGGAACTTTGTAACTGGAAGACGTCGGGGGTAAATGAAAGTGCGTTTGTTAGTTTGTTTGTTTGTGAGACATTTTCTGTTACCATGAGTCTCGTTCAGCAGATCGCCGAGATTGAGGAGGAGATGGCCCGTACGCAGAAGAATAAGGCCACCGAAAAGCATATTGGATTGCTCAAAGCCAAGCTCGCGAAATTGAGGCGTGAAATCCTGACTCCCAAGTCTTCCAAGGGAGGTGGTGAGGGTTTCGATGTCACAAAGTCGGGAGATACGCGTGTTGGCTTGATTGGCTTTCCGTCCGTAGGAAAATCCACTCTGCTGACCAAACTGACGGGCACCTTTTCAGAAGTCGCAGCCTATGAGTTCACAACGCTTACCTGTATTCCTGGCGTTATTCACTACAAGGGTGCGAAAATTCAATTATTGGATCTCCCCGGTATTATCGAAGGAGCCAAGGATGGAAAGGGTCGTGGTCGACAGATTATTGGAACGGCGCGAACCTGCAATATGATTCTCATCGTTTTAGATGCAATGAAACCCGTCACACACAAGCGCATCATCGAGAAGGAGTTGGAGGGCTTTGGAATCCGTTTGAACAAGCAGCCTCCCAACATCTACTTCAAGATCAAGGACAAGGGCGGCGTCAACCTCCAAATCATGTCGAAGGACTGCGAATTGGATGCAGACGTCGTCTCCTCCATCCTCCACGAATACAAGATCCACAATGCGGACATCACCATTCGTTGCGACGCCACGGTGGACGATCTGATCGATGTAATCGAAGGAAACCGCGTCTACATGCCCTGCCTGTACGTCCTCAACAAAATCGACCAGATCTCCATCGAAGAGCTGGACATTCTCGCTGAAGTGGTTTCCCCGTTTCCCCTTGATTTCTAGTTGGAGCACTGCGTCCCCGTGTGTGCTGGCCGCGAGTGGAACCTGGACGAGCTTCTGGAGCGGATCTGGGAGTACTGCAAGATGATTCGGATCTACACAAAGCCGAAGGGACAGATTCCCGACTATGAAGAGCCCGTTATTCTACACGCAGAGGCGCCCACCGTCCGAGACTTCTGCAACCGACTGCATAAGAGCATTGTGAACCAGTTCCAGTACGCGTGGGTCTGGGGGTCGTCGGTGAAACACCAGCCGCAGCGCGTGGGATTGGATCATGTGCTGATGGATGAGGATGTGGTGCAGATTGTGAAGAAGGAATAAGGGGTGGAGGAATGAATGAATGGATTGTGGAGGAGTGGATGATTGCTTTTTTTGAGAGTGTTTGTTGGAGAAAACAGATCATTGCTCGGCGAGGCGGAGTTCGCCGTAACCGTTAAGATAAACGTCTTGACTATCGTCCTTGTTGTTGTTAACGCGAATACGAAGCAGATATTCGTTGAATGCAAATCGACTCTCGGAAGTGGTTGCTTTCACAGAAGCGTGAATGAATGCGATCAGAGAGAAGAAAGAAACAAAAATAAGCAACGATTTGAGACACCGGAACAGAACTAACACGATAAATGTGTCTATATTACAGATTCTGTTAATTACATACAAAGAACGAAGGCAGATACACGCATCGTGAGGAATTGGATTCGATGCGATATATAGAAATGGAAAATACTAATAATTAGTGTATTCTAAATCAACTATACAAATAGGAAATAAATATAATAAAGAGAGCGATTGTTAGTCTCTTATTAAACACCCTATATCAAAACTTCATTATTATGATACAGATATATAAGGAGAAGGCATAAAAATGAAAATATATAATTGGCTCTGTAATAGAATGCGTTAATACCGATTTTTCGAGTCTCAGGTTTCTCAACCTTCTCATCATTAAAAATCCCTGTGATAAAGTCTTCCCATGGTTTCTACATTGTGAGACAAGCTCCATACAAAGATCTACCAACTCTCCAAAACCAGTGATTTCTGCCAATCTTTTCAAGTAGATGAATCCTAGAGCTTACCAATAACCTGTAACTCCACTTTCTTCGATTCGTATATTCATGTTCTACACGATTCTGTTCTGTACGAACGTGATTCTCTTCCATGTCATACCATTTCATTTATATAACAAACAACAAACAACTCCAAAAGTCAATGAATCAAAAACAGATCAAACTTTCGTTTCCCCATCTCCCACCATCATCACCACTTTTTCTTTTTCTCTTTCTCTTTCTTCTTCTTCTTCCTCCTCCTTCATCAACAACTTCTCTTGTTCACTCCCATTCTCCACCTTCTCAGCTCCACCTACACTCTCATCTCATCTCTCCATCGCTACGTTTGCTCTTATAACTATCATAAATCACAAACCCCAGTCCCAAAAACACCAAAAACACGCCCAGATCGCCCCACTTCAGCACTTCGTGCAAGAACAAAACGGCCACAATCGTCGTAGAGATGGGCTGGAACGTGGAATACGCCGAGATGATCGATGCATCAATGTACCGATTGCACCACACCTATCGCTCACTATGTGTGTGTGTGTAATTCTACCATTAAGAAATAAGTGGTTATCGAGTGAATGAACACGTAATACAACAAACACCAAATGCCTTCCTTCGGGATGCTCCACGCGCTGGCATTCCCTACATTGCAATCTGCAGTCGATCCTACTTCCATACATCACCAATCCAACGATCATCACCAAAACCGAGCACACATTGTACGAGAGCGATGTCACCGAGAGAGCCGGATACAGCTGCACCAGCGCTTTCGACACGATCTATCCGTGCAGAAAACCCGAGAATCGTACCACAAACATAGAACTGCTCACACAGTTGATGAAGAAAAAGAGCGAGCCGAGCAGAATATTCTTCCCTTCCGTTCCTCCGCCAGAGAACCAAGTAACGATCATCGCACCCGCCGTAGCGAGAAGCACACCGACGATCTTGAGGGCACTTCGCTTCTCCATGCGGAGTAAAATGGTGATCACGACTGTGATAATGGGTTGGGTAGTCTCGTTATAAAAGCGACAAGATTGCATACTTGCCAAATGGATGCGACATGGGCTGGGGCAAAGGAAAGTCCCACGATGAAGAAAACCTGATTTCCGAACATACAAAGACCAACAAGAAAGAGACGCTTCCAGTGGCAGCGTTTTACCAACTGGCTTCGAGTACACAACTATTTCTCATGGAAATGGGTCGGTTATACAGTAATAAGGAGAAGGATCACGCCAGCAAACAATTCTCGGTAAAAGGCAAATATGATGGCAGGCATCGATTTCAGTGCTTCCTTACCCACGCAGTTGCCAATACCAAATAGAACGTGAACAGTAATGGCCGCGATGTGGACAAGCCATTTTGGTGGGATTTCTATCAGATTATTGCGCCGTACCACGCTCCACTCTTTTCTGTAAGGGTTTCCTGTGTTGAATCCATCGATTTGTAAGACAATTGTGTTTTGTTTGGTTAAAAGGAAATCCAGGAATAGAGGGATTTTTTTGCTTTTGTGCTAGAAATATGAAAAGGACTGTGGTGCGCCATAATGCAATACCAGACGAGCTTCTACACAATGAGTCGCTGAATGCTGCCATTGCAAAGCTGCCGTCGAACTACAACTTTGAAATCCACAAGACCATTCACAGAATCAATCAAGTGGGAGCGAAGACCGTATGTCTCCAATTCCCTGAGGGACTTGCAGTGTACTTCTAACTGCTGGGTATCAACTTTTAGCTACGCTTGTGCAATTGCCGATATTATCAGACATTTCGCACATGTAAAGGTGATTGTGATGGGAGATGTCTCGTATGGCGCTTGCTGTGTGGATGATTACTCTGCGAAGCGATTAGGGGCCGATTTTATGGTGCACTACGGCCACTCCTGTTTGATACCCATTCAAGTGACTCAAATTCCTGTTTTATACATCTTTGTCGAATTGAAGATCAACGTGGACCATTTGGTGAAATCGATCCTCGCCAACGTTCCAGATGATCAGCGAATCGCTCTTTTAGGCACAATTCAGTTTTCCCAAGCCATTCATCAAGCTGCTGCTGCCTTAAAGCCGCATTACCCTGAGGTCATTATTCCTCAGGAAAAGCCGCTTTCTCGCGGTGAGGTTCTCGGGTGTACATCGCCCTTCATGCCGACCACCGACTGCATGATCTTCATTGCAGACGGCCGGTTCCACGTTGAAGTTTGTGTTTGTTCCAACAATGCTGAAGAGTAGAGCGCAATGATCACGAACCCGAACGTGCGAGCGCTTCGTTACAACCCCTACACGTTTGTTTCTGCGCCATTTCGATCACGAATAGACTCGAAATGACGGAGGAGGAATACGATCTCACCAAAATGACGCGGCTGCGATCGGCCGAGGTGGAGAAAGCTCGGTCCTGCAAGCATTGGGGGATCATTCTAGGCACGCTGGGTCGGCAGGGGAATATTAAGCTGCTGGAGCGATTGCAGACACTGTTGAAGCAGCGAAACATCGAATATGATGTGGTGCTGCTCTCCGAGATCTCGAATGCGACTGTAGGACTGGGCGAGGCGTGTGAGGGAGTAGCTAACGCGGATGACACACATCGATTGCTGGGTACAGCTGGCTTGCACGCGGCTCTCGATCGACTGGGGGACGGAATATGAGAAGCCGCTGCTGACGTGCTATGAAGGCATGGTGGCTTTGGGAGAGGTGGAGTGGAAAGAGCAGTACCCGATGGATTGGTACAGCGCAAATGGAGGAATCTGGGCAAATGGAACTCGGAGTTGGAGTGTTTGTTTTAGTAGAGGAATGAAGTGGAGGGGTATATAACATAGTAATAGGGGTGAGAATAGAATGGAACATGCTATGGGGTGGATAGAGTGAATAAAAAGACGAATGACTTGGCAGTAAGGTGGAAATGTGGACTGCACAGATGAACGTCAATGTGTTTACACATGAATAAAAAGTATAGCCCTAGAGTATGGGAAATGTCATATAGAAAGAGTGTAACTCCTTCCTTGAATGCCATAACATTAAAAACTTGTGTCAATCTATCACACAATATTTCAACATAACATTGCAATACTGAATATCACTCAATCGATTCCTTAACCCCACTCTTTACTCCAAAAAAACAATCCTTTCAACTATTGCAATCTGTGCTTCTCTTCCTTCTATATTGTGTCCACTCGATCCATAGGTCATGTTACTCATCCCATAGTGCCATCACAGAATTCAACACTATCAAACCAGCCCATGCAATATCAGAAGCAAGAGATGCGGAAGCCGTCTCATCAAATGATCAGCATGAATAATGTAAAAACACAAATCTGCAGTTCGTCACTTTACAGATGCGTTGCTCGCCACCCACACTCGTCAAAGCACTCCCAATTTCAAGGAAATGCTCCTTTTCTAAATAATGTTCATTTATTGGATGAAATGGTTCACTTTAGCGAGTTCATTCTTTCATCTATTTATTCTTTTCTTTGGCGTTTTTTCGCCGTTCGATCTAGCCTATGAACGCGAACCCTGCTGACGTTTATTCTCACCCATACGACGTAGCGACTCCTTCCCACTTAATGTCCCTAGTTCGGTCCTGCCGATTCTAACTCCTATGCAGCTCCCGGTTACCCTCCCGTAGTTAACCGAAAAAGCCCTCCTCCTCCTCCTCCTCCCAAGCCGGCTTATGATCCCTCTTTTTATCCTCCCCCTCCCCCTCCTGCTCCTGCTCCTCCTGATCACTACACTGGAGATTCTCCGTACCTCCCTCCTCCGCTTCCTCCGAAGCCATCCGGACATCCTCCCTTCCTTCCCCCGAAACCCCAGGATCTTCATGACGTGGTGGCTTCTCTGAACTCCTTCCCTCAGATTCGCGTATCATTGTCCCTTCCCATTGTGACCACAGAATTACGAGTTTATGAGTGCGCCCTATATGGAGGTGGATAAAGAAGCGGTTTGCAGAGTTCCTGTCGATTACCCTACTCCTCCCGGAGTAGTTCTCCCAATTCCTAGTTTCGTTCCCTCGTACATCGACGAAGCTGACGCAATTGCGCATTTCCGCAGCTACGTAGCCTCGAAATGTTGCTGGGACCACTCCATCCTGGACGAGCTCCAAGTCGTGTCTGTAAGAAAAATTTTATGAATTTTGACGCAGTCGGAAATGTGTTTCGCCTACGTCATTTCCCTCCAAAACACATTCGAAGCGCGTTCCGCCGTTTGGAGGGAAACTCCGCTTTCCAATATCCCGCTCTCTTCGCCGAGTTTGGGCATCCCGCCCTCTCCCTGGCAGTTCCAGCTCTCGCTGCCACCCTATACCGCGGGAATCAAGTCCGTTCCCGTGCCATTTACCGAATTCGTCAGACCGTGCTCGCATTGTGCTGGTAGGCGCGGGAAGTGTTTTATATGCAGGATCTGGACGAATGGTGTGCGAAGTTTGCCGCGGACGTGGATCTGTGCCATGTCCGGAATGTGAGAAGAAAGAGGAGCCGGAGGATAAGTTGATCGCTTGTGCGGTTTGCCACAACTCCGGATGTGTACCCTGCCAAAAGTGCCAAGGCCTCGGGAACAATGCATGTGATTCATGTTCGGGTCGCGGCCAATTGAAAGCTTATCTGGAAGTATCCTCGGAGATCCGCACGGAGGAGAGCAAAGACACGGTGGAAGCGGGTGGTTTGACGCATGAGTACTTGCAGCTGCTGGAGGGCGAGATCGTGTACCAGTACGCTTTGAACTTTGCTTTTTGATGTGTGTAGAGCGGAGGGATCGCGTCTGATTCCTGCGCAAGCCTATCAGGACGAGGAGGTCATCCGCGGCGTGATGAAGCTGTTGGAAGATACCGCGCAGCGAGAGCGCGAGTACGAAGTTCTGCTGCGATGGCAGAAGCTGGTGGTGGGAATGGTGCCGATCCGAGTGTTGCATTGTAAGAGTGGAGATGTGGAGTTCTTTGCGGATGTCTTCGATAAGGATATGAAAGTGTTCTGTCCCGATTTCCCAGTGCAGAAATGCGCGTGGTTCAGTAACTTGAAGCATTCTTGCAGCATTATGTAGACTTTCTTTTGTTTGTTGGAGAATCGATGGATGTGGGGAGAGGGAGCGGCGTTGTCACCAGTAGTACTTCCAGCAGGTCATTAAGGCAACATCTTCCAAAGATGCGGCACTCTTCGCTAGCTGCTTCAGCATTCATCCGTGGTCGCACTGTGGAGGCGAAATGGTGTGGAATCAGTTGGTTCAGGTGCCAAGCCGTCGTTTTTGTCCATCGTAGATTCAAATTCCTCTAGCGCACAATCCTGTGGAATACAATGAAATGTATAAACGATTGGGATAGGAACGATGCCTAGGCTGTGCACCCTCACGCTGAAGCATATCGACGTAGTGAAAGCGATCGCCCTCAATCCTGCCGAGGCTCCAAATTGCCAGCTGGCGTTTTTTGAGTGTGTTGTTTCGTGTTGCGTTGTTTTGTAGGAAAGTGGTTGATTTGCGCAATCTCCTGTCGCTTCCGTACACTTATCCCTTTATTGTCCAGACCTGCAAACAAACATACCAACTCATTAAAAGTGTACTTCCGCTCTTTCTCTTTTTGATCCCTGTTAGTCTCTTCAAACACATCCTCTTTTCGATAATCAATATCTCACCAAATATCCCCAATTGATGCGAATTCTGTTTGAGTCTGTACGATCCAATATTCCAAGTTCTGTTTGTGTCTTTTTCGTTTTTTGAATGCAGGTAAACTATGAACTGGTTTTCGTCCCGATTTTGAACTCCGCCTTCAAATGTGCCTTCACCCATTTAAATTATTCCTTCTATCGCTCCATTATCGAATGTTACAAAATTACGGATAAAACCAATTTTACATTCTCATCGATCGACGAAAAGGTTTCCCTCCATCTTTCCCTCATCATCTCTCATAGTCTACCTATTACTATTACCAGGGCCGTGGCGCTCTCTGCTCCCAAGCCTACGATCTTGCACGCAATTATTTCGAGCAATCGCTCGCATCTTGCCAACCCTGGCATTACCGCAACCAATCGTAGAGTATCCAGTGTATGTCACTAGCAGACGCATTTTATTCTTCCTAATTCCGTTAAAACTGCTGAACAATGTGTATTTGAGCGAAGACAGTCTGGATCAGTATCACTTCCAAATCGTATGTTTATTGGATGGGCGGTTCACGGTAGCTCAAGCAAATCACGCTCTGCGTCAAAACCGGGAATCTAGCTCTCTTCGATCAACTCGTGGAGGAGAACAACCTTTTGTTTTGCAAAAGAGGAGTTCACGTAAAGGAGCATTTTCCGAAATCATGCGCAGTTAGTCTACGCACAGCTTCGCACGCGCGTCTACAGCAATCTGGTGATCAACATAGCGAGATATCTGGGAAGGAAGAACGTCTCGTTCGATCAGATTCGTTTGGGATTGCGGGGAAAGGGCGACGTGACCGATGAAGAGATCAATTGCTTGACCGCCAGTGCAGCTAGTAAAGTGAGGGATTTGTGTTTTTGTGATGATTGTAGCGGCATCTACGTGCCTACTCGAACCTCGCATACAAGATGGTCGTTTTATCGAAGGATTATTTGAATAACAATAATTAGCGATCGATTCTTGTTTGTTTCACTCGCTCTAGACTGTGCAACTCGTTTGATGTACGAAATCCAAGCAAGAAGTTTGAAAACTTGTCAAATCACCCAAAGTGTGTCTGCCGATGAAATACACTGGCCATCAGCCTTTCCAAGGCATTCTAATAGCATTCCCAAGTGAAGAATATTCAAAGAGTTTCCTGCTTGTTCTGGAATCATCAGTTCGGATGTACAGAAGTTCCTCGTTGTTGATTATCAAGGACCACTGCTGAACGCGAAATGGTTCTAATAAACTATATCTTATTTTAGTATGCCTAGACCTCGTGTATTCTTTGACGTCAGCATTGGTGGACAGCCTGCGGGACGAATTGTCTTCGAGGTGAGCTCTGTGGTGGCTTTCTGAAGGCTAGCTTTTCAGCGATATTGTTCCTAAGACCGCTGAGAACTTCCGCTGCCTGTGCACTGGAGAGAAGGGAAAGGGAACCAGAGGAGAAGATCTGTGCTACAAGAACTGCATCTTCCACCGCGTTATTCCCAACTTCATGATCCAGGGAGGAGACATCACTGTACGAGCGTCCACATTGCTTCATCGTAGGATTTCAACGGCTATGGAGGCGAGTCCATCTACGGAAACAAGTTCGCCGATGAGAACTTCAAGGTGCGCCACGATCGTGCTGGTCTGCTCTCCATGGCGAACGCGGGTCCCAACACCAACGGTTCGCAGTTCTTCATCACCACCGTAGGTCGCGCAGCGCGTGTGTGAAGCCTAGGTCCCCACTCCTCATCTGAACGGTCATCATGTGGTGTTCGGCCAAGTGGTGGAGGGAATGGAAGTCGTGAAGGCTCTGGAGTCCAACGGCTCGCAGTCGGGCCGTCCTCGCACGGAGCTCAAGATCACCAACTGCGGTCAGCTGTAAGCCTCGCTCTCCCTTTCTGTCTGTCAGTCTGTCTGTCTGTTAGGGAGTGTGTGATTGATTGATTGATTGCCTGCTTGTTTGTTGTCTCAAACACCGCATATCCCCGACGATCCCTCCGACACGGCATTCTCCTTTACAGCTCCTTCGCCTCCTCTACCGGCGCGGCCTCCTTGGGCTGGTTGGGCTTCCAGGCGGGCAGCGGCTGCTCCTTGGGCTCGTGCACCACGATGATATCGGGCAGAGCCTTCTTCGGGCCCAGACGACCCTCCGGATCCGTCGGCTTCATGATGCGCACCTTCACGCCCAGCATTCCCTGCTTCACCAGCACGTGGCGAGTCGCCTCGTCCACGAACTCCTTGCAGGCGTAGCCCGTCTTGATCATGTAGCCCTCCTTGAACTTCATCGCGTTCGCACGCTGCTGGCGCAGCTTTCCCGACACGATGACCTCGCAGCCCTTCGCTCCGGCCTCCAGAGCGCTGCGGATCACAGCGGTAGCGGCACGGCGCACAGGCAGACCGGCGAGCAATCTGTACTTCAGGGCCTCTGCCTGAGTCTGGGCGCACAGGCTGCGCTCAGCCACACGCTCGGCGTACAGAACAACGTTGTTCTCGTTGAAGCCAAATCTAGGGAATTAGCTCGCCTTCTCACAAAACACGTACCTCTTCTGGACCAGAGCAGTCAGCTCGTTGATGCGGCGAGAGTTCTCACCAATAATCTCCTGAGGTCTGGGAGCACGGATAATGATCTCCGTCTTCATGGTAGACTTGCGGATGCTCACTCCGGAGTAACCCACCTCAGCGAGCTCACGGTTCAGGAGCTGAAACGTCACTTCCCCTCGAAAACACCTCCTACCTCGTCGAGCTCGGCGTAGAACACTCCATCGGCCACACACTGTCTCTTCTTGCTAACTCTTTCAACGCTCATGCCTGTCGGTCAAATATAATAATGAACGGTGAAACATTCAAATAAGCGCACAGTGATCAACCTCCTTGATTATCAATAAATTGTGAACCACTATCATTTCAACAAACAAGGCACAATGACACTTCTAAAAGGACGATTTCTGCGTATTTCATGTAGTACCAGACGTTCTGCTGCTCCAGCACATGTTCTGTCACAGCTAGCCCCTTTGCCTCCAAACCCTCCTTAAACCGGTTGAAAAGCTCCTTCGTTCGCACGGTACAGCAGATAAACGCTCGGCGCACTACGGTGGAAGCATCCAAACAATTCTACAGCCACATTCGGAAAGCGAGTAGGTAATCAGCTCGATTAATCCATCGATCAGATCAGGTGAGAATGTCTGCAGTGAACACAATCCAATTATCTGTATACCACATCCGTAGCGACCAACACATCAGGATGAATGCGTTGAATCTGGTTCTTGTCAAAGTTGCAAAAATCGATTGTCTCCACGGCGGGAACTGGCTTGTGAAGCCTAGCAAACACATCACGATCTACATCAAACGCTCGATCGAATTCGCACTTTCTTCCACGTTACTCAGAATGTACTCGGTCACTTCATTGCAATAATCGCTCATCACCACCGAACAATTCTCCACGATGCACTGCAGCATTTGGCCACACAATCCACTTCCAGAACCGACTTCCAAAATGGTGCTGTCTTTGAATGCAGCGGAATGGGTCAAAACCCACTCCAGCAAGGCAAAGCATGCTTCCCAGGTTTGAAATGCAGTACAATTGGAAGAACGCTTCAACCGAACTTGAATGAACTCGTCCGTGTTGGGAAGCGAGTAATACCGAAAGTGGTATTCTCCTTCCTCCTCACTACGTGTAAATAATAATAAAATATCAAAAGCCAACTGTTTCAAGTGCACACGAGCATATTCCGCTGCAAACGAGTCTGCAATGTACTACAGTAAAAACGGCAGGGTTCGCTTACTGCGTCCTTCTCCATGAGTTTGTCGAAATAACCACGAATGAACTGCCTCTCGTAGTCAAAAACACGACCATTCTTGACGATCAGCGGATGGTTTATCATCTACAATCATAACAAACATGGCTACATCGATACTTTGTTGACAACACAATCCTGAAACGATTCCTCGCTCCAGTGAGGACACGACAATATTGTGTCCAGTACTGTTTTCACGGGAGCACCTTGAAGATATAGGTTACACGACTGGACGAAAGGGTCCATCTCACAACGATAATTAGTTATCGTATGAATCGACTATTCGCGATAAGATGTGCTCTTCGAAACACGTTTTTGTTTGCGCGTGTTTCTGGAATACGTTGCTATAGAACAAGACCTGCTATGTCAAGTCTGGTCTTATGTGTATGCATTCATGTGTAGTCGATGAGTCAGCATTGCCTTCCCTATCAATACAAGAAAAGAATCGAATTGAAGCGGTTTTGCGTGATCAGCGTTCAATTCGAAATGTTTCAAAGCAGATCGTGTATGCAAGCAATGAAAAACCGAATGACTCGGAAAGGAGTCCATATCTGCCTGCTGCCTCGAAATCCTCCCTAACCCCTGATTCTAAACCATCTTCTCAATCTCCACAGCATCCAAAATCATCAAAGCCAACTCGAAAGCGCGCTTCTCTGCTCTATGACCTTCCGATCTCTCGAGAAGGCTTTACAGACGAGGAATTCGAATCAATCCAGCAACTACGCGATGCTGTAGCCGATCCTGCCAACCTCAAATCCAAATCTCCCCAGGACTTGTTCAAATCGATGGGTCTAACGGCTTCGGATCGCCAATTCATCGAATCGGAGCTTCGCGACATAGAATCCAAGCCGCTGCCTTCGCCGAAGAACGTGGATACGACGCCATTCGAGCGGTTAGAGAAAATCATGCGAGAGGACGAAGGGATTTACGCGAGCTTCGAGCAGTGGATGAAGGAAGTGGAGAAAGTGGTGGGCGAAAAAGTGAACAATCCCACGTCGCTCACCGAGGAAGAGATCAAAAACCTCCCGCCAGCGCCCGTCAAGGTGCAGGAAGCGATGCGGTATATGCTCTCTGGCAAGAAATAGTCGATTTAGCGTTCGTTCTGTTTGCAACAAACACAAAATTGCTCGGATTCATCGGGAATCCACCACTTGATCAAGCCAAGTCCATCTACGCTAATATCTCCGTACACCAAGTTAAAGAAACACTCAAAAAACACAATAACAATAACAACAATTAAAAAAGATATAATTAAAGCCATTGGATTGGGAGGTAAAAGTTTGTCTTCGCGCATATCCACACTCGAACTGCGTAGACGCGTTATTTCTGGACCCTGCACGTCGATACTCTTCGTTCGCGTGCGAACCTACCATTCACACATCATCATCATCATGTCGCTACGCTCCGATCCGCTTCGTGCTCGACATTCTTCACTTCTGATGTGACCAATGTGTTATTTTCTGAGGATTACCTCGCATTTCGAAAAGCACTCTCAACTCGATTATACTGAATGGCGATGACGCGGAAGCGAATAAACTCGCCTGTGTTAATATCAAAATCCAACTGCTGGTCCCCGTCGCGATAGTGCCAAACCCAAATCCGTCGAACCGGATCGTATACGCTTACATCGGGGACTGAAGTTTACAAAAAAGAACCGCCAATTCCTACGATTGTATGATGGAATCCAAACGTCATCCATAAACTCTAAAGAAACTCGAATGCCACTCATGTTACTCGACAAAACCGTTCCCACAATGATCTCTCCCTCCACTGGCCGAAACAGGATCATGCGGAATTTTACTAAGTTTGATATCGTTTTTAGGCTCAGTACCGCCCGTGTGACAGGCTCCATCTCCAGGATACACTTTGCTGTCCTCGATTTCCACAAAGTCGTAGAATGCGATACACAGTCCATATTCGGGAATCACTTTGTTTGAATATTTCCGATTAATCTCTTTAATTAGCGTCTAGACAAGGTCAGGGCAACTCCGCTCGCAGCGCCTACCTGCACATGCTCCTCTCCGAATTGGCTGGGCTCAATCCGAATCACGTCCTTAATCGTAAGGAGAATGAACATTGCTCAAATTTTGTGCGCTTTTCACAGGATGGTACTGGGAAGCAGCGCTCTGCAGCCTTCCCCTGCACCAAGCGAGAGAGACACGCTCAACGCGATTCGAACAAACAATCCACCCTCAGAATTGCTCCAGGTCGTCATCCGCGGTCTTGGGCAACTTAATCAGCACTCTCTGCACGTAGGTTCTCAAATACTTCGCATCGGCGACACTGAGCGATCCGATGTAGTTCTCGAGCACGCTCGGGTTCTCGTGGATCTGCAGCAAATGCAGCAGCGCGCGCTCCGACGCCAGCTTCACCGGCACGTACGAGTCCTGCACGCTCTTCAGCAGCGTGGGCACGAGCTTGGCGAGCAGGTCGTCGTTGGCGTCCTTGCAAACCCGCGCGAACAGCGAGATGGAGATGACCGTCTCGTAGCGCACGCTGGAGTTTCCGTCATAAATGCACAGCGAGAGATCGTTCAGCAGCCCGTCCAGCACGCGCGCCTACCTCACAAACCCCGATCACTCCCACCTTATCGGCCTCGCTGAGCAGCGAGTACGCGTTGAGCACGTATTTGCAGTCGGAGATGGCCGCCTTCCGCACCATCAGCGAGTCGCTCTTCAGGAACGCGCGGATCCGATCGATGATCGCCGCGTGGCTCGCCGCGCACCGCTCCGCGTTGTACCGCAGCACTTGGCCCAGCGCCAGGCAGCGGCCGTGCACCACGTCCACGCTCACATTGCCGGGCTCGGCGAGGATCTTTGTCTCCAGGATCGACTGGAACGCCGCGTCCGCGTTGAACTTGAGCGCCACGCCCAGCACGCGAGCGGCGGCCACGCGCGTGGCCTCCTCCTTGGCTTCGATGAGCTGCAGCATGCTCTACTCATCAGCAAACGAGCTTAAAAGCGCACGGAGGTAAGTTTGTCGCAAGTGGCGTCCTGGATGCGCTCGCCGACCTGCAGTAATGCGCCCTGCAGCGCCGCCAGAATACTCTCCTGGATCTCCTCCGACTGCGACAGCGCGCTCTCCGCGAGGTCGCAGAGCACGTTGTCGATACGCGCCGAGAGCCTCACCACGTGCACCAGCGCCTGGCCGCCCTCCACACGCACGCCCTTGTTGGAGTCCTTCAGCGCGCGGATGAACGTGGTCTGCAGCTGCGGCAGGAAGGGGCGCAGCGCGTCGCCCGCCTTGGAGAGCAGCAGGTTCAGCGCGTGGTAGAGCTGCACGCGCGTGGTGACGTCGAACATGTCGCCGATGATGCGGATCAGCGGACCCGTGATCTGCAGCGCGTAGACGCGAACGTTCTGCGCGGGAGAGTACTGCACCAGATCGCCTAGACGTGACACCACGACTCCAATCGTACAGACCAGCGCCGCGCAGTCGCCCTTCTTCTCGGTGGGCGCGACCCTACGCTGAACTTCATCCATTGCTCCCTACATGATGGCTTTCTGCAGCAGCGTGAAGAACGGCTTGAGTCCTGCCTTGTCGGCGAACGCGGGCAGCACGTAGGTCTCCATATCCACGCCGGGCCTAGCGGTGAGTCTCCTTGTGTTCTCGTCGCCTACTTGTATCGCTCCGTGCTGATCACCGTCGCGATCATGCTGCTGATGAACGCGATGTGCGGCACCATCTCCGTCGGACTCACGCGCGCGAACAGCGCGTTCAGCGCCTTCCACGCCGCGTCCAGCACGTCCTGGCTGTGCTCCGAGGAGCGCTTCAGCACCAGCCGCAGCACCATCTGGATCTGGTCGTCGAAGTCGGCCGTGGTCTTCTCGACGAACTCGGCGAGCATCAAGCAGGCCTCGCGGCGATATCCGTTGTTCACGAAGTTGCTGATCTTGTCCAGACACGTGATCAGCCACTGCACGCCCGTCGTGTCGATGCTCGTCACCATGCTGCGCAGCGTCTGGCTGATCGCGTCCGCCAGCTCGCGGTCCTCCATGGGGGTCTCGGCCTCGTCGTTCTTCCCGTAGAGCTGCAGAAGGAAGTCGTTCGCGATGTCGCTGAAGAAGAAGTGCAGGAACTTGCTGGTGGTGGGGAGGATGCAGCGCATCACGTAGAGGTGCGAGCACGTCAGCGGCTGCGCGGTGAGGCGGTTGAACAGCACGGAGATCATCTGACGGCCCTGCACCAGGATGATCTGCTTCAGTCCGTTCATCGCGTTGTGCTGGCGACCGCTGTCCGCCGACTCCAGGTCCTCCAGCAAGATCGGCAGGATCGAGTTGAACGCGTTGCTGCTGCCCTTTCGCTGCAGGATCGTCAGCGCGTTCGCCGCCACCGACCGCACCGTCTCGTCCTCGTCGCAGATCGACACCTTCAGCGACTGCAGGAACGCGTCGCCCCAGCTCTTCACCACCGCCGCCGAGCAGTTCGACAGCACCTGCACGAAGCCCATGCACACCACCTGCCGCGTGACCGCGTCCTCGCTGCTCATGCCGTTGTTCAGCACCTCCAGCACGTGCGGGACCACGAACTCGCCCAGCTTCTGCACGATCTCGCCCAGGCAGCGCGCCGCGAGCATCCGCTTGTTCTCGCTGTCGCTGGTGAACATGGAGAAGCAGAGCTTCGTCAGCTCGCCCAGCACGCGCTTCAGCGTGCGCGGCGTGTTGCTCACCACCGACTTCCACACCTGGAAGGCCGACTGCCGCACCGTGGCGGTCACGTCGGTGGTCAGGTAGAAGAGCGAGGCCATGATCTCGGTCCACGTCTCCACGCCCAGCTCCTGCTGCAGCAGCGTTTCCACGTTGTCGGAGGAGAGGCCCGTGTCGTTCTCGCTCTCGCTCATGCCCACAGCACGCGTCTTGCCCAGCGTGTAGAGCAGCTCGCCCATCAGCATGATCGACGACTGGCGGATGCGCCAATCGTCGTCCATCATGGCCTCCTTGATCGGAGGCAGCACGCTCTCCAAGTTCGACTTCGCGTAGTTCTTCGTGATCACCTGGCCCGCACGCAGCGCCACCTCAGCGACCATTTCGGACTCGTCCGCCAGCCCACTCACGATCGCGGGCAGCACGGTCGGCACCAGCGCGGCGAACCGCGAGCCCAGCGTGGACGGCAGGAAGGAGATCGTCCACATCACGCCCTCGCGGACGCACGCGCGCGGATGCGTCGCGTTCAGCAGCAGCTCGCTCAAAATCTCCTTGAAGTGCGCCTCCGAGAAGGAAGAAAGCAGGTCGGCGAGGCCCTGGGCGGCGCCCGAGCGCTCCGCCACCGTGCTGTCCTCGTACACCTTCTCGATCAGCCACTCCTGCAGGTCCTTCATGTCCTCCTCGCCCACCTCGCGGCCCAGCAGACCGATGCTGTGCGCGGCCACGGCGCGGACGTCGGGCAGCGGGTCCACCAAACACTTCTTCAAGGGCTCGATCAGCTTGCTCAGATAGGGCAGCACGTCGTCGCGCGACGCCAGCGAGCAGATATTGCCGACAATCAGCGCGGCCTTCTTCTTGGTGTCCGTCACGCGGTCGTTCAAGCCTCGGATCAAAATGGGGATGATCAGCGACAGCGAGGGCGCATCGATCGTGTGGTGGAAGCTCGTCTCCGTCAGCGTCTTCAACGCCGTGGTCGTGTGGATGTGCGGCTCCGCCAGCGCCTGCAGCAGCACTTGCTGCACGTCGGCGATCTCGGGCGTTCGGATGACGTTCCCGATGTCCATCAGCGCGGTCTGCGCGGATCGCTGGATCTCCTGGTGCGCGTCGCTGCACGACTCGGTCAGCAGCGGCACGATGCGCGGCAGACACGACGACAAGCTCTGCGGCGAGCAGTACGCCATCGCGCCCAGCATGCGGATGGACACTTGCTTCGTTCGCCAGCGCGTGTCGCCCATGCCTTCCAGCACTTTCGGCATCACGAGCTTCACGCCGTGCGGCGACAAGTTCCGCATGACGGAGCGACTCGCCGCCTCGGAGGCCTTCCGCACGCGCTCGTCGCGCGACGAGTAGTTCTCGAGGAGGATCGGGAGGAACTTCACGACGTAGGGCTCGAACATGAAGGTGAGGGCGTCGAAGAGCGAGCCCAGGACCAGCATCGCGCCTTCGCGCGCGATCATCGACGAGCTTCGCGCCGCCGTTTCGATAAACGAGATGATGTCGAAGTCGCGCAGCACCTTGCTGCCCATTCCCTTGATGATTCCGGCCAGACCCACCGCGGCGCCGTGCCGCTCCGCGTACTCCTCGCTCGTCGTGAGCTGGTTCAGCAGCTGGTCCACGTAGGTTTTGGCCTGGGTGTGGACGCAGTCGTACTTGAAGAGAGGCGTCAGGCAGCGCGCCACGGCCTCCTGGACCGACGCGGAAGGAATCCGCAGGGCGTTGATCAGCGTGTCCACCGTGCTGAGGATCCGCGGATCGCCATCCTTCAGATAGCAAGCCACCTTGCCCAGCAGCACGATGCCGCCTTCGCGCTGGTGGTCCTGGATTCTGCAGGCTTCCTCCGTGTCGGCGTCCTGCTCCAACGCGCTCAGCTTCTTGTTCAGATACGTCAGCACTTCCTCCGGACACTCCGCTCCGTAGTTCTCCATCAGGCTCTCGCCCGCGTGCATCGCCTGCACCCGCACTTCGCTCTCGCTGTACGTGAATCCGCGGTCGAACAGCCGGTCCAGCAGCTGGTCCAGCAGCGTCACCTGCACCGCCTTCTCCGCCGCGCACTGCTCCAAGCAGTAGAACATCGCCAGAATCGTCGGCTCCTGCGCCTTGCGCTCCGCAGGGACCGTGATCGCCTCCACCTCCTCGCACTTCTTCTCGATGCGATCCAGCACCGCGCGCGACGCCTCCGGATGCTCCAGCAGGCCGTGGGCGATCGCACGCGCCGCTGCGCGACGGATCTTCCCCACGGAGTGGCCCAGCAGCTGGAACAGCGGGATGTGGAACGAGGCGGGCAGCGCGATGGCCTTCTTCTCCCACTGCAGCTGCGCCTCCTCGGCGATTTCCTCGTCCTCGTCGTACTGCGCCATGTACAGGCGGATCTGAGTGTGAGATAAAAGAAAAGAGAGCAGTGGTACCACATAGAGAGGATTGCTCGCGTAGTTCTCCACGCCGTCCAGATTGATCAGCGCGTTCAGACGCACATCCTCCGAGTCCGAAAGCAGGCCGCGATCGCCCAGCAAAAGCAGCACTTCGCGAGGCTGCAGCGGCACGGAGGTGTCGCAGTACGCCATCAGCACGCTCTCTGGAGAGGGCTCCAGTCGCGGCGACACGCGGAGAATCTCGAGCAGGATCTCGAGCACTTCCAGGCGGCACAAGCGAAGCGTCGACTCCAACGTCTCGTCCTCCGTGCTCACGAAGCAGTTCAGCAGCGTGACGATGTGCGAGTAGATGCTGGTAGCCTCGGGGGCGAACGCCAGCGGCTTCAGCAGCGGGAGGAAGAGCGAGAGATAGCAGGAGGGCGCGGGGTCCTCCTCGAAGAGCGGCACGAACGTGCTGAGAAGCGGCTCAGCGAGGGCGACGAGCTGCTTCATGGAGTCTAGAGTGAAGAAACGGAGAAACGGGGTACAGAGCGAGAGATAGAAGACGGTGTAGAGACAGTTCTCGAGCTGCGCGGCGAGCGACCCATCCGCGATGCACTGCGTGCACTGCAGGAACACTCTACGCGTCACCCTCCGTCCGCAGACCGTACTCGCGCGCCAATCGGGTCACCAGCGGATTGCCCAGCAGTCCCGACACCACCGTGCTGATCTCGTTCAGATGCGGCTCCAGAGCCCACTTGCCGCCCAGCACCAGGCAGCGCAGTCGCAGCAGCGCCTCTCTGTACCCCTTGGCCACCGCGTCCACCGCGGCTCGGACCTCCGCCTGCTGCTGCAACGCCTCGTTGCGTGCGGCGATCGCCTTGTCCGCCACGTCCTTCGCCAGCTTGTCCTTATTCAGCTCCGCCTTCAGCTGCGCCGCCCACTGATCGTCGTTCTTCGCCGCGCGGCTCACCGCCTTGGCCTTGGCTTTGGCCTTGGCCTGCTCCTTCGCCTTCTGCGAGGCCAGATTCGGTTCGTCGTCGAAGCCGGAGTCGTCGCGCGGCTTCCACACCACGAACTCCTCCGTCTGCCAGATGCTCAGATCCTTCGCGGAGATCTCGTTCACCGCGGGGCTCTGCGCCATCGTCTTGATCTCCTCGATCAGAGCGCCGTAGATGGGCTCGGTCAGCGACGTGAGCTGCATCAGATGAACGATCGTCTGCTCGGTGGTGAACGCGGTCCATCGATTGGCCGTCTGCAGACCCAGTTCCTCGTCCTCCAGCATCGCCTTCACGTCCTCCAGCATCGCCTCGTTGCACTCGATGCTCTGCAGCGAGCCCAGCAATTCCCGGGCGATCGTGTCTACGTCCCACCTCGCCGCCTCGCCTACGCCACGTCACCGACTGCTTGTGTCCGACGTTCATAAACGGGTGCGACGCGCACCACGCCGCCAGCACCACGTCGTTGTTCTCCACCGCGCCGTGCAGCATCGCCTTCAGCATGTCCACCAGCGGCTCGCGCGGCAGCGGGTACTCATCGTTCACGAAAGGAATCGCCGAGCTGCGCATCAGCCAGCACTGGAACGACTCCAAGAGCGCGTGGAGACGCGCGTGGTCCCGCGCCAAGCTGCGCAGCATCGCCAATCCCGACTCCCGGATCTCCGATCGCGGCATTGCCTACGTCCCATCCCCTCAGAATTGCCCACCACCAGATCGAACAGCAGCTGGCTCACGCGGCATTCCTGCGTGGCGTCGAACACGTGCGTCTTCATCGCCTGCTCCAGCAGCTGCACCACGCTGCGCTGGCACCACCGCACCGTTTCCTGCTCCTCCGCGTTGCTCGTCGCGTACAGGCTCCGCATGAACAGGAAGCTGCTGAACTCCGTCGCCTTCACCGCGGAATCCGGAACGGCGCACCCCGCCTTCACCGCCATCTCGATCACACTTCCCATCGCGATGATTCCGCCGCGACCATCCAGGAACGGCTTCGCCGCGGCGCGCTGAATCGCGCCGTCCAGCACGGGGAGCAATTCCTTCGCGTTCAGCGGCACGTCCGGCAGCGAAACCGCGCAGTTCAGCAGGTACAGCGCCGGAATGCTCGCGTTCCCCGCGAGTTTCGCGCCGCTGACCGCGAGAGCGAGGATATCCGCGGGGATCTGCTGCGCCGTCTGCACGGCGAGCGCGAGCGCGTCCATGAGGAAGCATTTGTTGGCGGCGTTGGCCTCTTTCTTGTAGGCGGCGAGGAGGACGGGCAGCAGATCGCGGCCGCAGGCCTGGACGTCGGATTTCTGCATGACGCGCGCGTCCAGCGACCGCAGAATCTCGCTGAGCGCCACGTACACGCGGCGCTTCGCAGGGAGGGCGAGGCGCGAAGCGTCCATTTCCTTGAGCAGGGCGGAGGCGAAGCCCACGACGGCCTCGGGGTCGCTGCAATGCGAGAGCACGTCGTGCAGCAGATGGGCGGTCTGGGTCTCCGCGTCGGACGTTTCCTGCTTGACGAGATGCATGCAGGTGTCCACCAGGAAGGAGAGGTAGCGCGACGCATCCACGCGGATCGAGCGGAACGCGGCGATCAGGCAGGGCGTGCCGACCTCGGCGTTGCGCTTCACGCTGCGCGACAGCGCGGGGAAGAGGTCTTTGGACAGCAGATCGTGGCTCGACGCCGCGGTAAGCAAACCGCCCGCGAGGACCACGCTGCTGGGAGGCACTTTGCGGGCCGCGGAGAGGATGGAGAGGTAGCTAGGGAGGATAAGGAGAGAGAGAGAAAGCAAGGTACTTCTTGGCGATCGATGCGAGGGAGGTTGATTGAAGCTCGGCGTTGTGGATCGCGTTACAGAGATAGCAACTCGCGAGCAGCAAGGACTCCTTGCTCGAGCCGCAGATGCACAGGGCTCGCTGCAAGAACGCGTCTTTCTCGTCGTCGCTGGCCGCGCCGCTCTTCTCGAGCATGAAGTGAACGCTCAGAATGCACAGGCGCTTGTCCCGCTCTGCGATTTCCTCCAGTAATTGGACCTGCGTGTTACCTCAGTTTGGAGGTGCAAACTTGTGTGCGGAGAATGTCTTCTGCTAAATCGGGGATGTTGTTCGATGATAGAATGCTGCATACGCGGAACAGTCTGTAAACCCTTGGTGTTAGAAGGACCGAGGAAGATCACCATTTAACCGAGCGATGTCCGCTATTTGACGTCAGCAGCTTTAGGAACGGTTTGACAACATTATCAAAAGCTTTGAGGGATGCGAGTAAAGAAAAATATCCTTCCAGGAGCGCAGCATGCTCCTTCGAAGCAAATCGCCAACAGTTTAGGAATGCCGATAAAGCGTTCTTGGCGTCCGCTTTATCGACCTCTATCGTGTCTGTTTCGATCACTGCAGCTAGTTTCTAGTTCTTAGCTAAAACATCCTCATTCACCTCAAGAATCTCGAGGAAACTCTGCAAATCGATATTACTATGTATAGATTGAAAATATTCTTCCATTAAAAAAACTCTGACTTCCTAGTTATCACAGAATTTTCTGGGAATATTCTTGATCATCCGAATAAAAACAAACAAAACACTCAAAACTCACTGACTCCACTCTCTTTCGAGGTCCTCTATATCGATATCTCCTTCTTCCCCCTCGTCCCCTTCCTGCGGCAGCGTGTCTCCCTCCAGCAGCTCCCCAAACTCTTCGTCTATATTCGGTGAACTCATTTGTCCAAAATTCCCCTCTTTTTCCTCATTATCCAACGTCTCTTCAGCTTCTTCAGCTTCTTCAGCTTCCTCAGCTTCTTCAGCTTCTTCAGCTTCACCCTCAGCCTCTTGCACTTCACCCTCAGCATTTTGTTCTTCTTGGTTCAATTTTCCCATTTCTCCTTCACCCTCTTGGTTCGTCGTTTCCACCGTTTCCTCTCCCTTCCCGTCCTTCTTTGCCTCCTTCTTCTCCTCTTCCTCCTGGTCCTCCTCCTCTTCCTCCTCCTCCTTCACAACTCGCAGATCCTTCAAGTGCAGTCCTTCTCCCTCGATCATTTCGCGGTACTTCGCGTACTCCTCCGCCGCCACGTTCATTCTCCGCAGCGGCTCCAGCGCCTTCTCCAGCGCCAGCGCCTTCTCCAGCCCCGCAAAGAACGACCCGTACATCGCCGGATCCGCCAGCAGCTCCGCCGCGATGTGCTTCTCCGCGCGCAGCTTCTCGCGCCACAGCGTGAACGCCGCGTGCGCCTGCGACGGCACGTACGACAGCGAGAAGAACGCCGCCTCGGGCAGCTTGCCCTCCTCCTGCAGCAGCTTCAGGCACGCCATGGCGTCTCCCGCCAGATACAGCGCCAGGAACGCGACGTTGAGCTGCCCGCCGCGCTGCGCGGCCTCGGCCAACGCGCGCAACCCGGCGCGATCGCCGAGGCAGGAGAGGAGGAGGAGGGAGAACGCGAGGTCACCGGCGTGCTGCGCGCAGGTTTCGGCCATGTCGATGCGGCCCTGCGCGATGTACAGCTCGGCCAGGCGGCGCCAGCGCTGCGGATTGTACGTGTCCGTGCGGTCGCGATCCGCCAGCGTGGAGGCGAGCAGGTCGCGGCAAGCCTGGACGTCACCGAAGAGAAAACGCACAAACCTCGCTGTTGCCGAGCTGGAGGTTGAGCTCGAAGCGGAGATCGGGGTCCTGCGCGAGCAGCACGGCGCTCTCGGGGAAGCCCTGCACGTCCAGGAAGCGCGCCACGCGGTCGTACTGCGCGGGGGACACCGCGGGGAGGAGCTGGTTGGCCAGCTCGAAGTCCTGGTCGACGACGGCGCACTCGTAGTCGAGGAGCGCGTGGTCGAGCGAGTAGCCGAAGAGCGCGCAGCGCGCGTCCGCGAAGAAAACGAGGTCCATGGAGGGGATGTAGCGCAGCAGAAACCGCTGGGAAGGCACGAACGCGAGCTTCTCGGTGTGCTCGCCGCGCACCAGCTGCAGCTTGTTCTGGCTCACGAACAGATAGGCGTGCTTGTACCACACGCCGCTCTGCTCGCTCCCGTCCAGCTCGCTCAGCACCTCCAGGCAGCCCTCCACGCCCGCCGCGCTCTCCCCCAGATGCGCCGCCATGCGGTCCGCGTGGAACTCCAGCAGATAGGACGCCTGCGCCGAGTGCAGCGCCACGAACTGCCCGTCGTCGCTCCAGCTGAGTCCGCGGATGTTCCCGTCCACGCGCTGCACCAGCTGCCCGGTCGCCCAGTCGTAGAACGCCACGAACTCGCCGTTGCAGCCCACGGCCAGGCAGGCGCCGCCCCAGAGCCCGGTGATGCGCGAGGCCATCTGCAGCACGCGCGCCTCCTTGAACTCGGAGTACAATCGCAGCGTGTTCTCGTTCTACCGCTCATCCCTCGCCGCTAGCCGCACGATCTGCACGCAGTAGTCGTTGCTCCCCGGCCGCCACACGAAGTTAATGCCCTCGCCGTACGCCTTGCTGCGCAGCTGGCGGCTCGTGTACACCACGTACTCGCCCTCTCCCACCACCGCCAAGAACCGCCCCGTGCTGCTGTGGCTCACAACCGACGGCGTCACGTCGCACCGCCCCAGCGACTTCGTCGCCACCGCCACTTCCTGCCCCTTCAGCACGCTCGACGCGTCCAGCTGCTTCCCGTCCACCACGCTCTGCCACATCTCCTGCCGCACGCTCCACACCACGCGGCCCTGCGCGTCCATGCTCACCGCGGGACTGGCTCGGCCCATCGTGTAGACGCAGTAGCCCTCGTCGTAGCCTAGCACCACGTGGTTGTTGTGGCTGCTCAGGCCGATGCTCCACGCACGGTCCAGCGAGGGCTGCAGAATCACGCGCTCGCGACGGTAGGTGCCGCTGTGGAAGATGATGACCTTGTTGTCCTCGCCGCTGCTCAGCAAATACGGCAGGCGCGGGTGGAACTTCACCGCGGTGAGGTTGTCCTCGTGGCCAGAGAGCGTCTGGATGCACGTCTTGGTCTGGTAGTCCCAGATCTTCACGGTCTAGAGGGTAGAAAGAGAGAAAGAGAAAAGGAACGCAGTCGTCGCTGCCGGTGGCTAGGTACGGTTTGTCGTTTCCGGGGTAGAAGTCCAGGCAATTCACGCCCTTCGAATGGCCCTCCATCGAGTAGTACGGACGCGAGTTGCTGATCGACCACATCTACCACTCAGGGAAGGGGAAAAGGGGAAACCCGGATGGTGCGGTCGAGAGAAACGGACGCGAAGTAGTTGTTGTCCTTGGGATTGAATTTGACTGCCATGATATAGTAGGAATGGCCCTCGAAGCGCTGCGATCAGAGAGTAGAGTCAAGACTTACGCGCACCATTTGGAAATCGTGGTCCCAATCCCACATCTTGATCAGCATGTCGTCTCCGCACGTTAAGATGTAGGGAAGGGTCTCGTGCACGTCGAGTCCGCGGATGAAATCGTCGTGGCCTTTCCACTGCTTCACCTACAATCAATTCAACAAAAACACAGCAACTTTTTCTCCTGTATTATAGTTGTAAACACGCACATTCAAATCATCACATCCAAACACCACCCACTGCTTTCTCGCAATAAAACGGCCACAACGCACTGGCTGATAGCTCGGCTCAAAGTGGTTGCGAATTTCCTTCTTCTCTGTATCATACACAATAACCTTGCCCGAAAAAAGGCAAAGCAACACCCAAGGCTCGGTAGGGTGATAGTCGATGCACTTCACACGATCGCTCTTCTGTAAGATTGATAACTACCAACGTAAAACGACTAAAGCACGAAGTACCTGGATATCGACGTTCTACAGTTTATTTAAAATAATCATCAACCCTACCATGGATATAGCTACAGTTATTACGATACTCTATTTCACAGAACAGAAATCGAGATTATTCTTACTTATTTATTTGAAACGGCTTGAACTGAAACTCCCTCATAGTTATTTGATGATTTATCATTTTTCATGAATAGTGTTGCAGTCGTTCTTGTTCTTCTAGTTGCCTGTACAAGGTTTGCAGTAGCAGAGGACCGTTTCACTACCTCGAATGTAATCTCTTAACTTTGCTTTTTATTTTTAGTCAGACCCAGTAGTCAATTGGGGTTTCCAAACAAGTAATGTTGAAATGAATGGAGATTCGCCCATGAAGAACGATGAGCTTTATCATCAGATCCGAAACCTTCGTTCCCACGATCCGGAGTGTAAATAATTCAGTCTAGAATCGAGTATAGCTACCTATTCGGAAAGCAATCCCTTGGGACTACGTACAGAACGCAAATTGAGGCATATCAACCAGGTCGAAGACATGGTGAATATGCTACAAAGGAATAATCGTGTATTAATCACAGCAACAGACTATGCGTATTTGAATGCGTTTTATGTCTGTTACACTACGAGCCGATTATGGCGCTTCCGTAATTTTTTTGTTGTAGCTCTGAACCAACACGCCTACGATGTCCTAGAGCAGCAGGGCTTTCCTGTCGCTTTGGTTTCGAGTGTGAACTACCAATCTGGAGGCGATACACCGAGCGTGTATGACGGGTACGCCTTCAATCAGCTCACCGCCCTCAAACTGATCGCAGTGCAGAAAGTGCTCAACATGGGCGTCAATTGCTTGTTCTTCGATTCGGACGTCGTGATTTTCCAAAACCCGTTCAAATACGTTCCGACCGACGAGGAATTCGACTTCATTGCACAGAAAGACGCGACGATTTGTTCGGGTTTTGTGTATTGGCGAGCCACGGATCGAAGCCGGCTCACGATTGAGCTCACACTGAACAAAATGAAGGAGCGGAACATCCACGACCAAACCGCGTTGGTGGAAGTGGTCGACAACCATCTGGTGCCCGAATTGAAGAGCTTGCTGTTCGAGCCGATGCTGTATAATCGCGGAAGCATCTACTTCGAAATGCATCAGTTCGGCTGGGGACCGCACAGTAGGACGAGAGAAGCGAGGTGAACGGAGTAGACTCGAGTGTTGTTATGGCGCATAACAACTTCGTGATGCATTTCGAGAACAAAATGTATCGATTGCGCGAGACGGGATTGTATCCCTTCGATTTCAATGGCGAATACTCGAGTCTCACCGCGTAATATTTAGTGTTGGAGCACTATCCGGGTAGGTGGAACGGCTCTCTTGGCACACAGACACACAAAGCGAGGTCCCGCTGGAGCTCTTCATCCACACGGCCAACGCCATGAATCGCCATCTCGTTCTCCCCGTGTTCCCCTGCGAAAATCGCGGACGTGCCGAGACGTTCTGCAATCTCTGCGGACATCAGCCTTTCCGATGTCATCTCTCGCTCATTCGGAGGGCTACGCTGCCCGTGAAGGAGCACATGTTCTTCTACAACAAGCACGTTCCCGAGGTGGTGAAGCGCGACTTCCGCAACGCGCCGACCATCTATTTGAAGCGGGTGGAGGGCGATTGTCGTCTCGTTCTGGCCGAATTCACCGGCAATATTCGCTGCTTGGAGATCAACGCCAAGCCGCTGATGCACACGCAGCTGGTGGAGAAGCTGGAGAGTCTGGAGAGTCTGAAGGACGAGCGCGTGATTCGAATCCACTCGATATCGATGAACTTCTTCCAGTTGGGTATTTGAGAACAAACACACGCATTGTCAAAACTCTTCACCAGAAGTTTAGTTCGCCTCCGACTCCACCTTCGCGATGCGGGCCCTACAAATCAACGCACCGACACTTTACTCACTTTGCATTGATCACACGGATAGACAGCTCCTTAGCACGCTTGACAATCTCCATGCGCTTGCGGGAAGACACGCTGTGAGCGATCTCAGCGCAGTACTTCTCGTTGTGCATCATCAGAAGCTCCAGGTCCTTCACGTTGCTCACGGTGAACTTGTACAGTCCGCAGGGGAGCATGTTGCGGGTGCGGGCATCCGATCCGTAACCAATGTTGGGCATCAGAGTGGCACCACGGAAGCGGCGTCTGCAGCGTCCATCAATACCCTTGGGCTTTCTCCAGTGCTGCTACAACAGGAATCAGGCACACTCTTCGCACAAGCCTACATTCATTCTCTTGAACTTATCCGCCTGGAAACGGGGGAAAGAGACAGTTCGCTTCTTAACAATCTTGATCTTGCGAGAAGGACTCATTCTAACCTACGCAGAGTGAGAACTCCGAACCCTCCAAAAACAATAGACGGCACGACATCCCCAACCCATTTGAATGAAGCCTACTTTGCAAAACTAGAGTTTGACAAGAACAATGAGAGTTTGTTGTTTTTCCTTCTGAGTGCCAGAATCGCGGTTATGGGCAAATCATGGCGGACAAAAAGGAAAAAAGGGCCCAGCGGGGAATCGAACTCCGGACCTCTCGCACCCAAAGCGAGAATCATACCACTAGACCACAAGGCCACTCCCTTTTTCTTTTTCTTCTTTCCATTTCTTAGACAGGAAAAAGCCCATTCTCCTTTTTTTTTATGCGCACGATTCCTTACTTTTGAAACAAACACCAAAACAAACAGCCCTTCACTTTAGTAGATTCGTCTTCCGCGTCTTAATCTCCTTCTCGATCATATCCCAGAACTGCTCGCACGCCACCAAATCCATGTTCCTCAAGTCGCGATTAATCGACACCACCTTCACATTCAGTCCGCGAATCAGTGCAGGCAGCGTGATCTCGCTGAACCAGAAAAACACGCCGAGAACTATTCCTCACATCGCTCCTGCACCCCCACTATTGCTAAACAAAACCGCGGGACTCGAAAATCCCCATCCGCGAAACTGCCACGCCTGGTTCCCTGCCATCACGCAGACGACGCGCTTCCACTCCTGCGCGGTGAGGGTCGTCGGGTTGTCGATAAAGCGGAACCGCATCGCTCGGCCGTTGATCGTGTGCGTTATCTCGATTTCCTGCGGTTTCAACGGCGATTTCTACGTGGAAACCGGGGAAATGGGGTACCTTCCGAATGGACTCGCTGGAGACGTACTCGCCGTTCTCTAAGAATCGCTGCACGTTGAACATGGTGATCACATTGTCGCCGACGGAAGGAGCCACGACGATGATCGCATCGTTCGCGTAGCTGTCTTCCATGCCCGGTCCGTCGTGCGACAAGAAACCTTCTTCCGTGTTGATGATGCCCACGTTCTCGCCTAGTCGTTACGTCCGCTCTAGCAAATCGCACGCATTCGGTTCCGCCAGTCCTCGCTGCTGTGAGGGGCGGAGGATTTTTCTTCGCGCGAAAGCATGCGGATCTGCAGGTGAGAATATATTAAAAAAAGAGCGGATTACTGCTTCTGTGAATTTGGTTCGGCCGTTCAGATTGATTATCTTCGAACGAGTCTCGTATAGCTTTTCGTTGCCGAGAATGGTTCGGATTCGTTTGTACGCTTGGATGTTGTTGACGCCCTGAGAGGAAGCGTCCCCTTCGCTCTTCTCTCCAGTCGGTTTTGCGAGAGCAGCAGCAAACTGGGGCTTCACATACCGAAAGGAAGCAGAGGTATCCATATATGTGCAAGTATCTTTTGTTCCATTCAAGTAGTTCAACAATGCGTCATGTTGTGACAAACTCACAGCATCCACATTGTTATCTACGCACAACAGCGCATAGTTACCTTGCTCCATGGTGCTATCTTGTGAAAACGTCTTCCAGAAGAAGAAAATAGAATCCAGGGTGTAATAAGATGTTTCCTTCGCTTCTTTGTGAGAGTCGTGCGAGTGGGGTTTCTTCATACATGTATATGTCTTCCCAGGAAACACATGCTGATCAATGAAAATGTTTCCGTCCTTCCACTCCAGTTTCCTCTTTTTTGAGATCGCAGATCGGAGGGCCTCGAGAGGATCCATTTAAAGAATTGTTTGTGAAAAGCAAAAAAGAGGTCCGATTTCTGGAATTGAACAAAAGTTCTTTACAGCGTACTACTGTTTGGTTTGAATAATGGAATGCTGTGGAAAAATGCTTTCAAATCGAAAAACATCAGATAATTGTTATGTTCCTTTGGAGTCGTTTCGAAAATAGCACAGGAAGAATACAACAATTATTTCGCAGAGCTCTGTCGAGTCGGTAGATCCAGAACGGCGAGTTTATGAATTAGAGTGGTAACAAGCGATTTATTGTACGACAGAAAGTTAAACAGTGGGAGGTGTGTTGATTGGAGTAAGAAGTAGATCTCCTTGCGGAGAGAGAGATTTTAGATGGAGACGTAGTTTTATTGGAGAGATGGTAAATTGCTAGAGATGGAACAGCACAAAAATTCTCGAAGTTGGATTATGCGGCGCTCCCAACTCTGGAAAGAGCACGCTCATGAACTCTCTGATTGGGAAAAAGGTCTCGGCAGTGAGTCACAAAGTGAACACAACACGGCTCGATATTTTGGGTGTGAAGACGATAGGCGATACACAGCTAATCTTCCACGACACTCCAGGAATTTTACAGAAAAGGTTTTTATTCTTTACGTATGAGTTTCTAAGCGGATAGTGGAAGCAGCAAAGAAGAAAAGGAGCTCACAGGAATTGCAAAGAACACTCTATCCAAAATGGATCTCTATCTCACCGTTTGTGTTGTGTCTCCACCCTTACCACGCAGTTAATCGATGGGTCGATTCCGCTCACCTATCTCAGTCGCGAAGTGATTCACACAGCTGTCGCGTTGGCACAGCAGAACGAAGCGCAAATCCTCATAGCACTCAATAAATGCGACTTGATGAAGCCGGCCACGCTCATTCAAGAGCGAAAAAAGCTGATCGTTGAGGAGGTTCCAAGTCTTCTTCGCCCCTCCGTTTGCATTTTTTTGTTGAATTCAAATTCAGCTGGGAATCAAAGACGACGGCTCTTCGATCATCAGTCTCTCGGCGCTTAAAGGGCAAGGAATCAAAGAGATTTTGCGCACGTTGCAAGCAAAAGCGCGCCCAGGAAGATGGCTTTTTTCTCCAGGCGTGATCACAAATCGAAGCCAGGAAGAGCAAGCGAATGAAATCATCCGAGAGAAAGTGTTCCATTTCCTGAACCAAGAAATCCCGTACGAACTCATCGTCGTGCATCGAGGATGGAAGAAACTTAATGGAGGGTTGGTTCTGGATGCGGAGCTTCTCTGCCAGTCGCCCTCGCAGCAGCGGATCGTATCGAAAATCCGCCGTCAGCTGGAGTTTGCAGCGAGTGACGACATTAGCAAATTGTTTGGGAGACAAATCCGAGTGATGATTCAAGTGGGCATCGATAAGAGTTGAAGAAGAAGAAGAAGAAGTAAGAGAAGTAGGAGAAGTAATAATATTATTATTAATAATAATCAACAAACACACTATTATTCGATTTGTTTCAAAATACAGTCTTGAATATCGATCCAATTGTACACAGACGCGCATTCTATTCGCAATCGATCGTGATCCTTCCATTCATCCCTTCCTCCTTTTCGCCCTACCATAATTTTAAACTCGATCGAAGGCGACAAATCCTCCGTCAGCAATCGAATCACACCCTCCACGTTCTTCTCCGTCTTCACCACCATGCACGCAGGATACCACACAGCTCTTTCCTTTGACCCTGCACCTCACTCCTCTCTCTTTATTTCACATACGCATTTCTTTGAGGATTCGGTATAACTCAAGTCGCTGATAGCTCACAGGCGTTAATCGAAGCGAGATGTCGATCGTTTGAGCGAGCGGGTTCTCTCGGATCTCGCGAGAAAACCGAAGTTTGTTGTGCTGATACACAAAGGGGAGGAATCGATCGAGATACTGACAAAACGCGAGGGATTCGATATACTCCTTTCTAGCTCTCATTCTCTCCATCGTTCCTACTGAACCGTTGTGATTCCGTTTGGTATTCGAATCGATTCGATTCCCTTCTCTCGATTTCGCTCTCCATACTACACATCACTCCCAATTCGCTCCTTCACATCGATAAAGTGGTAAAAAGTCTCTCTCAAAGGCACCACGCCCCAAAAGTCCATCTCTTTGTACAGCTGATAGGCTTTCTCGTAGTCATTCAGCGCCAAATACGAGCCGATCACCGCGGCAAACGTTCGGGCGTGTTGGAACATTTTCTGGTGTTGGTGTTTATAAAAGTAGTCGTTAATTTGTGCTGCGGGGATGTCGAACGCATGCTCCCAGTCGTGTTCAAGGCAAAAGGCATCGTAAAATGAAATGCATTCCTCAAAATAGCCGATTTCAAACAAGCCTGAAAGTGAGTCTATGGAATTATCATGGCAAACCGTATAGCATCTCGGGAACAATGTATTGGTATCGCTTGTTTTGCGGACTACATTGCAAAAAGTACTGCATTCCCTCATCATGTCCGTAGATACTGAATAGTGTGCGAATGAATGTCCCGGACAGCTCGCTATCCGGATCAAGGAGGTGCGGAACCGTCGAATTACAAATTTGGACAAAAAACTCGCGATCTTTTAAAACAGCGGAAAGACGAAGAAGGGTTTTGGTTAGACTCATATGAATCGCTTTGCCTTCGTGCAAATAGTGACCTGCAATACGCCGTGCCAAATCAGGAAAGCGACTTTGACTTAAACGCTGAAGTATCGTGTTGACCTCCTATATGAGATCACACCATTAGAATAACCATCTCTGTTAAAGGCTCGGGCTGCTGATACAAGAGTTCTCCGGCCTTTACTAGCTCCATTCGACTTGAGGAAGAGTTATTGAAGAGAGCAATGAGCTCTCTCGTAGACATATCTTTCACGAGCTTTTTGGGCTTTAGAATGGAAGAGAAACACCTAATTTAAACCAATTCCCTATTTGTACCTCGTTTGAGGAATCTGATAAGAGAGTTGGAAAGAACTCCTGGGTATAGTCATATTAAACCGACTTGAAACAAATGAACGGAAACAAACCACCTTCCCCATATTTCCAGGATTTAGACGACCTGTCAGAGTACGACAAATATAGGGATAAAATGCCCGCACTCCCGGGAGAATGGACAGATCATGGAACATGAGTGTGAGAAATTAGCGATTGATACACAGAGAGGTTCTCCATCATTTTCCACCAAACAGTTTAGGATCGTTTTTTCAAGTTTATTTTCGGCTTTTCTCTTCTCTTTTTGATTCTATAAGCATATTTCTCCTTTATTTGGGCGCTGCAAAGATTTCTTGTCATCTCTGAAAGTGTTCTTTTCGAGCTCAGCGGCGCACCAGCAATGAATTTCCTACAGCACAAGAAGTCCCTCAAATTGCTAATCATGCGCTCGATGACGAAGACTGGAGTAGTAACAATATCTCATAGTTATCATGTTATTACTAAAAACTCCCCAGTTCTCCTTTCCACTTTTAATTCCACAAAAAAAATTAACTTGGTTTGAGGCTTATAAAATGCAGCTCCAAGTTATCCCTAGTATGCCTTGAATATTAAAAATAATTTTGTAGGCAATTCCAGTTCAAAGAAAGTTTACTACTACTGTTGCAAATTTCCTGGTTGTCATTATAAAACCATCCGCTCGGGTCACTTAAAACGTCACGAGCGAACTCATACGAAGGAAAAACCTTACAAGTGTGAGTTTTGTTCTTACACTGCTGCCCGTTCTGATCATTTGCGGCGGCATGTAAAAATCCATTACAAGAATATTAGCGCTTCTCGTCCAGTTATTCATGAAGAATCCATGTTGAGTGAATCTTCTACCATGAGTTCTCCAGCTGTTAGCCCGTCCCCTGTTCTTTCCGCTTCTTCTTCTCCCAATTTATCACCTTCTGATTCTCCCTCAACTTTTGCGCCTTATGGAGATTTTCTACCTCAACCTTATGAGGAAGGAGGTATGTTTTTAAAAGAGCATGTGATTGTAGTTATGGTCTTTTTGAATTTCTTACGACAATGCTATCAGAGTCAACGTTTTTAAGAAACTTTATTGCGCGTTTCTTAAAGCATTATTATGGATTAATAGTGCGTTCCACCTAAGTGTTTATGCATGTATTTCTCGTTCTAAACTAGATTGGTTTTGTTTGTTGCACACTCATTTGCTTCTATTTTTCAAACGTTGTACATGCATTTCCCATTTTTCTTTTCGAGGAATGGTAGCCTTTTCTTTCTTCCCCTTCCTTCATAGAGTAACTACGGTCAGGCATTTGATGACGATTGGATGAATGTTGATGCGTACTGAGGTTTTGTGAGCTGATCACTGAATAGCGCTCCGGCTTCCTATCAGCCATTTGTCCCAACATCGTACAACACGCAAAATGACTTCGGATTTGGGTATATGCAAACACCGGAGGAAGAAGACTATAGCAACGAGCCTCCACTCCTAGAGGGTACGAATCGATTTGATTCGCAAATATATAGAATTGGGAATTGATTTCAGTCACATATTCAAGAAGATTCTCGTCGTTTTGAATCCTCGCAAATCAATCGACAACGTCCTCGTAAATGATGCAGACCTCGTTGGTCCTATCATCTTTTGTTTCGTTCTGTCGCTCCTACTCCTTCTTGTCGCGCTTTTTGCCGGAGTTCATTTCTAGAAGGGAAGAATTCAATTTGGATACACGTTCGGTTATTTCTTCGCCGGATGCACGCTCATGTACGTGTGTTTTTGTTTCTTGTTAGACTAGCTACATTCTTTTGAAGCTTCTCAGCGACTCTTCCTCCAACACCATTTCGCTGACCTCGGTAATGAGCATTCTAGGCTATTCCATGATCCCTCTTCTCTTCCTGTGTCTATTCTCGCTGGTTCTTTCCGTGACGTTTTCGCTGTTTCTAAGTTTTTATCTCTAGCAACATTCTCGGATGGGTTGTCTCCGTTCTCTGCATTCTCTGGTCCTCGTTCTCTGCGTCCCGGTTTATCGAGCTGCTTCTCGGAAGCACGGACCAGCGATACATCATCATGTATCCCTTGGTGCTTCTCTATGCAGTATTCGCTCTCATCACCGTGTTTTGATTCTCTGTGGTTATGTTATTATCTCTTCTATTTATACACACACATGTTTGTTGTTCCATCAAACAATTCTCAATAGATTATTATAGTTCATATCAATCATCCAGATCCACTGCATTCGGATCTCCTTCGTTCTCTTCTTTCACTGGTTCGATTCTCTCTGGTTCGTAAGGGATCGTCAGCACATGCGACAGACTTAGCATCGACAAGAACGCATCGGTTTGATTGTTTCCGCGACGCACTGCAGGTGTTCCGTTGTAATAATCGACCGTCGATCCAAAATAAAGCGGCGCCGTGGGGACGAAATTCCTCGGAATCGCTACGCCCTGCGCGTTCGCCGCTTTCGCAAACAAATCCTCAACGAATGCGCGTGTTTCCTGGGAAATGGGAAGCGACGAAGGAGTGACGGCTTTGTACGATGTGGAGAGATAGGCCTGTGCTTCCTTCACGATCATTAACCATTCCGGATCATAGTAGAGCTACATCGAAGAAGAACTGCACGTTCTACATTGGAATCTTCAGCGAACGCGTCGTCGATATCGAAAGGAAGCACTTGGAAGTAGTCTCTGTGAGCCAAGCATTTGTCTAACGCAAGGAATTTGGTGGTTTCGTTCCCTTCGTCGTCGTGTGGAACGATAGCGGTAAACTTGACGTGCATGTGCGATGCAAACCAGTAGCGTGGTTTGTTGTGCTTCAGCAATGACATACAAGGAATAGAGCCCAATGATCCTTCCTCCATGTCCTTCCTACGAACGATACAACAAAACAAACAGAAAATACACAAAGCCACTCTTCCTCCTGCTAAGCCAATTGCGGTCTCCATAGTTGTATATTCCCTCGGGCCAATCATGAGAGAGTATGATATCGAGCTTATAAGGGTAACTGAACATCTTGCGGACTTCTATTTCACGAAGGTGGTAGCTTGAAACCTTTTCTTCCGAAGAAGTGCTAGTATATGGAGGAGCTTCATAATATCCCCTATGGTAGTCAAAGGGTTTGTAGATTCCGGAGATCCCTCCAATTTTCAAACCTTTATAGCGGATCACGTTGGAAGCTCCCATGTAGTAGATGTTGGGAGCTACCCATCCACCATAATAGAGTTCTTGGTGATAATTTACAGCTTCATGGTTTCCTCCAATATATATGGTTAGTACAGACGCTTTTTTCTCTCCATTGTAATATCGATAGAAAGTTCGCTACATGACTACCAGATCACAAACCTTACCATTAATTTATATTTTTGCGGTGATTCCTTGCAGCCCAAGTCTTCTTGGTTGCGTACCGCTTGGAAATCTCCGGTAATGATAAGCAGATCGATTGGCGTTCCTTGCTTTTCCAGCAGATCACACAATCGATAATACGTATCCAACTCTCCATGTCCGCAGCCCGTAATGGCGATGTTGATTTTCTTCATAGCAACAAACAAGTTTAAATAATCCTATGCAAATTAAGTAGTATGTCAATGACTCAAATCAAGTAATTCACTGTAAACTTATTCATTTCTCGATTCCCCAGCCTCCTTTTAGATGGAGCTCGCCTTGATCAGCGTGTTTTCCGAGGTCTGTCCATTGACCTCTCTGCCGATCCGTTGCGACGCGCAGCAGTGATGAGCAATGCAGTTCTTATTATTGCAAACGATATCGTTGCACACATCCAGCGCTCCCTGGTCTCTCACCACCTCCACCTGCACGCAGCTGCTATGAATATTCGCGCTATGAAACACTTTCTTCACGCGGTCCATAAGCAATTGGTGATTGCACTCGTGCTTGCAGATGACGTGCACCGACCCCACCGTCACGTCCTCGTTCAGCTGCCACACGTGCAGTCCGTGGATGTACAGCACTCCCTCCACCTTCAGAATGCTCTCGCGCAGCTTCGCCATGTTCAGGGTCTTCGGCGCCGACTGCAGCAGGATGTTCAGCACGCTCTTGAAGAGCGGGATGCAGCTGGAGAGGATGAGGAACACGATGAGGATGGAACAGACGGGATCCGCGTAGAATCGCCATGTTTGGTCCTCCGGAACGAACTTCACGATGCAGGCGGAGATGATGGCCGCGATGGAGCCCATGGCATCGCCAGCGACGTGCAGAATCACAGCCTGCAGGTTCGCAGAGTGCTTCTTCTTCTTCTCCTTCGGCTTGCCCTCCTCGATATCCACAGACACTATCACTTCCTTGTGGTCGTGGTCGTGGTCGTGGTCGTGATCGTGGTCATGATCGTGATCGTGATCGTGATCGTGATCGTGCTTGTGCTCATGGTCATGATCGTGGTCGTGATCGTGGTCATGATCGTGGTCATGATCATGCTCTTCCTCTTCATCGTGATCATGTCCATGGTCATGTCCGTGGTGATGATGATGATGAGCATGTCCGTCGCCATCTCCACATGACAAGAAGAACAGACCCAAAATGTTGATGACCAGACCCAAAATGGCCACGCTCAGATTCAACGTACTGCCCTTCGACATGCTCTCTTGGGCTTCGCTAATATCGAAGAAGCGGGTCAGTGCCTCGATGATAATGTTGAGGCACACAGACAGAAGGAACACAGAGTTCACCATGGCTCCCACCACCTCAAAACGAGACCAGCCATACGTATCCGACTCGTTCTCCGGTCTCTGCGAGAGCGAGATAGCACAGTAACCAACAATCAAAGCAATCAGATCAGACGCCATATGCATGGCATCCGCCTGCAATGCAAGAGCGCCAGCAATAATACCCACGACGAACTCCACAACCATGAAAGTTCCAGTCAGCGTCATCATACACACCAAACGGCACTGATCTTTCTTCATCATACGGATCTTTGCATTTCTCTGCTCCACAAAATTCTTTTTTTCCTCACTGGTTAGGTTGTACTGACGCTTTTCATTACCAGGCTCGGGATAGTCATGAGGAATGATTCCAAAACCATCTGACCCGACCGTATCCATTACCAATTTTCGGATACTGTGCATATAGAGATTCACAGGTTTACACTTTTCAGGATCGTAAATACCGTGATTATCAAAATGATCATTGTGAAGGTGATGAAGATTTCCATTCATCACGAAATCGTAGTGGCCATCATGCTCCACAACTTGATGTCCGCAATTTTGATTCAAAAGGTGATCAACTCCGGCGTGCTCAGCACAATTGCAGTCCTTATTCTCACAAGGAGAACAAACTCTAAAAATTAGTGAACCACTCAATAACCTACAATTCCTGACGTCCGGACTGTCTGTCCTCTGCCATATTTGTCATTTCTATCGCTGTATTCATTGTTAAATAAAATAATGATAATTGTAGATCAGAGAAATCCACGACCATTTGATTGGCTGCACTATCCTAGTTGAAAATAGGAGAGGAAGGCCTCGACGATTTGACCTCCTTTTGATACCCTATTTTCGTAGTAAATAGGGTACTATTGGACGCCAATTTCTATCAGCTGAATTGAAGTCGCATACTCTATCGAATCAATCATTCTGGAAGTGAATTGGATGTACCTGTGATTCGGAATTGATTCATTATCGTCTCTGCAATTGAATTGCATATCGATGGACTCAACGCAATATGCGCTACCCATTTCTATGGAGAAATAGGGAAAATGAAGTTGAACAACCTCGACGATTCTACAGAGTACTCTGGTCAACAAACAACAAGCGGTAAACACTAAGCAATTCCTAGAATTTCATCACACTCTTCTGAAGACGGGTAAATGTGCGATAATCGCTTGTCCAATTCAGAAAGCTCTTCTCTCCGATTTAAAATGCTTATCACTGGAATCTCCACACAGTCCTTCTATACCTTATTTAGGAACACTATTCCCACAATGATTTTGTTCTCGATAGGAGGATACATTGTCCGCTCGAGGAATGTAGATAACGATGCAGGCCATCGGAAGCTTCGAATGCAGAACGTCTCTGCATCCTGACAACATTCCAGAAATTTGGTTGGTGAATTGTCCAGCAAGATATACATCATAAGTTTCATAATATCCATGTCGATATTCCGATGATCCAAACCTATCGTTCATGTTTCCCTCCATCGAGTACGAATTTCATCTTCGTCTTGCACAAAAAAACGGGCGTTCTGCATCACCAGCCTCTTTGAAAAGAACAATCCGGCCTGCCGATAGAAGAAGGTTTTGGCCTTCCACTGCAGGAACAGTTCGCTACGATTCAGCACCCAGCCAGCGCGTACTCCTCGTGGGACAGCTCAATATTCTCCTCTCGAGCTCTTTCGCGCATGCCATCAAGCACTGTGCTCCACAGATTCGTTTTGACCCACAACCGAATCATGTTGTCGATGGTTGTAAGCTCGATTTTGACATGGTTCTGCGTGGCAAGCGCATAGTACTCCTTCACTTTCCGGTAATTCCACATTCGACAAAGTGAAGTAATGATGGCGTCAATGCTGAAGGGATGCAAGATGGGCGACGAATTGTTCGCCTTCTCGCACATCTCGTTTGCTAGTTCCAAACAATCGTCAAAACAGCCCGCTAACTCATATCCTTTCAACAGCTTCCAGCTCCAACTGGCGCTTTTTTCGTTTTGTTCCTGCGTTTCCTGCTCTAAAAGCTTGTTTCCTTCCTGGAAGCGTCTCTCTGAAAACAAGAGCATGATGTAAGAGTATAAGAGAGGCGGGTTGTGGCGCCACGCTTCGGGAATCGTCTCCCAGACCTGGAAGCCGACTTCTTTGGCGTGAGAAAACGCGGAGGCGATGAGGAGAATGTCTGCGGAAGTGGGATTGATGTCGACGTAGCCCTATGTGAAAGAGTGTGTGTGGAAAGACGTCGCGTTTGATGAGAAAGTCGTGGAAGGAGAGAAGCATGTTAAAGTGTCGCTGTCGGAACATACACATGTAGAGCTGATGCAGGATCTAGGAGAAAAGGAACTACGGACAATACACGACCGTCCATAGGCTTCCACTGCTCTGCGTAGAGGGCAAGCCGATTTCGGTACTGTTTGTTAGAAAGGAATCGAAAGCAAAGAGTACCGTGCGAAGATTGTGGATGTGAAAATCGGAGCGAATGCACGCCTTGATTTTCTTGATATCGACTTCTTCCGCCGGTACAGAAATGCGATTGAGAAGCGCATTCCTAAAATCAACAGTGGTGGTCAAACCTACCTTTCCTTGTTTCCCATTTCAGAAATCATACCCCCAATGGATGCAAGAGAAGACGAGCGCTTATCGGGAGTGTTCTGTGTTACAAATTCATCCAAGGAGGAGTTGAGTTCGGTGGAGAGCGTTGACAAGCTCCTAAAAGACATTGTAGGGAACACGGACCCGCGAAATCGAGTCAGCACTTTCCACATTACGAAATCTGTGTGTAGCTCAAACCAGCGAATAACATAAATAAAATACGATCAAACTCACTCAGTTCTTCTTCTTCTTCTTATCCTTCTTCTCTTTCTTTTCCTTTTTCTCCTTCTTCTTCTCCTTCTTTTCTTTCTTTTCTTTCTTCTCCTCCTTCTTCTCCTCCTTCTTTTCTTCCTCCACTTTCTTCTCCTCCACTTCCTTCTTCTCTTCCACTTCCACCTCCTTCTTCTGCCCCTTCAATTCCTCCGCCACCTCCATCATCGCATCAATGTTCTTCTGCGGCGGCACTCCGGTCTCATAGAAGTTCAATCTCTGCTCGACCTGCTCCTTCATCTTCATTCCATACAGCTCGGTGGGTTCCTCCGCGAACGAGTCCAGTCTGGACGCGATGGAGCACTTGTTCGCCAGATACCGCGAGATTCTTCCCTTGTTCTTCGCCCCCGCGCGCCCGATGAAGCTGCTGTGGAAGATGATGCCGTACTTCGGCGTGTTGCTGCGCGTCTTCAGCGCGCGGAAGAGCGCCTTCTCGGCTCCGAGGATCTGGATGGTGGACGCTGGGCACTTCGCGAGGGAGACCAGCGACCCGGAGTGCGCGATCAGCCGCGCGCCCACGACCTCTCCGATCAGCGCGGAGAGATTCGGCGCCACCGAGTGCATGCGCTCCTGCAGGTACGCGAAGAGATCCTCGCGGTACTCGGCGAGCTCCACCACTCTGCGCGTTAGCCGAACCAAAGCGAAGCCCACTTGGCCGCGAAGAGGTTCACGCTCTGCAGGTCCGTCGCGGAGAGCTCCTGCCCCATCGACGCGCGGCCCGCGTCGCGGATCTCGCGCGCGAGCGCCTCGTCGAGCACCACGGGGACGAGCTTGGCGACGCAGTCGTCGTCGTGGAAGAAGGCGCGCGACTGCACGGTGCGCACCACGCGCGCGTAGAGCGCGTTGTCCTTGACGAGCTCCTTCAGCTCGGGGAAGTGCCAGCCGTACCACTCCTTCACGCGCATCGCGAAGGTGTTCAGATCCTTGTCGATCTGCGGGTGAGAGAGAGAGAGAAAAAGAGAGAAGGTACCTGGTCTAAGAGGCAGATCGCTTGGATGATCATGTTGTCTTCGCGGTTCACGTTGAATTTCACGTGGGCGCGCGAGTACGAGTGCCCGAGACCCAGCATCGCTTTCTCCGCCGCGCCGTTCGACAGAGACGTCACGAACTTGCTGTAGTGCTGGCGGATTCCGCGGCAGAGTTCGGCTACCACATCGTTCGTCATGCAGGGGATCTTCAACTCTTCTTGGATGGCTTGGCCGATCTTCGCGTCGATCTGAGGCAATGACTTCCAGGAGTTAAAACACCTACGACGCCCAGAGTGATCGTGCTATCCTTCAGCTTCTTCACAGAAGGAATGTTCACCTCCAAAAATAGTTTTAATGTGTTGCTCAGAACGCCCTCAGATATATTGTTGCAGTTTTCTAACGCATCTTCTGCACTCTCGAAAGGCTGCGCGTCAATATACAAACCCAACCCATACAACGAACGCCTTCAGTTTCACCAGATTGCTGAAATTACTGAAATCACTCAGACTCTCTTGTACCTACAAATCAGCCATTCCACACTACACATCACTTGTTTGGTAAGGCTCGCAATCTCCTCCTTCTCCACCACTTCGTATAGAGAATAGCCCGAGGCAGCTTCAAACAGGATGTACGTTGTTTTACCCTACATTCTAACTCTCTCCCTGACGCCTCCATACCATGGTTCCGACAAATCCACTATCAAAACTAGAGAGCAACCACTTCTTCTCTGTTTTCCCCCAATTCGAATTCAAATCAAACATGTCCCAATACTTTCAACCATGGGCCCTTATTCATTCTCTCCTATTTCGTTTCGATAGACTCAAACAAACAATTGCGTCTCTAAGAAAATGCTCTCAGGATCCGGTTCACACCTTCCTTCTTAAAACAAGAACTATCAATCTCCAAGGTGTACGGTTGTGGCACATTTTCCACGACTACTTCTTCCGTGTTTGCAAAACACGCCAATTTCGAAGATCCATCAAAGCGAAGATACTTCAACTTTGGCAACTGCTTCAGGCTGAGTCTTTTCGTGTTCATAAACGAATAACTCAGCACTTGAAGAAACAGCAACTCCTTCAGATTGTCCAACTCGAACGACTGCGCGTTGACAAAGCAGCACTTGTCGATTTGCACGCTTTTCAGCGCGTCGCAGTCTACAATTCAATTTATCGAAACGGAAATCACTCCTAATCTCTGCAAGCCTCGATTTTTCGAACGCTTTGTACCCTATTTCAATGTTCTGCAAGTGAGACAAGTCGTTCCAACGCGCTGCTTCCGCTTCATGGAAACAGAAGCGACCCACCACAAAGGATGTCAGCATGGCTGCTTTAATCTCCAATTGTTTGGTGAATCGGAAACTTCCAGGACCCAAACTGACCGTTCGCAAGGCCTCGCTATTCAGCTGGAGCGTCTGCACGCCAGCAAAGCAACTATTCTCCGTGGTGAAGGAGGTTAGGAGGGGAAGATTGGTTAAGTGGACAAAGTGATAGGCGAGAAAACACCCGTCGGTGAGGAACAGCGTGGAGAGCGAAGGGAGGTTGTCTAAAATGAGCTGTCCCGAGTGGCAAGCAATAAAAGCGTCCTTTTCTACATCCGTCAGCTCTAGAAGGATAAAAGGAGAAGGGAGAGATGGATACGAATGTAGCTCTGGAATAAAAGAGGTGAGAACGCGCTTTCATTCACGGTGATCGATTGCAGAAAAGGCAAATTTCGAATGATACAGGAAGTGGTTCCAGAAAACGAAGCCGACTCAAATACTAGTTTGCGCAAATGGGGAACTTCCAAGCACGATAGAAACAGATAAGGACTGTGATCGCAGCAATGGGCTCCGAAAGTCAACTCGCGAAGTTGCTGACAATGCAGGGAAGGAAACGTTCGAATCGAATTGACAGAAAACATTATATCGTGAAGAGATTCACTGATAATGTTAATGGGAATAGTACTACCTATTTTACACGAGTCACTGTTGATGATCCTCAACACAATCTCAACTTTGTCACTAATGTCAAAAACATTATACAGACAAGCGCTAATGGCCTCTGTGTCTCCCACAAGGACGATCTTATGCAAGTAAGGATCCAGAGGAACACCGTTGTTCTTTCGGATATTACACACATAGTCTTTTAGCTTCTGACATTCACTCTTCTCTGATACATCTATTATCAAGGAATATATCGAAATTCGTACAGAAGGTAGAGATAATCTGTTCCTCCAATCTTCGTCGAAAACAGGAGTTTACAGCATGTGTATAGAAGAAATAGTCAAGGATCATGGTTTGAGAAGAGTTATTTTGAGAAAACACAGAAACTTCACAAGCATTCACAGAAACCCGATGTCTCTGCATATGTATCGCATCGTTATGCACTCGATGCATCTTCCAGTGTACGCTTTCCTTCGCCAAACAAATAGCCGGCTAAGAAGCAAATTCCACATGCAACAATATTCTGCAGCGTATTTAATCTAGAATTCAGGGTTTTTACTAGTCATCACCTGCGATGACGTCGTTCCTTTATGAATTCATAGTAGTCAGCCTTCTCCTTGGCTTCTCTCTCCTTCTTCAGTTTCTCAGCACTGTATCTCTTGTACTGATCTAAATTGTACATGCGGTAGCATGCCGCAGCAACTCCAGCCGCAATGAGTCCATAAATCAGTTGCCGATTCACCATCGCCGTCCAACAGCCGTGTGTCAACAAACAAACAACCAAATTATGCCAAAAGTTCGTGATCGAACAGATAAAAAATACGCTTTGACAAATCACGACCCAGCGACAACATCGAATTCAACGTTTCATCAGACAGGATTCCGAAGGTTTCCAACGTCATCACTTCTCCTTCTTCACTATAGGCAATCGTCGCATTTCCCAGATTCTACAAGTCAAACAACAGACATCATCATCAACTCCTTCCTCCTCTTCCTTGCAAGGATCAGGCAGAACTTCACCTTTTGCGGACAATAACAAACTAACGGACGCGTATTTGGTTGTGAGCGGAATCTCGCTATCGGCAAGCGCTAACATGACAGAATTCAGGATTGTGGACAGGAGAGATCCGTCATCACAAATTACTTGGCAGTAAATACAAATATCTGTCTTGGGAAAGAGAGAACACTGAATCACGTTTTCCAGCAACTTTTGGACAGTGTACTCCAGGTGTGTGTAATTCATACCTACACTTACACGCCAATCGTTCTCCTACTGTTTTTCTCGTTTGTATAGCCTATATTCACTGTGATATTTGCCTTGTTGCTACTATTTGCTGGCCTGGAGCTACTCATCTTGGGTCCATACACTGATGTTACCACTGTCGTGTTTCCTGCCTATTATCTATATGCACTTTCAACCTACCATGGGAGACAGTGCTCGAGCCATCGGCACGATAGGTAGAACCTTTCTCCATGCGAAGTTCCCTCATGGCATTCTTTTGTCTTCCGTCTGTTCGAAGATTGGCTCTCAATGCCTCAACATCCAATTCTACCTCCATACTCAGAATGGGAATCAAAAAAATTGTCAGTGCGTTGGCCTTTCATATCAAGTCGGTCATTTTGTGGGTATGAACAAGAAAAATGACCAAGCATACAAGTTGCTTGTGCGAGTGTTGAAAAAGGTACGTTCTCTGTTGTTTTGATTCCTATATTTAGGTAGAGGCGTGGAGAGAATACGAGCAAGTGCTGTGTGATGCTTTCAACTCTCTTTGTGGACTGAGTCGTCGTTTATCGGCCGTTCGTCAGGGAGAAAATGATTTGGACGAAGCTGGATCGAGATATGCTGTGGGAGTACTCGTTTCTTGGAAAGGCGCCACGCATGTGCTTGCCCAGAAGCTTTCCATGGATATTGAGAACAATTGGCGGATTATATCTCAGCAATTGTTTTTGTGGTGTGTCCTATTGATTTGTAGAAGCTCTATGCATGCTTTAGTGATAAACGAGATTCTGAAGTTGGAAACAGAGGCGTTTAATAACTTTCCTGTAGGATTTCAGATTTTTATTTCCCGTTTGTAGACCATTCCAGTAGGTAGTATCGCTATTCAGGGCTCTGGAATCTCGATTTCTGTGTCGGAATGTGTTCAATGGATTTCTCAAATCAATAAAATGCTCTACGGAGAGTATCTTCGGAAGCGTGAAATCTTCACTCAGTACACGACAGGCGAATTGACTGATCCTCTCTCCGCTTCGCTCGCTTGGCCAGCGAGTAGCAGTGAAGGATTCGTGAACGAGGAGCTTTGTAAAGTTTTGCGAGTGTGTGTGAAGCGTAGTGCAGGAGATTTCGGAGCGGATCTCGCTAGTGAATCAATCTTTTGTTGTTTGAGTGTATGAAACGAGGAGCAATCGAGTCAATGTACATTGTAACCATGTGAGCAAGGGGAAAACGAATCAACCAATTAACCTACCTACCAACACCAATCAATCTTAACCCTATTACTAACAAACAATCCAAAACTTAATGTACTGATTATACAGCTCTTCTCGATAACCGATCATCGCTTTCAACCCCTTCCGATTCGCCTGCAACTGCCCCAATTTCTCCTTCGACGGCACTTTCCAGCACCCCATCAGAAGCTGCACAATCAGCAGCATTCCGCCATGAATCCCGCACAAACTCGCCACCCATTTCACCGTCGACAACACCGAAAACGCAGGCAACAATCCCCTGCTCTGCGTCTTCATCCAATGAAGCGTCCTCCACACCGAATTCGTTTCTTCCTGGATCGTTTTGCCCTCATCCACGAACTGCATTGCCACATACAAACCCATGCAAAGCAGCCCCAACACCCAAAAAACAATGTTCCAATTGCGGTAATGACGCAGGCGAGTCATTCGCGCATTGGATCGAATGCTTCGATGCAGCTCCGATTCGGTTTTCGCTAGAATGGCATTGCAATCCTTCTCCAACACCAACAAATTGTCCTGAATCTTTTGCTTCACCACCTATCTGTCAGAAATCGGGGCTATTTTCACCAAGTCGATGCGATCGCAAATCTTTGAGATCATGTTGACCTCGCGGAATTCGTTGTCTTCTTCGAGTTTATCGTCGGATGTGAGGTAAATCGTCGGAAGCTCCCAACCGTGCGTGTTTTTGACACGAAGAGCCAGGTTCTATGGGAAAAGCAAGCAGTTAAAACTCAATACTTGCGTTGTTTGGTTCGCTACTTTCATAAGATCCGCGATGGAATTTAAAGTGTCGATTTTTGTCAAGTAGTAACACATTTTGTCGTAATGGTTTTCGTTGAGAAGTTTGACCACTTCCATCGTGCGAGAGCCCAGAGCTTGCTCGTGAGGGTCCAGAAAAACGAAGATCAGATCCACAAAATCAGCGAGAAACAGGATGACGCGGTTTACATCAAATGGATACTCCACGCTCCCATCCACCAATCCAGGAGTGTCGATGAAGTCCACGTCAGGGAAGCAGCGTTCGTGCGAAATTGAAACGATCGTGCTGAGATTCTCGATCAATCCCTTTCCAAACTTTTGAATCCCTTTGAGTTGCGGGAAGTATCGCAGAGTTGCTTCTCCCTTCAAAGGAGGCGCTTCTTTTTCACTCTGAGAAACGAGAGTGAAGCCACGGCTCTCCACAGCAGCTCCAGTAGGCAGAACATTCTCCTTCAGATACCCTGCATAATCAAAACATACAAAAAACGACCCACAGTTGATGAACGAAGATTTGCCGGAAGAATGATTTCCCAGAATCATGACAGTCGCTTTATTTCGTGGCGGCAACTTTGCTAACCCTACATCAGCCGCCATGTCAATAATACCGCGGTTCCCACAGTTCTGACTCTTGGATGGATGCTTATACAACTCATAGATCTTCTGCAACACTCCTTCCTGAGCCGATTTTAAACTCTATACAAGTATCTCTCTGATTCAGCAAATAGTACAGATATCTGACTCATTGCATCGTCCCGCTTCTTATTTTGCGGCATATTCTCTATCTTTACAGAATAATGAAATAAGGTTCAATTTCTGGAATTCTTACAGATGTCAAAGAATCGACCATCTATAATCTTTTTTTGAAGTAAAATGGTAATGTTATAGAATATTGGGTAATCGATAGGACTTTAAAGGCCAGCGGTTGTGCCTCTTTCTTTGTTATGCAATTATCGGCTTTTTTTCTGTATGCGATTCAAATACGAGATGAAAAATAGGTATTGGGGGCTATAATGGGTATGATCTTGGACAGTTTCTATGTAACGTTCCTGGTAGTGAGCGCAGGAGGTATTGTTGCTGCAATTGTACAATACTGAAAGGAATGAGTCATTTTTAGGTGTGTATTCCTGATTGGCCTTTTTACAACAAAGAGCCATTGGAATTTGCCAAGTCTAAGAAAGAGGAATAAGGGAATCATTTGTTTGTATGAACAATGGAAGAAGGGTTATTTGAAATACCTCGAGTTGCTGGCCAAACAAACAACGCACAATAAAATAGAATCCACACCACTTGCAAACGCTGGGATCTCGATACAATCATCGACTTGCCAATTTGGATTTTGTACGACCGCTTTGGAGTAGAGTGCATAAATATCCCAAAGCTGCTCTTGCAAGTCCTGTACACTGAGATCACTTGTCACTATGATCTTTACACCGCTAGCCGATTCTAAATAGTGAAATATATAGGAAGATGTCTGAAATTTGCGCATGCCGCTTTCGTTCTCTCTGTTTGGTTACTCTAGCTCCGTTGTCCCTACTTATCAGGCGAAAACTTTTTAATTGTGTCGTTCATCGAGAGGATAAATCCGCAGATCAGTTTTGTTTCTTCCTCGGGATTCTTCTCAAAAGCGTTGTAGGAACGGTTGTAGTCCTTGTAGAAAATGCGTTTTCCATTTCTGTTCAACAAGAGACAACTGAAGATCATGCCTGAAAACAACTGTTTTTCCAAACAAACAAGGAAGCAAGATGTTGATTATAGAGTACAACGGATTTCATTCATGGATTCATTGTTTATTCCCAGGCTACTCCTTCCGAAGAGGTGAGTTGAATAGAGGTGAAGAATGGGACGCTCCTCCACATGGATTGATAGACAATGACCCAAGTAACAAAGATGACAGCCCAAATAATGCAGCCGATTAATGCTGTCTTTAAATCTACAACAAGGAATGAGAATCATGTACATCACAATAGAAAAACTCCTAGCAACAGGATTATTCACTCAGATTTGTACTTACAACGATGCATCACTTTTCCCTTCGCTGTGTTAACCTTCCAGCAGTGCCACCAATTTAGTAGAATGAGGAGCCAAACAAAGGGAAGGAAGAAAAAGCCCGTGATGTAGTCTACACTTCATTGCGCCCTTTTGGATATACATATTCTCGCACACTTCAGTTCCTCGTCTGTAATATCGGCAACGCTTTTATCGGCCATTTACGTTTGCAAAGAATGTATTTTGGATTTGTATTTCCGCGGATATTTTCTTAAAAGATAGATAGATAGATTTCAAGTGTGTCGAAACAAGTGTTCAACAAACAAACCAAAGGCTCGAAAGGATCGGCGAGTTCATTACAGCGTATCCAGCGCTCACGCCTCCCTCAAACGATTCTGCATTCTTCGTTCGGACCAGAATGCCAATATCATCGGTCCGAATCATTCTGCTGTCTCTCGTATCGAACAGCAACGACGAATAGAATCCGATTTCGTTCAAAGAAGAGCGTTTGCAGCACACCGACTCTCTTACATGAAAAGCATCGTTGGCCTTCGGGAAAATTCGTTTCATCAGAATCATCGAATTCAATTCATTTCTGCACATCAGAACACTCTTTGATACCCTACAAATCTCCTTTCTTGAGCATCTTCACAATGTCATCTCCCCAAACGTTATAACCGCCTCCTTCACGCTGCGGCTTCAACACCCACTCCAAGGGGTTGTTGCACACCTCCTGGAAGAGTCCTTCGGGCTGCCCTTCGACCACCAAATTGGCGGGAAACATCGGAACGAAGCAGGAGCGAAGGCGTTTCGCTTTCTCAACATCGTCAAAAAACGGTTCAATAAACCCAGGGAGACTCAGCTGCTGCTGGATTTTCTTGCAACCAATCAGATGGAGCAGCACGTTGGGACACTAATCATCATCACGGTGATGTTTAAAAAAAAAACCTTAATGCAGCGAGCAGCTTCGAGTCGCTCGCGAATTTCCCACTGCGCAGGCGTCGGGTAGTCCGATGGAGTGTATCCGCTACGATAGTAGACTACGGCGATTTCATGGCCATGGACGCGCAGTACACCGTCCGTATCGGTCATCGACGCGATCAGCTGCGTATGTGTTTGGTAGATGCATCGGACATGATACACCTCCTCCAGCAAGAGCGTGATACAGAACTGGTCCGAGTTGTTGTTCTCGTTTTCCTGGCTAACAAGTAGAAAGCACGCCTCGTCGGGGTGGCTGCGTATGATTGGAGGCCGGTTCAGCGTACTAGAGCGATCGGTAAAAATCGACGGCGGCGGCGAAGCTCGCGGCGGTCCGGCGGAGCGTTTGGTTGAAGGAAGGGGATTGGATGAAGGAGTGGATGTCGGAGAGAGGAATGTGAAGGAATTCGGCGATCGACGGAAGCGACTCGGGGTGGGAGGAGAGAAGGAAGCGATGCATGGCGGTGAGTTTCTCTTCCACGCCCGGGAACGAGCAGGAAATGGTGTTCAGCTCGATCTGAAGCATCTGGCTCGTCTCGCCGTCGATCATGTAGTCCGAGCGGATTAGACCGCATATGACGGGCTGGTAGGTGGGGCTGCGGAGGACGCGCTTGGCGATATCCACGAGATGTGCAGTGTAGTCATCGGACATACTATAGCTAACAAAACAATCTCCATCACACACTCTTTTAGCTGCTCAAATAACCACTCAGGATTTTTACAGATTTGAAGCAACAATTCATGAAATAGAGCGTTCAGAACCAAACCGTTCTCATAGCTACTCTTCGGCAACTACCATTCACCACATCACAATCACATACCACAAACGGAAAGAGAGAGATGGGCATATGCGTTTGGTATTGTTTGCCATTCAGAATCTCTCCATGAAGAATACCATTGGCTAGCGCATAGGAAACGGCCGATTCTTTTAGTTCTTCCGTATTCATAGTCGACTACGGCGTTAGGAAATGACTGTTAGGATATTCTGAATTCTTTTCGTAAAACAAGGAATTACCGCGGTTTTCGGGCAAACAAGAATCAAAAATAGTTCATGCACAATCCCTCAAACCTACCCGAATCGTTTCGAAAGCAAGTAGCCGACAAACTATCGGATATTCAGAAAGATGTGAAGATGTGGAATGGACTACGTGTCAATTTCGCAGCCAAGCTGCAAGAATGGGACCCTACCCCACCTGCAAGTGAGAACGATTCGAAAGAGAGGCTGTTTCCATCAAGAGTAGACACTTCTGCCGAAATCGCCATGGAAACTCGAGAGCAAGTGCGAGCGGAACTGGAAAGACTCTTTGATCACTTACAGCGGCTAATCGATCACACAGAGTCTGCTTTTGAGGAAATAAAACAGGAGATTGGTGAGTCATTAGTTGTTTGTCACGATTAAGACGCAAATCTCCCGATGACGCTGCATTCGAACTATCCTCTAACACAGGATCGTTCTATATCGTTTTCAGAACTCGTTTTGAAGTTGGACAATGTAATAAACTCTATGAAATCAGAGAATGTCGTGTTTGTGGGTTTTTTGCTCTTGTTGCTGTGATTGTAGTCTGCTTTAGGTACGCAGCTGGTAAATTCCTCCAACGGAGACATGATACACACAACCGTACTGCTTCTCAAGTACTGCCAAATCGATTATCCCTTCTCGTCTCAGTAACCAAACCAAACCGATTCATAGTTTCAAAATGTTTTCAACAATCACACTCCAATATCAGAATGACAAACCCGGTATCCTGTTTATTCCTCCTTGCTGACTTCTTCGAAGCTCTCCACAAGTTCAGGAACATCCTCCTCCTCCTGGGCCTCAGCCTTCTTCTCCTCAGCACCCTTGAACAAGTTCTGGTTGTTCATGAGACCGGCCAAACCAAGCTGGTTGAAGATTCCAGGAAGGTACTTGGTAATGGCTAAACCTCACCCACTACACAAACCACCTACGAGCTCTCTCAGGGGTTCCGAAAACAGCAGTGGTGTTCGTCTCGGGGCTAATCCAACCTAGTTGTGAAACAACCACACACAGCCTTACAGTCGCACTTCTCGAAGTGGTAAATCTCTCCCTCGGTGGGGAAGAAGTTCACCTCCTGAATACCACCGATCTGGCGGCAGCCAACCTTGTTCAGGTTCATTCTCAGCTTGGCATCGTCAGAGCCGTTCTTTTTGTGCACCACTTTCTTTGTGCGTCTTCCCATTCCCTTTCCGACGCGTCCCTAGTCCCTTACGAGAACATCACATAAAACCTACAGCAGTTGCAAATCTGTTCTTAAGAGCCTCACGAGCTTTCTGAATATCATCAGACACTGGTTCCATCTTGTCAATTCACTTAATTCTGATATAAGTATTGGTAAAAGACTTGTGGAAGGCAAAGAAACCAAATCACCCAAATTCCCGTTTTCCCCGCTTATATTATTGGGTCTTGGGGCCATATTTTTCATTCTGACTTTAATTTAAACATCATTCAATTGCTCACTCATCGACATAGAATGTGACAAACGGATACCACCTCCACGAACCCTTTATGTGACTTTTGCTGAACACACCATTTTCTGGAGCGAGACGTCGACTGAGGGTGTTTATTGCTGGGTAAACTCTGGTCTCTGGATCGCGTTGAAGATTGAACATCTATACAACTCTGTTCATTTTTCACCTTTCGTTTTTATTTGCTTTTCTTCGTGGGCGATAACTGTAGGTCCGCATATGATAACAAACTTGACTCTTCTTATTGCCTATGTGGTGATTATGTTAATTCCCATTTGTTATGGTATCCGTTACTTGTTTATGCACTAACAATAACAGGAAGCTCTGTAATAATCGTCCAAGTTACGGATCTGCATGTTCCGAATGAACACTCCCCTGGGTATAAAAACATACGCATATTTAATGACTCTGCGCTCGCTATTGTGCAACCGGATGCAGTCCTCGTTACGGGAGACATGACCCTCGGATATTGGTGGAAGTTTATTTCAAGGGATCAACAGCAACAATGGGAGTTATATGACAATGTGTGGAAGTTGCAGCAGGTCGTTCCGCGAACTCTGTGGTTTGACCTACCTGGAAACCATGATTTCACCGTGGATGGAAGTAGAATTGCCGACCACTCGTCCCAGGGAAAGTCTTCTCGCGTCCGTCTTGACTCCGTAAAGAAAGAGAACCAAACAGTTTGCTTATTAGGAATTGACTTTTCATATCGTCCTCGTATAATTCAGTTCGTTTCGTTAGTGTCTAAGATATTCCCTACTGGCTTAACTTGTATGGATATGGCACACACAGTCTTCGCTCATCGATTCTGACTTCTTTTTCTCAGAAGCAGTCGTTCTATCAATAGGTATTAAGCTTAGTTGTTCAGTCTCGATTGCATACGCTCACTTCCCTCTAGCTCTGCTGAACTCTCACACCATAGCAAGTCTTCTAAAGAAAGTGGGAGTTTCGCTTTATGTAAGTGGACATCTACATGGGGCTGATGTTCAATACCAGACCCGTGAGGGAGTCGTTGATTTGGAGCTGCCTTCGCTTGCCTATAACGGGAAAATGAGACTCTTTTCGGTGAGAGAAGGGTGGATTGCGGTGAAAGACGTGAATGTGTGTGATTTTGAGAACCGATTGGTAGCGATGATCGTGGAACCTCCTGTGTGTGAAAATCAACACGATTGACATGTAGCCAGCGAATCTGAACGGGCATCGAACACTCCAAGAATGGAGAGAATTTGTAGTAAGCCACCCGATTGTGAAGGTGAAGCTGTTTGCAAGGAAGGGAACTGTGATTCTCACATCGCAGCTGTTAGTTGATGATAGCGTTGCTAGCATGAAAAGTGAAGCTGAGCAGTTACAATCGGAATCATCAGATGAATTGTGGTTTAGTGTGAATTTTGGATCGCTCTCACAGTCGATTCATCGATTCTGTTTGCTTCTTTCTTATCAGAATGAGTCCGGAAATCACACTTTTGTTGAAGAGTTTTCGTTCGATTTTACAGCGATGCCTCTCTTCCACTCTCATCACATGAATCATCTTCTTCGGATGAAATGGATTCAACCAGGAATGTCTGCTTTCCTCCTCGTTCTCTTTTTGGGAATCTTGTTGTTCTGTTTTCCCTCTTCATCGTATGAGCTTCTTTCTTGGATTCCTTCTTCCCCACGTTCATTTTCTTTATTATCATTGTTTTATTATTTGCGAACCATCCAATATCGTCTTCAACGTGTTTTAGCATTCTCAATTCTTCGCTATCTGTTTATCTCTTTCGCCCTTTCACTTTGTTTTGGTGTTTATTTTGTAGGAAGAATGGACGGAGTTTGGTTTGTGGCATTTGCCTGGGGTGTTTTTTCTTTTGACTCAACGGATGGCTTCGAATATGCGTTCTGGACAGAACTATTGATATGGGGAGCTGTGGAATGTCTGGGAATCGCTATTCCTATGCTGCTATTTTGCATGCAAAGCGTTTATAGAACTAGATACGATATGGACAAGAGAAGAAGTAGAGGAACAGATTGTTGGAGTCGGTGGATTCTTTGTGGCATTGCGTGCACCACGTTCTTTATTCAACTACTTTTGCTGCAATTTAACTTTCCTCTTCATGTGTGCTTCCTTTCTGCAAATCTGGTTCTCTTCCCATTAGCTTCGATACTCATCCCTCTTGTATTCTTCAAAAAGTGACATGGTTTGTTTGTTGTAAATAGTTGAAAGAATGTTTGCCCGGTAATACTTGGTACTGTACTGCTTTGTGATACAGAATGATATCACAACAGACATAATTTGGCAAAATAGGGCAGGGATTCATTACAAATTAGACTTAGGGACAATTTCAATAGCTGCTACGTATTTCCATGAAGTAATATAAATTCTGAAATAAGGAATCATATCGAATTAACAGTAATGTGCTCATGATCAAGAAGTACTTACTTTTCTTTTATTACACCCCACCCGACAAGTATAGGCGGAGTCACATGTTTTACCTCAATTGTTATCTCAGCTAACACTTTCTGACATAACTCATAACAATTCTTTTTCTCTATGGACGCCATTCTCGGGCTAATCAATTTATTTGCATATGAATACAACACTGACTTATCAAATATTGAAAATATTCAAGGAGAAGTAAATGAAGAAATGAAGCCACACGGATGGATTTTAGTGGAAATAGGCAACAAGACTTGTGCCGCACTGAGATGGAATGAAGGAATGTATGAGAATGAAGGTTATTTACTGAATGAGGAGAGAATCTTAAAAGTATTTGGAGACGATGAAGCAAATAGGGAGCTAGAATTGCTAGAAAAAGGAATTGTCGATTTGGAGCATGGAAGTCGATTTGAGGGGCAGTTGCTGAGAGGCAGTAAAATTCCATTTGGATTTGGCGAGATGTATGATGATGATGGCATTTTGATCTATAAAGGAATCATTATAAACGGGAAACGTATTGGATTTGGAAGGAGTTATCACAATAATGGAGTATTAGAATATGAAGGATTTTGGTGTGATAATCATTATTTTGGTACTGGAAAAGTCTATGATCGCAGATCTCGTATGATGATGGATACTGTTTGGTTTTACAGTGACACAATTGTTGAAGATTATGAAGGATTCGGGTGTAATTTTAATGTGGGTCTGAAGCACATGAAGCTGTTTAACAAATGTATACTGAGAGACTGGGATGTATCGCTGTTTCTAAAGTTGGAATCAATCGAAATCGGAGATGAATGCTTCATTGAAGTGAAGAGATTCCAGATTGATGGCTTGAACCGACTGAAGAGCCTGAAAATAGGAAAGAATTCTTTCTCAAAGAAAAGGAAATGGGGCGATGTTGATGATTCGAAATCATTCCATGTTCTGAATTGTGAACAATTAGAAACAATAGAAATATCACGAAAGAGTTTTTATGACTTTGCTGGCCAGTTTGAGTTGAGTAACCTTCCTTCCCTAAAGAATTTGGAGATAGGAACTGTGGGAAGAGATTCGATCAATTTCTTTTTTTGCTCATGTATCATTCGTGGTACTTGAATATTGATTTGAATGCTGAGTGGATAGATCTTCCAAAACTAAAGACTATAATACTCGGCGATCGAGCATTCCACGATTCTTTAACTACAGTCATCGAAGGTATTGACAATACAAGAATGAAGATTGCTTTTTAGATCTTCCATCATTAGAAAAGATCAATATTGGCTATGCTGCTCTTCATGGAAAAGAAGACAAATCCTGCTCACTAAGCATACGCAGTAGTTTACTTTATTCATATTCTCACACTTAGACCTGCCCAGTTTAACATTCTTCGTTTCTCTCGGACACAGTTTTGAACAGCCTACCAAAATGACATTAGAAAGAAGAATTAGTAGTTGATATTGATTATTAGATATTCCGAACATTCAAATTGGCAATCTGAATGATGCTTTTGGTTTCATTAAAGACTTTTCTGTGCATAGTAATCGCTCATAGAAAATGCTTACGATCCTAGATGTCAGTGGATTGATATTTTCAAAGGTGTATTATCTTGATTTCCTCGAGTCGATTGAATCCTCTGCTATCTCGATTACCATCCCGAAATTGTCATGTAACGATAGGAACTATACAACCTTTGATTTCTCTCGATTTACTTATTTGCAGTCCTTGGAAATCGGTCATTTTTCTTTTGGATTTGTACAAAATTTCACCATCAACAAGTTACGATATTTGAAAACATTAAAAATCGCGCATAATTCGTTCACAGAAACAAGGAATAGTAAAGGAAATAATGAATCAAAATCATTCCACATATTGAATTGTGATTTATTGGAGTCGATTGACATTGGCGAATATTGCTTCAGTGACTTTGCTGGAGACTTCGAATTGAAGAACTTGCCATCATTACAATCTTTGAAAATTGGCAAGATGGACTTTCCCTCAAACTGTTTCTATTACAGTTCATTTATCATTCAAGGTATGGTAAATTTGGAGACAATGCTATTCTTTTTTGTAGATCTTCCCAAACTGCAGTTTATTACATTAGGTGATTACGTATTCGCTGAGTCATTATCAATCGTAATGGAAGGTATGGAATGAGTGTGAGTGAAGTGATTCAATTTGTAGATCTTCCGTCCTTGCAAATCGTCAAACTTGGGAATTCTGCTCTGGCTGGAAGAAATTCGTTTTCCTGTTCTTTGACAATGCGAAGTAGGGAGAAAGACGAAGAATCCAATGAAATGCAGACCTTCCCAAACTCTCAAACATCACTTCTGCGAGTTCTAGTTTCTGGAACCCTCGTATTCTGGTTTTGGAAAGTTTGGATCGATGGATTGAATTGATGCTGATTAGATATTCCAATGATTCAAAGCTCTTTTCTTTTATCCACATTTTGTTTTCCACTCATTACATTAGCGATGTCTCTACGAGATGATCCAGTAGAAAACAATGTTAATCTCCCATCCTCTTTCCAAAAGGTTTTGTTCCCCTCCGTCAAAAGTATTTTGAAATTTACATGGATCAAAACTAGACGTTCATAGTGTTTTATTTCCTCAATCCTATTCGTACCAATTCATTCATTCCTTAAAATCTACGATCACGACGATTGTCCTTCCGAACTGGTGTTGTAACGATGTATCTTATGTTGAGTTCGACTTTTCTCGATTTATTAATCTGAAATCTCTCAAAATTGGCAATGACAGCTTTTCCTCTGTGAGGACATTTATCATTGATGGACTGAAGTCTTTGAAGACTCTCGAAATTGGAGATGATTCATTCACATTTGACAAAACAGGCTTATTTTGCTGTATGACAGCTGCTATGAGGGAAGAGGTGGGAGACACTTCGAAATCATTTCGAATCCTGAATTGTGAATCACTGGAATCGATTCGAATAGGGGCATTTAGTTTTACTGATTATGCGGGCGATTTTGAATTGAAGAACTTGAATTCATTGCAATCGATTCAAATTGGTGATATTGACATTCTTTCCAATAATTTCTATCAATGTTCACTGTTGATTCGAGGTAGTTTCGAACGATTCTGAGGATTGAATGATTAGATCTGCCGAATCTCAAAACAATCGAGCTGGGTGATGGTGCGTTTATGTGTACTTCCAAGATCCAAATTATCAGTGAGAATGGGGAGATGAGATTATGTGAATAGATTTGCCATCGTTGGTGGAAATCAATCTGGGGAAAAAAGCTCTTCAAGGAACAAGAAAAGATGAGTATACAAAACTCATGATGGAAAGTAAAAAGAAATAGTGATTAGCTGAATCATCTAGATCTTCCAAATCTGCGCAGCATCCAATCGAAAGGAAAGAGCTTTGAGAATGCTCATATTGTAACATTATGTGGTACTTGCTCTTCATGATTGATGACTCAATCAAAAGATATTCCTCATTTGATAACTGTTGATCTGCCAGTATCCTTCGTGTACAATATTACTTCCTCGATCACAAGTGAACCTCCATCCTTTCTTTTCAATAGACGTTGATCCCCTACTTTCGTCGTGTGTTCCTATGCAATTCTATTATAACCCTACGATTCAGGAGTTGGATTGTCTTGTGACCTCGATCGAACTTCCAGACTGGTGCTGCAATGAAGCGGACTATCAAGATTTTGACTTTTCTCGTTTCGCTTGTCTTCAGTCTCTCGTGATCGGTGAAAACAGCTTTGGATCGGTGAAGCGATTTCGATTGGAAGGAATGCCTGAATTGAGGAGTTTGAAAATCGGTGCCGAGTCGTTCACTGGAATGAAAAAATATTGTTGGGAAGATTCTATAGATTTTTCACAGACCCAATCATTTGATGAGCAAAAATCATTCTCCATTGTGAATTGTGATTTGCTCGAATCGATTGAAATTGGAATATTCTGCTTCTGCGATTTTGCAGGTGATTTTGAATTGAGAAATCTCCCTTTGCTTCAATCCATCAGATTTGGGGACATGTCTAATCCTTCATTCAACTTTTGTGGTACTTCCTTCATGATTCAAGGTAATCATTAATTTTAATTGTTCTTTGGATGCTGATTTTCAGAGCTTCCCAGTCTCCAGGAACTATGCTTTGGCCAGTTTGCCTTTTATGGATGTCCTTCTTTTACTCTATCGAAAGTCGATTCACTCAAAAGCATTTGGGTCGGAGAACACTGCTTTTGCTCAGTGAAGATCTTCGTATTAGACGGTTTGAATGCACTGGAAAGGATCAAGATCGATAATAATTCGTTTACGAAAGTGAACGCAAACATGTGGAATGATCCGGATATAAAGACTGCACATCTAAACGACCCCAGGAAATCGTTCCATATAATGAACTGTGAGTTATTAAAAACGATTGTCATTGGTGAATTTTGTTTTAGCGATTTTCAAGGCGAGTTTGAATTACTGAACTTACCTTCTCTGGAGTCTGTTCAAATTGGATCGCCGGAACATGAATCACTGAACTTTCGTTATGGATCGTGCGTGTTTCGAAGTTTTGCTATATTATGAAGGATCAGCTTTAGATCTGCCCCAGCTCAGAACGCTCACATTTGGAAAGGGAACCTTTCACGATTGCTTGCGAATTGTATTTCAGAGTGAGCATAATGGATGGATCTGATAGTTGTTTTTTAGACCTGCCTATGCTTTACTCCATAAAGTTTGGAAGTGACGCTTTAGCTGGCAACATGAGTGAAGTTGTCCTTCTTATTTTGATGAGTAAATCATCAAAGGAAAATCGTTCCATTGTAGATCTCCCCATATTGACTCTTCTTCACTCGGAAGGCTACACCTTTGAAAATTGTCAACTTGTTTTTGTGGATAGTAGGATAGGCATTGAAAGGGTATTGTTTAGATGTTCCTAATCTACATAATATTGATATGCCGAACTCTTTCGTGAAAGTTACTCATAAAGAGGTCACAAGTCGTAATGGATATGGATTGAAATGTAGATGCGTCTCCAGCTCTAGATAATCTAATTGAAATAAGGAAAACGAAGAGTTGAGAATGGAAGTCGTGATCATACATGGGAGTTTTTGTTTTAGTAATAAAGATGCTTTGAAGGAATGTTGCTATTTCTTAAGAATAATGATTGTTTGAATGGAGGATCGTTATTTATATTGTATTGTTTATCCAAATAAGATTAAAAAATACGAACGATAAAAACACTGTGCTGTGAAAATTAAAAATAATGACATGTTTATTTTTATCGTTTTGTAATAATTTACTCGTCACAGGTTTTACTTACCATACACATCTAGACAAAGTTCTGTATTATGTTCAGTTTGTTAGAGTTGTTACTATTCAAACAAGTTCTCGTTATGACACACAACTGATAAACAAGAAGAAAAACAGAAGTTAGTGGAATAATATTGTGGTAATAACTGAAATTATTATCAAAATAGAAATGAATTTTTCTTCAACACAGATCGTAATTTTATTGTGACCATTGTCATACTATGCCTTTTTACACCTACCAAAACAAAGAGATCTCTTTGACACATTGTGCAGCATGATTGCTTCCACTTTTCATTCCATTTTCAATTCTAACTTTATGGTGATAATACCATTTTGTCTAATTGAAGAGAAATTAACACAAAGAACAACAAAAGTATTGTTATAATTATTACGACATACTCTTATCTATTTAACAAATTCTAGTATGCTGAAAGGAATAAAGCATATTGAACAAGCAGTAAAATATGATAATGATGGTAGTTTTTGCAGTGTAAATAAACTCCAGGATTGTATGAAATGGCCATCAAGTATTACGTGGATGGTTGTAATGAACTAGAAGAAGGTTTACAATGTGTGATAATGTATCTCTCTATGAACATAGATGAGCTTAATCCTTATGTTATTAAAGTTGTAACATTAAAACTAAAGAATTACAGGGATCGTATAAAAACACTGAAGGTAAAAATAGAACGTGATTGCTCATGCCGTAGCGATTATTAACAGAGCAATTAGCTGAAGAAACAAATGAACTAGATAGGTACCAAACGATACTAAGATTATCCCCCGAATTATTAGATGAGTTTATCGTATCTGATAAGCCAGCTGTACTATGGGAAGATGTAGTTGGTCTGAGTGTAGCAAAAGACATCCTTGCAGGGTCTATTATACTACCTGCCTTACCACCTGCCTTATTTCCTAATCGATCCGTTATCTCAAATCGGATCCTTCTTTTTGGCCCCCCTAATACAGGAAAGTCCTTCATTGTCAAGGCTGCTGCTTCGAAAACGAACTACACATTCCTATATCTGTCATTATCCAATGTTTTCTCTTGCTCCCCAAAAGTCGCCAATTTGTAAATACAGTTTTGATTCACTCATTCACAGAGTCATCAAAAGAGCATTCGAGCTGGCCATCGAGAAGAAACCTTCCATTCTTTTCATTGACGAAATCGAGACTTTGCATTTTCATGGCAATGTATTTGACTTTCAAATTGAATGTTCACTTAGAACACATTGTTGAATGATTGTATAAGGAATACTATCTACACGCTTCAACAAGAAATGGGCGTCGTCGAGCAGAAGTTCAAAGATGTATTTGTGTTGGGATCGACTACTGCAGTACATTTCCAATCGATCGAATAAAGAATAGCCATGGAATATCTCCCAAAGTATTATTACGCAATTCCCAAAGCGTGTGTATTGTAAACTTCCTAACAAAGCGGCTCGTTTGACGCTGCTAGAGAAGTTCTTTGAGCAAGTGAATCATGTTCTGAACGAGGAAGACTTCGAATTCTTAGCGAATTCCACCGAGGGATTTACGTGTTTGGACATCAAGAAATTGGCAGATAGTGCGGCGACGCTTCGCATAGAAATACTATCGAAGTATACTCATTTCTATTTGGGAAAAGACAAACTGTTTCATGCAAGCAATGCGTCTTGTAGTCAAGCGATCGAGATAAACATAGGCGAACTGCCGCAAACAATAATCGCGGGTTTGGAGTTTACACGAGTAAACAAGAAACTGCAAAATGAGTTGTAGGAGGATATTCCGGAGTTGATGAAGCGTATACATAGGAGTCCTCTACCATATGCTTTAAGTTGGTATGAAGACTGGACAAAGAAGGTTGGAGGAGCTACCATTTAGGCTAATGTCGTAAGTGAACACACATTGGTAGATGTTTTGTTATTTTAACAAATTAGGAAGATTTGTGGGATACAGAATGTTGATTAATGCTTTTTCCACTCTTCTTTGCTATAACAATCCTGGACAACAAAACTATCACAATTATATCCGATTCTTATAAAACCTTATCGTTCTCATATCTGCTGATGTTGTGATGCTTGTAACTAGTATGGCAAGCTTACTACAGCAATGGTAAACACATTCTATCCTTTTTTCCTAAATTACTGGCCTTGAGTCACTGCAGATTAATAGCACATTCTCAAAACCACATTACTCTATCCTACTCCATAATGCTCAAGTTTATTCTTTCTTCTCAATCCATTTACTAGATCTCTGTACAATGGAATCAATATAACATCACAGCATACCCTAATAGCTTTTGTGTTATTTGGATCTCTCTGTTATTTTCTAAACATTATCCTTGTTATTTCTCAATCTTCTTTTTTGTATAATAATAATAATGTTTAACTCATTCATGAAAGGAAATCCTACTGCCTCGCTACGAAAAGCAATAATTCATTCTTCACAAGAGCTGCTCCAATTAGATAATTATGTGAATGAGCTTGTTGTCGGCAATAATTGCTGTAATGATATTACCGAGTTGGATTTATGCAGATTCAAGCAGTTAGTAACACTAAGAATCGGAGAGAAGTGTTTCAGTTTGGTAGATCTTTTCAAAATCGATGGATTGAACGAGCTGACTACGATTACAATTATGAACGACTCGTTTACAAAAGTCTCGGTGGAGAATTTGACGAAATCAAACAGAGGAAATATTCATCGTTCCTTCATCATTACGAATTGTAAGAAGCTGACTTTCATCCAAATTGGTGCTCGGAGCTTTATCGACTATGCAGGTCAATTCGAGTTGAAAAACCTGCCTTCCTTGAAAACGTTGAATATAGGATTGCCCCAGGATAAGTCCCTGAACTTTAGCGAAAACGATCTAGTTTTGCGAGGTATATATATCTAGAATTATATATATATAATACCAAGACCTGCCTAGTCTTGAATCTGTCTATGTTGGTACCCTTGCGTTTGGTGGAGATTTTCGTACTTTATTTTTAAGTCCTTTCCTTTTTCTGCATCTCACAATCAGACCTGCCAAAACTCGAAACGATCGACTTGGGCAGTTGTGCGATCCTGGGAGGGAGTGTGCTAGAAATGCGAAGTACAAACTATCGCAATCGCTTTCTCTTTCAGATTTACCGCGACTAAAGACCTTTACGACGTTCGCAATGTCCTTTATGTTCACTAAGCTTGTAATTTTAGAAAGTACTTGATTTCAATAAGTTCTATGCGAGATATACCCAATTTGGAAAACGTAAACATTCCGATGTCGTTTGACAGGGTCAGGGAGAAGAGAATATGGAGTTGGAGTCGCTTCCCTATCTGATTCATAGATGTTTCTCCCAGTCTTGCGGATCTGGTTCAGGTTAAGAAGGAAGGGGAATAACCAAATTGCTCAAGAAACAAAGTTGCGCAGAACGAAAGATATAACCTAGACCTGCTTTTTAAAATGCATAAAATATATTGTTTGCTTCATATATTTCCATGTAGTAAACTACAATCTGTTTCTTCTCCAAGAAAGCCATTCCGATGAACAGCTATCGAATTGTTCTGCATGTCTAGTACTCCACAAGTTTCATTCTTTCACAATCGTGCGGTTCACCTAAACTTGATTTCAACCGAACTCCTTGTTTCACGTTGATAATCCAGATCCTAAATAGCTACCTATATTATTTTATCCAGCTCATCGACATTTCCAGTAACACACCAAAAATCACTCCAACGTTGCTTTTGAGAGCCATAGATATACCTCTCCTTTCTTTCTGTTATTGCACATCTCCAATTGATCATTTCTCCAATACTCTAGACTCCTTGAGAGAAAACAGGCTGCTGCATTTTGTCACTCATCGTATTTCCGTTTTTTCTAAACTTAATAAAGTAATTTCCCCACCTTCCATATTGTTTTACCCTTTGTTAGACTGGATTTGGATTACCGACAGACAAATGGAATTGCAGAATTCATGTTCTATTTTCGCAAACAAGGAGAAGATTCATAATTACCATCTTTATACAATGAAATATCTAGAAGTCCCGTCGTTATCCGTCTTGAGTTCAAAAATGAACCAAGTAACACAAAGTGATATGAAACTCAATTGTCGAATTGAGCTGTACTCATGTGAATCGTGCATGTGTGAATGAATAGTAGGTAAAATGTCAACCGAACAAAAGAAATTGTCTAGAAAGCTTCGTCAGGATCTTCTCAGAGATTCCGAAGATGCTTTTGTAACAATATCAGAATCTACAAATATCCTTTGGACATGCCGTTTTGATCCTTAAACAGCACAAGGAAAGATGGATGATCCTGAGCTTTGTAAAGTGTACGGATATTTGATTTCAACTCTTAACATGTCCTATCCTGATTATGATTTTAGGTACTGTATTGCGAAATAGGGAATAATCGTTAGTTCTGTAAAACCAGATCAATTTCAGAGTATCGACGATGTTTCAGTGGCAATTCAAGATGTGAACCATCATCTCTGCGAGGTTTCTGAGATGAATATGAATCGTGCCGATTTGGATTCCCTCTCATGTAGAATATACCGTCACTTTATGGAGTGAAATTGATAGCGCGATAAATCTCCGTGAGTGCCGTGTATACAGCTATATTAGTGACCTAAGCGAAGATCCATTGAGTCGGGGGCAAATGTAAAGTCATGGCTCTCTTCTTATTCCTGTAGTTGGTCGTTTAATTACTTCTTCTACAATAAGGAGCTGCGAAAGATTCTGTATTTAGCTTGCACGGCGAAGAGTGCCTTCCTGCCTAGCGAATCGTTTACGAATTTCCCGACTTTAAGTCCCGAAGTGGACGATTCGTCGTTTTCTATGTATCACCCATGCCTTGTTTTCTCAAACACATCATTCAAAATAATCTATCAAGGACGACAAAACATCTTCGTATTCTTCTTCTTCTTTTTCTTGCGGTTCGATCAGAAGGCTCTACGCTCGATCTCGCCTTTCCAAACCCCACTTCCTCCTCTGCTGCGTCCTTTCTCTGCAAGACGTCAAGCCGCGCGAGAATCGAAGGATTGTGCAAAACCGAGGGGTACCTAAAATCGATCAATGCGCCGTTGTTGCTATGCATACAGTTTTATAAACGTTTGTTCTTGCTGATAGAGCTGGTTCAAGCGCTGCAGCTTCGTCATGACAAAGAACTGCAGCGAGTTGCAGGTGATTTGTTTGGTTTGGAGAAAGACCAGCAAGCGAAGCACCGTTTCGCTCTACGAAAAACACTTTTCAGTGTCTCCAACGTTCTCAATCTCCAGGGATTGAAGGCGTTTGGGCTCGTGTGAAGACCCTTCCTGATTTGGACGCTTCTGTGTCGTGGAGGGTGGGAGATAGTAATTGGTAATGATGGATTGGGCGATTTCGGAGAGTGTGGAGTTCACAAAGGAGTCAAAATGGTAATGAGTTTGGTTGAATTGAGCGATGCTCTCTATGGAGGTTTCGGAATATTTGGCTATTTTCCCCATATCGCCGATAAACTGCTGGAGAATTTGAATCAAAAAATCGAGAGCTTCTTTACTGATGGATTTCACATTGCTTTCGAAGAGGATCAGAACAACAGATCCAGTTATAATTCTGTGTGCATATTCTTCTAAGATTATTTCGGCGGACGGAGTCGTTAAGGTGTGCGTATTCGAAAGCTGGACAGATTCCGGAATCCGAATTGCGCTCACTGCCTTCTTTGCTGCATCTTCATCATTTTCAGAGGATTGATAAGCGTCAACGATCGATTTGAGGAGAGAAAGACGGATCTGCACGTTGAACGATACAAAGAAATGTACAATACTATTACATATCTCCTGTGAAATGCAAATACTCTGCGTTTTCAACTGATCTTGAGAGGGCACAACGTTTACCTTCCGAACTAAATTAACTGGACTTCTACCATTCAAAATCTCTATAAAACACACTCGACATAGGAAGAACAAGATCGTAACTCTTCTCCTTCTCCTCCTTCGGAATTATCTCTCTATCAATGAGCTATGAATCCAGCCTCCACATTCCCATTGTCAAAATACGGGATTAGCATAGTTTGGAATAGTGAATCGTCGGTTCACAATTCTGATTGGTGATCCATTATCATACAAAGTCAGTAAAGAATGCTTCTTCTTCGTACTTGGCTACGTATCTAGTAGTAAATTGGTCTCTAATGTATAGTTTTTGTATTGTGCGTGGCAGCTGCCGAGATCTACGCGTCCTCCCAGAGTTCGATAGAGACTGGCTCTGAAGTTCCTTCAGAGAATGGGGAGAAGGCTAACTGGAAGCCAAAGAGTTTTGATTTGTAAAGTGCCATCTTTGCGTTTGAAAGATAGACGAAATGTAAACGGCCGGAACTTTATTAGTCCCGTGAAAAATCAAGATATCCCGCAGTATTGTGACGCTAGCTGGGCATTTTCTGTAACTTCGGCTCTCACGGACCGTATGCGCTATATGAGGGGCGCTTCTTATCCTTTCCAGGAGCTTTCTGTTCAAGCGTTGATCAATTGCGCAGATAGCTTTTCGGGATGTTTTGGTGGCGACGTTTTTTCAGCCTACAAGTACATCAAGTCAGTAGGACTTCCGGGAGAGAGCTGCCTGCCTTACTTGGGCGTGGAGGACCGGTGTACATCCCAAAACATTTGTCGCGTCTGTATGGATACGGACGTGTGCTATCCAATATCGTCCTACCATAAATATTATATTTCCTCCTTTGACGCGGTCGACGGCATCAGTGCCATGATGGATCAGATCTATTACAATGGTCCAATCACCTGTAAGATATCGGTTACCAACGATCTGCAAAACTATCGAAATGGGATTTTCTCTCGAAACACGAGCTCCTCGCTGTACGATCATTATGTGAATATCATTGGTTGGGGGAGTGAGAATGAAACTCCCTACTGGATCGTTCGAAACAGCTGGGGTTCCTCCTGGGGCGAGGATGGCTATTTCCGGATCCTCCGCGGTGTGAATCTTTTGGGAATCGAGTCTTCCTGCAGCTATGCAGTTCCATCTGTCACTCCGATTTCTCGAAACGAAACGAATTCATCGAATCAAACAAACTCATCGAATCAAACAAACCCATTGAACTCATTGAATCCATCCACCTCACCAAACCCATTGAACTCATTGAACCCATTGAACTCATCCATCTCATTCCTTGCGCGCGGATTCGCCACCAACTGGACGGCCAATCCGCCGGTCATTCACTCTCCATTGCCGTGGACCTATGTCAATCTGTCGTCCCTACCCACGCAGTACGACATTCGTTCGCTCGACGGCGTGGACTACTCCACGCCCATTCGAACGCAGCGCGCTCCGCAGTTCTGCAACGCGTGCTGGGCGCAGGCGGCCGTTTCCGCGCTGTCGGATCGGCTGCAGCTGCAGTCGAGAGGCGCGTGGCCGATGGTCGTTCTCTCCACGCAGATGGTGGTGAACTGCGCGACGGGATCGTGCGATGGCGGAGATCCGGGCGAAGTGTACCGCTTTGCGTACATGTCCTCGATTTCGGATGAGTCGTGCCAAGTGTACGAGGGGAAAAAGAAGACGTGCAATGGCAAAGGGCGATGCATGGATTGCAGACGCTTTGGCGAGTGTATGGAGGTCACTGCGTATCGCAAAGTGAGCGTGTCGGAGTACGGAGAGGTGCTGGGAATCGATCAAATGAAGGCTGAGATCTATGAGCGAGGCCCGATTACGTGCTTCATGGTGGTCACGGAGCAGTTCCAACGATATACGGGAGGTGTGTTTGTAGAGGAGGATCATCACTATTTGGGAGGACATATCGTGGAAGTGGTGGGCTGGGGACGGACGGAGGAGGGAGTGGAGTATTGGATAGGGAGGAACAATTGGGGAGAGAATTGGGGAGAGAAGGGATGGTTCCGGATTATGATGGGAGGAAACAATTTGTTGATTGAGTCGTCTTGCTCTTGGGGAGTTCCCTTTGTTCATTAATGTGTAATCTGTTCTTGACTTGTTTGTTACAGAATCGAGATGGAGAGTGTGTTTGAAAGCGTCCTGCCTGAGTATAGAATGCGAGTGCGGCAAATCCAAAGAAATACAATTGAACAAGACGGAAAATCGTGGAGATTTCTGGAGATTCTTTTTTCAACTTCTCTCAAAAGAATCTCCAAAACTCGCCAAGTCCATCTGGCATTCTTACCTGGTTTATGAAGTTCGGGAAGGTAATCCGTAAAGCAGTTCAAGCTTGTCCGTAGGTATATTAGATTTTCATGAAAGTGTAGGAAGGAGTGGGAAGACTACTGGATGAACTACAAACAGTTTAAGCTGATTATTGCGGAGATTGAGAAAGAAAAGAAAGAGAAATTAAGTGACAAAGGAATAGATACAGATAAAATAAATGATGCGGAAGGAAGCAACACGATCGATATTAGTATGGACGGAAATATGGTTTGATGAATAGCTTCTCTGGAGAAGGAAAAGCAGTTTTTCCGTGAACTTACCGAAAGCGTTGTTATGGTTGATAATTTTTTTAACCAAATTCAAGTGCAATACATTGTTGAGGTCAAACAGTTAATCGAACAAGTAAAAGAGATTGACAATGTAGTTAGAATTGTGTTGCCTTAAGGAATAGTGTCCAAAGGAGAAACTGGTAGAAACGATCGAAGCGTTGCTTGAAACGTGCCGTGTGATCCACGGCAAGCTTCTTCTTTTGGAGATGTACGCGCATGTAAATTATTGTGGATTTACCAAGATCACAAAGAAACATGATCGTGTCACCGGCTATGCCACGCAGAAGAAATATATGCAAAAGAAGGTGAACGTGGCTCGATTTTCAAGTTTTACTCTGTACGTCGCAACGGGTAGTACTCATTGATAGCCTGCGAAACTCGGTGCGAATCGTGGAAGATCAATACATCGTTCTCTCCAAGTGCCTCTCCCACATGGAGACGATCCCTCCTATCAAGAGAAACGACGAAGTGAAGGAAGTGAACGATTCGCTGGTCGAAATCGACCGGAAAGCCGAAACTTGCTAGTTCTATATACACATATCTGTCTGGATTGTTTGTTTCGTTCCACACAAACAGAGAATTAACCCGGGTCAGTTGATGGATTGAAGACCTCTTTATTCTATTACTTCTTGCCCTTCTTTTTGGTGTTTCTTCGCTGGGCGGTTTCATTCGCGATGATCGCGGCAGCCTTTGATTTGGTAGCCTTAGGAGCCTTCTTGGTGGTCTGGAGATAATACACATAAACATAAAAAGAATACGTTTTGTTTGACCGCAGGAGCTTTCTTCGCCTCTTCAACATCCTCATGGACTACACATTACGAATCTGCACAAGTTCGACTCTCTAAACCCATTTCTTTTATAATAGCATCTAAGTCTTCTTCCTTTTCCTCTACCTTCTTTTGAGGTTTCTTGGCCTTCTTGGCTTTCTTTGGAAGCACCTTCTCTTCCACAATTTCGGGCTTCTTCTCGACGACTTCCTCCTCTTCCGACTAAATATAACCTTACTCTTCAGAAAACTACGTTCTCGTTCTCCACTGCGAAATCTTCCTTTAAAGTCTCAGACCATGCCATTTCGGGAGTCAAACGAATGCGATAAGAAACATGGATGGTGCGGTAAGAGGTATCAGAACCCTCTGCCTCATTTAATAAAGAAAAAGCATTGTTTGCTGACATTGTTGCTCTTGCCTACCCAGTGATAGAATTCCTTAAAATCTCTACTTGTTGCTCTCGTCAAAAACAAATGGTAGAATGACGCCTAAAAAAGGGACAAATAATGGAATAAAAATCCAGAATCTGGCCATATTTTGACATTCATTGATTGTTATCCCCATGCAGAGCAAAAAGAACAGCCAGATGGATATTCTGTTTAGAGAATTGTCGAACTCTCCATCCACCTCTCCATTCGTGTCACGTAAGATGAATGTTTCCAACCCGAAATGTAGCGAAGAAATTGCGGCACATGAAAACTGAAATGATAGAAAATGAAATTGTAGCATCTTTGAAAGGAATTCCTGGTACTTTCTATTTTTGAATGATGAATATAGCTTCTACAGCCGATCCAGTACCTCCTCGAGCAGAAACCCCGGTATCCCCTCGAAAGCGCTCTATTGAGAAGTCAAAATCTACAAAGCAGGATTTAGATGAATTTGTAACACATGGCGTAAGTGAGTGATTCAAAGATGGACGCTTTTCGCAAAAGCCAATTAGGTCATTCGAATGACCTTTCGTTATCCACGGAGAAGAAGAAGGAGATGGAGCAGAAGAAAGAAGAAAAAGGAGTGAATGAAGAAAAACAGAGTGAATTATCAGTAGAAAAGGAGATTAATGAAATAAACGTGAAAAAGAGCGAAAAGAGACAAAAGAAAGGTTCCGAAGAGTATGTGGAATCGAAGAAAGTAAAGGACCGCAGTGAGGAAGTGAAAGAAAAGAAGCCAGAAGAAGCCAAGAAAGAAAAACGGAAGAGTGATAAGGAAAAGCGGAAGGAAGAAAGGAAGAAGAAAAGAAGAGCGGAGAAGGGAGTGGAGCGCCAAAAGGAGGAAATGGAAGTCAAAGAAAATGGGGATGTGGAGGAGAAGGCAGCAGAAGTAGAAGCTGAGAAAGAAGCAGAAGCAAAAACAGAAAAGCGTAGAAAGCAAAAGACAGGAAAAAAGAAGGAAGCTGAATTGAAAACGAAGGAGGAAGCCGCATTGAAAGTGAAAGAAAGGGAAAATCTAAAGAGAGAAGAGCGGAGGAAGCATAGAGAGGCTGTTTTGAAAGAAGCAGAAGAGAAGAGAAAGAGGGAAGCTGAAGAGAAAGCTAAGAAAGAAGCTGAAGAGAAAGCTAAGAGAGAAGCAGAAGAGAAGAAAAAGAAAGAAGCAGAAGAGAAAGCTAAGAAAGAAGCAGAATTGAGAGCCAAGAAAGAAGCTGAAGAGAAAGCCAAGAAAGAAGCTGAAGAGAAAGCTAAGAGAGAAGCAGAAGAGAAGAGAAAGAAAGAAGCAGAAGAGAAGAGAAAGAAAGAAGCTGAAGAGAAAGCTAAAAGAGAAGCTGAAGAGAAGAGAAAGAAAGAAGCTGAAGAGAAAGCTAAAAGAGAAGCTGAAGAGAAGAGAAAGAAAGAAGCAGAAGAGAAGAAAAAGAAAGAAGCAGAAGAGAAAGCTAAGAGAGAAGCAGAAGAGAAGAGAAAGAAAGAAGCAGAAGAGAAAGCTGAAGAGAAAGCTAAGAAAGAAGCTGAAGAGAAAGCTAAGAGAGAAGCAGAAGAGAAGAAAAAGAAAGAAGCTGAAGAGAAAGCTAAGAAAGAAGCAGAATTGAGAGCCAAGAAAGAAGCAGAAGAGAAAGCCAAGAAAGAAGCTGAAGAGAAAGCTAAGAGAGAAGCAGAAGAGAAGAGAAAGAAAGAAGCAGAAGAGAAGAGAAAGAAAGAAGCAGAAGAGAAGAGAAAGAAAGAAGCTGAAGAGAAAGCTAAAAGAGAAGCAGAAGAGAAGAGAAAGAAAGAAGCAGAAGAGAAAGCTAAGAAAGAAGCAGAATTGAGAGCCAAGAAAGAAGCAGAAGAGAAGAGAAAGAAAGAAGCAGAAGAGAAGAAAAAGAAAGAAGCTGAAGAGAAGAAAAAGAAAGAAGCTGAAGAGAAAGCTAAAAGAGAAGCTGAAGAGAAGAGAAAGAAAGAAGCTGAAGAGAAGAAAAAGAAAGAAGCTGAAGAGAAGAAAAAGAGAGAAGCAGAAGAGAAAGCTAAAAGAGAGGCAGAATTACAAGCAAAGAAAGAAGCAGAAGAGAAGAGAAAGAAAGAAGCAGAAGAGAAGAAAAAGAAAGAAGCTGAAGAGAAGAAAAAGAGAGAAGCAGAATTGCAAGCTAAGAAAAAAGCTGAATTGAGAGCCAAGAAAGAAGCTGAAGAGAAAGCTAAGAGAGAAGCAGAAGAGAAGAGAAAGAAAGAAGTTGAAGAGAAGAAAAAGAAAGAAGCAGAATTGAGAGCAAAGAAAGAAGCAGAATTACAAGCAAAGAAAGAAGCAGAATTGCAAGCTAAAAGAGAGGCAGAATTACAAGCAAAGAAAGAAGCTGAAGAGAAAGCTAAGAAAGAAGCAGAAGAGAAGAAAAAGAAAGAAGCAGAAGAGAAGAGAAAGAAAGAAGTTGAAGAGAAAGCTAAAAGAGAAGCAGAAGAGAAAGCAAAGAAAGAAACTGTATTGAGAGCAAAGAAAGAAGCTGAAGAAAAAGCAGAAAATAAAACATCGAGTAATAATTCTACCTCGCAGTCTATAGCAAATTCTTCAGTCATTTCTCCTTCTACCTGTCAGCCTCATCGTCATTTTATATCTACAGCCCTTGCTAAAGGAACTCACTTCTTAAAAAGTATGGTTTCCAACCTTCCATTGCCCTCTTTACCCCACAGAAAAAGAGACGCTCCCTCTGAATCGAATGATACTCGACAAACGAAAAAGCAACGAATTTCTGATATTTCGAAAGATTCTATTGCCAAAAAGACGTTATCATTTGAGACCAACTCTCGCATTATTTCTACTGCTGCATTTGCTGTGGTCACATGGTTAGCTGCTAAATAGCCAATTGCCGGTGTTTGTTACAACTATGGTACCTCCCTTTCCTTGGGGATAATGAGGCGAAGATGAGGGATAGAGGCTACTCTAACAATCTTCCAATGTTGTCGGAATATGAACTGTTAAATATAGTATCTCCTAAAAGATACACACGATTAAGCCAAGAAACACAGTGGAACAGTAAAAACGTAGCTATTTTATAATATTATCCAAAAATAGGGACCTGTTCATGTTGTCGATGAAAAAGGAACAGGAGAACGAAACTTTTTTAGGCCAGCGAACATTCGGAACCTATTCGATATTTTTTTGTTCTTTTCTGCTTTACACTTTATTGTAGGGATAATTTTCAGGCAAAAGAATTAAAACGGTGTATGTGTGACTGGACTGAAAGTCAGCTTGAGTGGAAAACGTACGCTTTGGGAATATCTCATCACTAGTTATGTGAATGTCCTCGAAGATGTTCTGACTCTGGCTTCTAGAATATCTTCTCTTCATCTCTACTCCGTATCTTCAGAATTCTTCCGAATCAATGGTAGCTCTGTACTCTCCTGATCCTTTTCTCATTCTAGCAATTACTCTTAGGGGTTCTTCTTCCGCCAACAACCCTTTCGATGACTGTTCATCTGGCAATGTGGAGTACAGGGGGAGCTGTCGTTGATTTGTCCCCCTTGTTGTCAATTCAGCAGATCGTGTATTTTCTCATCCACAAGTTTGATGTGTAGCGAACAAATTGAATACTATGAACTGGAAAGTATTGTGTTAACCTCCGATTTTGCATGCAAACTTATGAAAGTCATGAAAGACGACCCAACTTCAATCCCCACTCTCAGTTCTCTCGTTCTCAGTGATCCATTTGTGGACGAAGAAACCCAGAAGACGGCTGAGCTCTTCCACATTTCTCTTTTCTTATCGACTGATTTGCTGAACCCTTCCATTACTCTAGCTCCATATTCCCAAATGTCTTCTTTCATTTCACGCACACATAATTCAGCGGAGCAGGTCGATCAGAGTTCAAACCTCTCTTCACCCTCAACGAGTCATCCCCGAAAACTGCGATTAGTTCGAAATGAGCAGCGATTTGTTCACAAAGCGAGTGTGGACGACTATGACAATTTTACACCGGAAATGGATTCTCCACAACCTGTCGTTTATCCGTTACTCACGTACGACCCAGGATTGCTGGACACAGCTCTGATCTTTGTGGTGCTCCACAGAGGGAAATGTATTGTAGGGACATTCATTTTGAAAAGAATAGTAATACACAGAGAGTCAAACGAACTCACTTACAACTCATAACACAATGCGATTTGTGGAACCAACGAATCTTTTGCCCAACTATGAACAAAACGAAGGAACTGGTCTTCCTTGCTGATCGATCCCTTTCGTTTATCGAAGAGTTCCTCCTCGAAATGATCGTCATACGAGAAGAAGGTTGTATGTGCTATGTGAGTTCCCCCAGTCTTCGAAACAAAGTGATTCAAACGATTCACCCTTCGGTTGTTATTTGTGATGACAAGGAAAGCAATCAGATGGCAGATACGATCGTTTCCTATATATACGATTGTAAACGAAGCTCGCAGCAGCAGATTTGGAAGCAATACTCTGCGAATGTTCTCTCTGGTAGTTTGCTCCCATGTAGAAAGATACTGTTTTGGCCACCAACAGTTTCAGTTCCGCTCGGCCAATCAAGCAACTCCTTCCGATTCTGTGTAAGTGTGGATACGATTCGATTCACACAATTATTCACTGTGGAAACGAAATATCCAATGCATGCATTCTCTTCCTCCGTGTCATTCTGCAGTCGTCTGTGATTCGTTGTTGTGTTTCGCAGGAGCTTGGAAGTATTCTTTTTTCCACAGCATGGTTCGATATCAATACGTTTGGACACTGCGGAGCTCCGCTCATGGGAATGTACGCCCAGCTCCGATCGGTTCCAGAAATGAATCTTGATGTGGGAGATCGGTTGCAGCTTCGAGGCTTGAGTTCAGAGAGTGAAATTAAAGATGGCGTGGAAGACAACCAGACATCAGTCGAGTCTCAACCCATTCTACTTTGTTCTTGCTGTCAAGGACGAGGCGTGATTTGGATTCGCGGCGTTCCTTTCAGCGAATCCTATGCCGTGAATGAGAACCAGTGGGTGAATACTGGTTTGTATGGCTTGTGGCGAGACGATGGAGGCATGGAAATCCTGGATGTTTAACACAAACATATGTATTTATAGTATTATTATATTTGTTCGAAACTCAATCTCGGTACTTGTCGAGATTGTACTTTTCTCTGGCGCGCTCTGCATAAGTCATGCGATGCTCCTGGACATCATTCGTAGGCAGAAGAGGCGTGTCGCTGGGAGTCTTCTTGAGTTCGGAAGCGTGGATTCCTGCCATGATGACAGCGAGGAACTGGACACCGACAATGCATCCTCCCACAATTAAAATCAGCCTAAAGATCATAGAGAAAGAAGGCAGAAACGTTGAATTCTCTTCAATGAACGTATAGTACTACATCATGACAAAGAAGCAAAGAAAGTACATTATCAGGGAAATCCAAAATCTTCTTGATGATGTCCCGCGTATCATTGATAAAATACATGCTGACAAAAATCGTTTCCGCCAGACAAAGGAGAATCATGATGAAATTGTACTACATTACACGCTATCTAGAATAAAACAGTAAGGAGATAGCAGCGAGAGCGGTAGCTTCCACATACTAAGAGAAGAGAGAAAAACTAGGATAATAATCATAAAAAATCAAGCATACAAATGTCACAAATCCAGTTGAGAGGCCAATATAGATGTTCGGTGCAAACTCTTTGGACTATGCTTGATGAATGGAAAAAAACAGTACAACTGCCATTCCATAGAATGAAGTAGCACCCATGATTGCTAGGCCAATCTTACAATGATCCCAAAGCTCCAAAAACCTACAATAACCAGAATCATGTTTAAAGTGATAATGAAACAAACCCTAGTTGAAGAAAGGCAAGAAGAAACACTCATTGAAAGAACTAAAAAAAAGTGAACACAATAGAATAAATCACTTATTTGGAATTGTAATTATTCGCTGGTTTTTGTATTCGAGGATGTATGAATATCCTATTTTATAGGAAAATCTGTGCCGATTCCATTGCCACAATGACATGCGAGAAAATAAAACAACTGAAATTGATAGAAGCAAGTTAGTCTTTTTTTGAATATTGCCAAAAATGTTCAAGGAAAGACAAATGATGCACGAGGATATCATACCGGGTAGTCAGATGTCGGCTTTCATCAAGGTATGTAACGTCTTTAAAGAAATTGCCCAAATCCATAGAAATGATTTCAAAATTGTGGATTGGAGCAATGTGACGATTCTTTCAATGTTTGAGCTAGTTGTGCATCATCAACTGTACGTTTACAATGCAACGAAGAGTAGCGTCTATTCTAGTAATTATAAATAATAGTTATGACGAACTATTCACCCTACCCCATTCTTTTGATAAATGCCAGCGTTATCTGTACCAATTATAGTGGGAGATACTTGGTACCCATCAATATATCGCTGAATCTTTACATGAAACGGATATCAAGTGTTAAACTTTGTTATGATGCAAGTTCCGTATTCGTGCTTTGTGACAATTAGGTGTTATGATAAACCCAGATTTCAACCGATTTTTATTCAAAATGAATGAAATCAAAATCGATTTGGAAGGAGTGAATGTTTGCTATAGTTTGCATGTAGAATCCATCTTTTCGGGATGTAATCCTGTTCCTCAATCACCTATTTTGCGAGATTCCTCCTCTTTACCGTCCGTAGGCATTTTTTGTACTTGTTTTCATTTAGTAAAGACAGTAGTTTCTATCTCCATGCCTAAGTTGCAGACACCACTTTCCAGATCCCCTCAACCCTTTACAGTGTGGATTATAATAGTTTTTTAGGCAAAGGCAGTTTTGGCAGTGTGTATAAAGGGTCGCTTCTCGCTTATTTTTCTTCATACATAGAATTTACAATAACCAGAACGTGGCCGTGAAGCGCTCCATGCTCAACCGAGCCGTTCTCCAAAAAACCATGCAGGAAATCGAGATCCTCGCCCGTCTACGCCATCGAAACATCGTCAGCGTCTACGGCTATTGCATTCTCGGCAAGCCGAGCGACGAATTCATACGCCTTGACGTGATCATGGAGCTCGGAAGCGGCGATCTGTCGCACTTTATGCAATCGAAAGCGAGCGAAACAGATGGGATCAGCGAGGAAACGCTGCGAGCTGCGAAGAATCCGGAAGAATACAAAACCCGGAAGCGCTACATCTACCAGATCTGCAAGGCGCTCGCGTTTATGTTTTCGAAGAGCGTGTGCCACGGGGATTTGAAGCTGGATAACATTCTGGTGTCGGAGGACGGCGATTTGATGATTACGGATTTCGGAATGGCGAAGTTTGCGAATAGAGAGCTCACCCAAAACAATGTGGAGATCGGCAATCGGCTTCAGTAGAATTGGATGGAGGTGTTGACGTAGTCTGGATCCGGAGTATTATCGAGTTCTGACCGAAATCGAAACGATGCAGCAGGAGGAAGTGCAGCGATTGCTGCTGCATGCGGACGCCTACGCGTTTGGAATGCTGGTGATGGAGATCCTCACGGGATATTACCCGATTGTGCTGTATCGGGATGGAAAACAGGTCAGGCTGGATGACGCGAATGTAGAATTGGGGAAACTGTGGAATGTAGTGGGGGTACATGATCGAGCAGGGCTATCGTGTAAGAGTGAATTCGGCGTTGAGGAGGGATGAAAGTGGGGACTGGAAGAGGGCTGTGAGGTGTAGTCATTTATGGAATTGTGGAGGATTGTTTGAAGAGTGGAGTAGGTGTGGAGGGATTATGCGAGGTAGAATGAGCGACCGGAGATGCCCGAGATTTTCAAGCGAGTGGAGGATTGGTATAAGCAAGAGACGGTTTGCATTTGGAATGTGTAGTTATTTGTATGCATGTTTGTTTGTTTGTTTGTTTGATTGATTGATTGATGAAAAAAACCAAAAAGGAACGAATCGATAAAGATGGGATGTGCAATTTGATGTGGAAAATGAGAAGATAATAATTTGAGGAACAAATTGGCATAATATCAAACTATCAAACATCCGAAAAATAGCAGTATTCTGGAATTCCAAAAACGCAAGGATTGATCGGGGTTTGATCAAGCAAACAAAACACAAGAAAAGTGGACTATTAAATCGATTTGCAATGCCATACTTTGCATTCGTGCTTATTCTGGTTGCTCTCACAGCTTCCGAAAATATTTCGGGCTGTGCGGGAAACGTTCGAGTTTCTCGCGAGATTATTAAGTAAAAATGAATTTTATGCAACCACTCATAGAGCCATCGGAGATACTCCCAATTTGTCTGATATTGTTGTGTCTTTGATCACTTCGGAAGGAATTGTGCAAGAACAAACCGAGTGCAGTCCTCAGGGATATTTCTTTATTCCTGTCTACGATATTGTAATAGAATAAACATAGTATCTGATAGCTAGGGAGACTACACGCTTTCCATCTCCAAGAAGGACGGCTGGTATGTCTCTCCCGACTCCTATTCGGTATTATTCCTTAGTTTTTACTCCACTCTAATCGCTAGATCAGCAAGGACGATGATGACCATCTCTCTGGTTGCGAAAGCAACTTGGAGTTTGAGATCACCGGCTTCCTCGTCCGCGGCCACACCAGCAACAAGCACTCCTCCGTGCCTCCCCAGGGCCTCACCATCAAGCTCCTCTCCAGCGACGGATTCGTCCTTAAAACCGCGGAAACCGACTCCCGCGGGGATTACGCCTTCCCCAACGTGGTGAGCGGGGAATACGTGATCGTGGCGGAGCATCCGTCCTGGTCGCTCGACGAGCCTTCCCGCCAAGTGCTCTCCATCGGCTTCGGTCCCGCGGAAATCCGCACCGACTTCGTGGTTTCGGGCTACAGAATCGCGGGGAAGATCGAGAACCGCAGCGGCGTGTCCTCCTTCGAGGGCGTTTCGCTGCAGTTTACCCGCGAGGATGGCTCGGTAGTGGGCACCGCCCAGCCGGATCCCGCGGGGATTTTCTCCCTCGCTTCGCTGACCGACGGAATTTACTGGATCATTCCCGCGGTTGCGCCGGGCGCGCCGGAGTGGACGGTGGAGCCGTCGAAACTGTCGGTGCGAGTCCGCGGGGATTCGGTGGATTTGGGAACAGTGTTCCAGATCACGGGGTTCAATCTCCGCGGGAAAGTGGTGGATGAGCGCGGAATTCCCGTGGAACACGCGAAGATCGGCGTGGACTCGCGGGAAACGGAGGTGGAAACGGGGAAAGATGGAACCTACGTGTTGGCGGGAATGAAGAGCCGGCTGTACATGATCGATGTAGAACCGCGGGGAACAATTGAAAATAGGCGCGAAAAGATTCGTTCCATTTTTCGTTCGAAAAAGTGGAGGGGAAACCGGGGAAACCGGGGAAACTGGAGAACCAGATTCCGGATTTGAGGATCACGCATTACATTCAGTGTGGAAAAGTGGAAACGGAGATCCTTCGGAATTACGTAAATCGTGGCGATTTTTGTCAATTTTGTAGCCGATGCTTCCCGCCAAATATTCCGTACAGGTATCGCAGAACAACATGGTGCTCAAGGAGCACGAAACCACTGAACAGTTCTGCTTCATGGTATCGATAACCGCGGTTCTGTGAGTTTTTTTTAGCTGTCCCCCGGAATCTACACGATCTCCGTGAAACCCGCCAAATTACCGCGGGAAAATCTGGAATTGACGTTCACCGAGGCGGAGGTTTCTGTGGGGAACCAGGAGATTCCCGCGGAAGTGGTGCTGAGCCCGATCGCGCAGACGATTTCGGGTCACGTGACCGTATTGACAGAATTGGGCCCGAATTCCGCGGTGGAATTGGTGATGGGGACCCAATCGATCGGAAGTGTCCCAATTGACCCGAAACACAATTTCGAATTCCATGGAATTCTGCCGGGCGAGTACGAAGTGAAACTGTCGAATTCGGTAGGAATCGTGTTCCGGAACAATATTGTAACCGGCAGAATGGATGCTGGGGGAGTTTTATCGACGGGTCGGCGTACCGCGGGGATGAGTTCCGTATCGCGGTGGATGTGCGGGAAAAGTCCGTTTCGGACCTGGAGTTTCGCCAGACCGGCTACGTGGTTTCCATCGTTTCCCCGATTGCCACTCCCGTGGTTCTGCGATCGGCGGCGGGAAGTCGGTCGATCTCGATCCCCGCGGGGACGAGTCGGTTCTGCGTGAGCGGCGCGCGGTACGAAGTGGAATTGGCGGGTTGCTTCCGCACTCCCGCGGGAATCGAGGTGGTGTCGCGGGAGCACGCGGAGCTGTCGCTTGTTCCCGCGGTTTTCGCGGTGGAGGGAACGATTGAGGGCGCGGAATTGGCGGGAATGGGCGAAGAAGTTTTGGTGGGAAATTGGAATTGGCGGGAATGACGCACAGATTTTGGTGCGCGCGAAGCGGGAAACCGCGGTTCTCGCCGAGACAGTGGCCAAAAAAACGGGCGATTTGTACCACTATCAGCTGGTAGTTCCACGTTTCCACGTTTCCACTAGTTCGTTCCCGCGGGGGAGGTTTCGCTGGAATTCGGTGCGCCCCATTCTTCGTTCCTGTTCATCCCCGCGGTTCTCCCTGTCCACGTGCCGTCGACGCGCTGCATCCCCGCGGTGGAGCGTGTCGTCGCGCAGCGGGGCCGCGTGGTCGCGGGGCAGATCATTCCCGCGGTTTCCGACGTGGAAGTGACGCTGACGCTGGAATCGGAAAATAACCGCGAAATATCGACGCTGAGCGATTCCCGCGGGGAATACCAGTTCCCCGCGATTCCGTTTTCATCGCGGTTCCACGTGGCGGCGCGGAAGGAGGGTTACGTGTTCCACGTTTCCCCGGACGGTCTGCACTTTTCCCACCAACAATTGGGTTCCCTGCGCGTCGTCGCGCGCGATTTGGCGGGAAACCCCATCGAGGGCGTTTTATTGGCGCTCTCCAGCGAAACCGCCAAGCTCACGGGCGTTTCGCGGAGCGACGGTTCCGCGGTTTTCGGTCCCTTGTTCCCGGGGCGTTACTACCTGCACGCGCAGCTGAAGGAGTTCCGGTTCCTCCCCGCGGGGCAGACGGTCGACGTGGCGGAGGGCGACGAGTCGGGCGTTTCATTGCAGGGGGAGCGAATCGCGTTCAGCGCGTTCGGGTCGGTCGTTACGCTGACCGGGCAGCCGCTCCCGCGGAAAAAAATCATTGCGGAGAGTCCCGCGGGAATCCGGGAGTCGGCGAGCACGGATTTGGAGGGAAACTTCCGCGTGCGCGGGCTGAAGCCGGGCGAGCGGTTTTCCCTCCAAGTGCTGGGGGAGGAGCACGTGATTCCCGCGGTGCAGGAGATCGAGATAACCGCGGGGGACGTGCGGGACGTGAAGTTCGTGAGTCTGCGGGAGAGAACCGCGGGGCGCGTGAGCGGCGTGGTGGAGAGCGACGGTGCGATTCCCGCGGGGATGAAGGTAGTGGTGGAGGGAAAAGAAGGCCGGAAAACGGGGAAAGTGACGCGTGGCGGGAGTTTCGAAGTGAAGGAGGTGAAGGAGGGAAAAGTGCGAGTGAAGGTGGAGGGCGGGAAGGGAAGGTGCGAAGAAATCGAGCGGGAAATTCGGAAGAACGAAGCGAATCACGTGGTTTTGCATTGTGAGGCGGAGAAAACCGCGGAAATGGAGGTTTCGAGCGGCGGTTCTTTTGTGATTCTGGCGATAGCGATGATCGCACTGTTTGGATTCATGGAAAGAGAGTTGTTTTATTGGAGTGTTTGTTGGAATCAGGTGGATTGGGGGAGTGGGGAAAAGGGGAAAAAAGTGGGGGTAACTGGGTTGTGGAATGAAAAAAATGAAGAGGAAATGAAATGATGGGGATGATTAGGGATTGTGTATGATTGGAACCCTGTAACTATATTGGAAGCGGAGAGTTATTGAGTCCGACTAAATGAACTGTGGGGAGGTGAAAGGATAGAAAAGGTGAATGGAGTGAGCGAGTGAGGAGAGAGGGCTCGATGTGGTTTGATTATGTTGAGATTTCTATTGCTTATCGTTCAATTCGCGTTTATAGATTCATTGTGTTTGATAAACTATGATTGGAAAGGTGTGTTATTCCATCAAGGGGTGCGATTGAATAAAGCGAATCTTGGCTGATATGATTGCGAGTGATTGTAGGATTGATTGAAACTTGTTTGACAACAATAGCTTGCCTTTCTCCACCACAAACTGTAGAAACTGGTCGTGTAGTAGGAGCACTCGCTATTCGAATGGGATGTGAGGAATTGGGCAAGATCTCCCAGTGAAACCCGCCTGAATCGAATGGCGGGTTATTAGTGTATGTATTCAACTTATTGAATCTACAATGTCAGTTAATGTATGTGAGAGAAATCGTTGTGGTGGTTGGTTTGGAAGGTGAAATGGATAGAATTATATGAATGAGTTGACTAATAGAGAAAACCTATGGAAACAAATGGATGTTGGCGGGGGAGGAGAGTGTCGGAACGAAATAAAAAGGGATAAACATGCTGTACTCTGTGATGTGAAGATAGTTATATTTATGAAAATCACTGGATCAAAACCAATTTCCATTCCATTCGATTTGATTTACTAGTTTTACTAGTTTGAATTGCTTTCAAACCCAACCATTCCCAAGTCAAAATGATTTGGCTAGAATCATGGATGGATAGATTGGATTATCGAAATAATGATAATAATAATGATAATATAGACTATTTAGACAAAGTGGAGTGAGCAACCAAATCCTTGCTTCATAACACGATTTCACTATGATATCATAAATATACAACCTATACAGACATAGTAGACAACAAAATGGACTTTTCCATTCTGAGTGTTTCCAAACAATCCTGATATTATTATTATAAATATCTATACCTCCGAACTATTTCAACCACAAAAATGTGAACAAAATGATGCGAAACACAAGTGAGTACTTCACTTGGAAATCTTGGATCCAATGTGTATATGGTAGCACTCTATCATAATTTTTAAATATGAAGAATACTTAGGTGTGAGGAAACAAACTGATCTCTCTGTTTTCTTCATAAATTCTTTATATTTGGCTGCAAATTACGGATTCAAAGAGTAGAGGCTAAGGATATGTGATTATAAATAGGTAGAATGGAAGAACTTAAGGGAAGCGAATTTCTCCTGGATGGTTACATAACGCGTGGTGAAGCAAAGAAAATCACTATTGGCGGCTGCAAGTATAGCCTCCAATGTTATCAAGGCGATCACGAGGATGAATACACGTTGACGAGAGCTGGGAAGGTTTGCCTATTCCAAAATGGCATACTGAAGATGTGTTACGAGGTGGATGCGAACGAGAGCGAAATCGGTGACTTCATGCGATTTGAAAAAGGATGTGTCGCTTTTGTGCAGTCCTTCGATGATATCTGGGATAATAAGAATTTTCATCGTATAATAAACCACGTCCGAGGCGAACGTATGGAAATCTATTCGCATGCGAGTGATCACCTGATATATCACGGTGAATTTAATGAGAAGCGAGAACGAGAAGGATGGGGCATCGCGTATGACGATAAAACGGGTGCCATGCTGCTTGAGGGGATGTGGAAGGGTAACAAGCTGGTGGAGATCATCCGCAAGATTGAGGGAAGCATCATGATTGAGTTCAAGCGAAACGGTAACAACGCCATCGCTTCGAATCGAATTCCCCTCTATGTGGGTGAATTCGTTTATGATGAATCGAAAGAATCGTTTCTTCGAAATGGTCGAGGATACTGGATCGATGAAGAAACTCGGATTGCTACTCGCGAAGTGGAATGGAAAGATGGAGTGGAAGTGAGTGGAAGTGAGTGGAAGAGATCTCTATGATGGATGGTACACTCGATCCACAACTCCAAAACCCAAACCCAAACCCAAACTCAAACCCGCTCCGATGCCTGCTCCTGCTCCTGCTCCAAAACGCGAAGAACCTGTTCCTCTTCGATTCAGCGTCACTGGATCTACAAAATGGACCGATGTGAGTTTGCAAGTGACCGATTTGAAGATTTCATCGAATTGCTGTAACGATTTGAATGCATTGGATCTGAATCGATTCGATATTGCTCATTGAATGAAAAACTATGCTGTTATTACTTAAAGATGGTTCTGTTATGAATAAACCATGATGAGTGTTGAGAATCGAGATGAATTGATTTTTATTTTTAGTAAGAGTGATATAAATTACAGATTAGTATAAAAACAATTGGATTGCATTGTGATATGGTCATCACAATATAGCGGGTATTGTAGAGTTTCAATAAAGAGCTTTTGAATACCATTATGCTTTAATAGATATAAACTCTTTTCAACCAGATGCCTGCACTATCCCACTCCTATTTTTACTTTATTGTAATTGAAAATGTGGCATTCGTTGTACTATCTCGAATCTCTTACAACTACTTACCAATGGGTAAGTTTTTTATTTCATACATTGTTTTGAACATATTTAATTCCAACTATGTTTTCTATATTCACTCATTTCCTTTATTCTATACCTATTATGAGTAAGTCTTTATTTTTAGAAATAATATTATTTTTACTGAAATCCTTTATTGCCGAGTTTTGTTTTTCCATATAACATTTTAAGTGTTGTTTTTCATTCTTTCTCATTTACTTCGTAATTGCTGAATCACTTAGTGAATCATCTATTAAAACGATAATTCGCAGTTATCTGTGTTTCTGAATAAGATACGTATAACTATCAATGCATCACAATTCCTATTGATAGTTTACACTCTGCTGTTTGTATTTCAAATGCATGTATTCATCCTTATCTTGTTCTACCTCCACTACCGACAGTCTACACCTTTTTTCTTATGCTGTTATCTAAGTATTTCTATAGTTATGGATAAACAACGACCCTTCTCCATACATAACTACCTTCATATATCCCTGTAGATTGCAGTCTCTTCATTACGAAAACACTGATTTTTCTTACGATCTACAGCAAATAATGATCACAAAACGATCAAAACCGATTCAAAGTTGGTCTAACTACCTAATAATGCCTCCTATCTCTTATTGGCATCCTGTAATCATTCGCTACCTGAAGAACCAGGCCAATATCCTAAACACCTATCATCCCCTACCAAGGGTGAAGAAAATCCTCTCTATCTTCATCCCTCAATCCCTGCTCATTGTTACAATTATTCTAATAACACAATCAACTATCCTTGAAGAAACTCACCTCTTTATTAATTAACAAGCTCCTATCTCCCAATTTCTTCCATTATCATCCTTTCAAAACCTACTAGCAATAACATCTTACGAATTCATATCTTTCGAAAAATACGAAAGTTCTATCTCACTCCTGCATATCAACATTCTCCGTTTCATCTCGTTTTCCATTCCTTCTTCCTTCCTACCAGACTTTCTCACTTTCCTATTCAATATCATTCCCACTTCCTCTGATTCTCAACCTCTCTTTTCCAATAGTTTTCCCACACAAATTCCCTCTTCAACCTTTGGCAATGATTTCTTCTCTATTTCTTCCTTTCTATTGGAATGGATGAAGATTCAAAAGTATAGGAGGTTGAAGAACATTACAAAGCAGGAAATTGTACGTTCAAGGATAAGAAGTACGAAAAAGCGATTCTTTTCTATGATTATGTAATATTGCTGTATTCATCTTTATTATTCAAATTTTTGAACTATTCCTCAAAGTACCTCGCTATTATTCAAATCGTTCTGCTGTTTATCTTGGAGCTGGAGATCTGTTTTGGGTTTTTGCAAATGTTGAGGAAACGGTCAATTTACGCTTAACGTGGCCAAAAGAGTACTTCCATAAGATTTCTGTTTTTTTATGCTTAAATACTACAAAGACCGCATGAAAACGTGTAAAATTGGTAAGTGTCACATTCTGTGTACTCACTCAAAGTTCTCTCCCTTGAACCAACCAATGAAGCATATATTCACATTTTAAAAGTTTTAGACAAGCCAACATGCGCACACGTACCTTCTTTTCTCCCATTCTCCCTCTCTAGGAAAGCCAGGACTTCGCAGCCTTTGAAGAGGCCGAAGCCATGCTGGACGGCAATTCCACGATCGATAGTTGTCGCATCCGCCTGCGTTTCATCCGCCAAGACCAGAAGCTGGAAGAGTTCAATTTCTCGATCAACGAGGACTTCAAGCCAGTGATCGACACGCAGAAAAACCGAAGTGTCTCGGACGATGGAATCGTCCACATGACCTTTATCCAGCACAGAGAGTATCTCTCCGAAAAGAACATGTTCACACTGCTCGTTCTTCCCTTTCCGATCCTCGTCATAATAATCCAACCCCCACCACGTGCTGATGCTTCTCGAAGCGACGTCGGACGAAAACATGGGTGAATGCGCTCTTTCAAGTTCTCCGCGAAGTGCTTCGCGTTCAAAGAATAAAAATACTTTGGGAATGGACCGCTACAATGTATTTTTAGAGAATTCTCAATGTCAAGGAATCGGTAGAGTGATGGAGAGATTATTTATGTTGTAGGGTCTCGTATCTTCAATTCGGTAATCGAGAGAGCTCGAAGTGGACGTCATGTGGGTAATGTCGAAGTGGTTGCACAAGTTTGGATTGGATATTGAGAATGAAGGTGTAAAGGGCACAGGACCAATGGAATTCTTTTCGAAGTGTGGGTTTAATATTGAGGTGAAGGAGAATGCTGAACGAGTATTTGATGGGAAGCCATTCTGTACTATTACATTTGATGTACGTGATTGCTAGAACGTGTTATGATGGGTAAATAGGTATAATAATGATTGGTTTGTTTGTTTGAAATGCAAGTTAGTAAGGTGTATGTAGGGTTTGAAGAATCGGGGTGCAGAAAGTGAGAATAGAGTGGATTATAGAATGGGGATTGA